TTATGGTGCTAGTCTCGTACCACATAAATAGTCATTTATTTTGACTTTTTTCGTATTCTATACAACTGGTTTCATAATCTACCTGTTTCTTGTTGATTGACAGCTATGGAAACCGCCACCACCCCAAGCAAAAAAATCCGCAAGCGAGCAACGCCAGCGATCCGCCATCCACAAGAACCTCCTCCAGATTCTCCTAAACCCTTGGGTATTTCAAAACCACCTACTAGTCTAGAACCCGACTCAACTGAAAAAAAAACAAAGACATCCAAACTCCGGGCCAAATGGAGTGAAGATGACGACCGAACAATGATTGAGATCCTCACTGCTGAACGTCAGCCAGCCAACGCTCCCATTGGACCCGATAACGCAACCTGTGCCCAAGGATGGAAACTGACAACTTGGAACACGGTGGCTAATAGACTTGCAGGAAGTGAAGAAAGAAAAGTCAACGGAGTTATTTCTCTTAGTGGAGTCAAGACAGTCGATGTCTGTAAGGCTCATTGGTATGTGGTAAATCATTTCCTCTTGAGATTCTGTTATTATATCACCATTGTTAATCTTCTGTATCCAGTTGTGTAATCTTTATGCCGATTACAAATATCTCAACGGACTTAGTGGTGCGGGATGGGAGAACGGCTGCATTGTTCTACCCGATAATGTCTGGGCACCCATCATCAACAATAAAGTACGTTGATTGGTTCTTTTTATTTTTCCATCATAACTGATAGTTTTTTTTTAGGAAAGTCAGAAGTCAAAGGACTACCTCCGATGCAAAGATCGACCGTTTCCTCTGTACGATGCCATAGCACCCTTAGTAGACGGTCATAAAGCAACTGCTAAGTATGTAAAATCAGCAGTAATTGAGGAAGTGACAGCTCAAGACGTGTCTTCACCTAATTCAACCCAAGATATCAACAACCATCACTCCTCCCCTCGTTCTGATTTTTCTGACTTACCTGGAATGGACTCAAAGGCGAAGGACAAATCCAGTTCAGATGAAGCACCAGCAGCTAAGCGACACCGCACTTCTAAGGTGGCTCTACAGGAGCGTGCTCCGGTTAAGCGTAAAAAACGATCAGGAATTGACGTTATTGAGGATCTCTCACCGCAGGGAACAAGATGCATATTTTTATTTATTTTTTGCCCTTCTCCTGGCCTCTCAATATTTTTGTGTATCAATAATTTAATTTTCTGCCCAGAAAATATTATATTTTGTGTAGTGTATGGTGTATGCTTCCAAGCTCGATCAACCACAAAATTAAATTATTGATACACAAAAATATTGAGAGGCCAGGAGGAGAGCAAAAAATGAATAAAAATATGCATCTTGTTCCCTGATTGGCTCCTTACACTGCTCGCTAAATAAAAAAAAAGTATGTAAGTGATTAATTTTCCTTAATCACTAGATTCAAGTAAGTCGTCAGCTAACGATCTTAAACATCGATTCTTCTTCTCTTGTCACTGTCTAAACCATATCGTTCCTGGAATGGTTCAATTCATACCTTTTTACCACTACTTCGCTTACTCTGAATTGACATTCATCTGATCTGATTTCATCACCATAACCTCAACCTCGATTGCATCCTATGTAAATTGAATCGATCTTCATTTTATCAAGCTTTCAATGAAGATCGATTCAATTTGGTTTTAAACCATCGATCTAATTTTGAATTTGAATTAAAACATGCTTTCTTAACTCTCGATGATTGCAATTCAATCGACTTACTCAAAAACTCGAATCGATTTCAGAATTTGATCAGGATTTCAATCAAGATTGATTAAGTTTCCTTTTAAATCATCGATCTATATTAACTTGAAACATATCTTCTTTACACTTGATCATTGAATTTAATCCACTTACTCAAACACTCGACCTCTTCAACTTTACTCTAATTTCTTGTGTTTGACTTTGCTATCTCTGTACTGATTTATTCAGGTATAGTAAATGTCTGTGTCCTATGTCAGCGTCAAATAAAACTCATGTAGAAATGGTATAGCAATGGTCATTTGTTTTTAATTAGTATTGCAATGGTTGTTTTCAAACAAAATTATAGTAAACTTTTGAATCTTTATTCAGAGTTGTATCTAAAATCATGAGTATTCTAAAATGTTCAAAATATCAATACAATTGCTATTGTAGATTGAATGAATTGATCACTTTGTGAGAAATAATTCATATTGAGAGACAAAGAATGTAAAAGTTGCCTACAACTTGAAAAATGAAAACTAAGAATGTTTTGATGGATAAGTGCTAGATGAAGGTTACAATTGTTTGTAACTACATTTGATTTGATTAATATACAGGTTTAAACACCAGGATAAATTGGAGGATGTCCATGTCTTTGTCTACTTTGATTTACCTTTTTTCTTCTTTCAGTCTCTACTAAGTAATCCCTCCACATATCTTCTGCAATTCTATCTCTGAGATCTTTGGCATAGTTGTTACCTTCAGCAGTGCTACCAAATGCTTGAAGATAACCAATGTCTTCTTGAGTAGCGGGTTGAGTTGCATCTTGAGGATCCGGCATAAATCCTTCACCAAACTCGGGGAATTCTTCAGCTGAACCTTTTGGATCTTTAACACGAATGAAGTTGTGAATAAAGCACATGACTGTGACCATTGAAATCTGAACTTCAATTGTGTAGTCACACCCATGCGCCATGATTTCAAAGCGCTTCTTGCAAACTCCAAAGATGCGCTCGATGACATTGCGTGCACTAGCATGTCGAAGATTGAATAGTTCTTCTTTATTCATTGGTCTAAGATGAAAGGATAGGAGTGGGAGAGAAGAAGAAAGATAGAGACAAGTATGAGATTGACGGAAAAAACAATGAACCAAAAAACAAACTCACTTGAAGCCTTTTTTTTCCCACTCCCGTAAATGATAACGGACTTTTCGATAAGGAACAATACAATCTTCTGTGAGAGCAAAACCAGCATCACCAAGATAATACTTCCCAGCTGGAATTTTAAGATCACGACTCCGAGCCAAGCTCCATAATGCCCCATCAGCCATACTTCCTTCAGCTCCGACCAATAAATAAATAAACTCCATATTGAAATTACACGCAGCAAGGACGTTTTGAGATGTGTAGCCTTTACGATTAGAGAAAGGAATGAACTCGGAAGCCGGCGGAGTGACTGGAATGTGAGTACCGTCAATTGCACCAATGCAGTCTTTGAAATATGGCATGAACTTCGGATTATCAGAAAAGGTATCCTAAAGAGGAGTTTTGGCATTGGGAAGAGGAATATATTTGCTGAGTAATTTTCCATGACTAGAGATTCCTTTGATAAGTTGATTGATTGTCCTAGTGAATAAAAGACACATCAGAATACTGTAGTTAGATAATAATTGAATGAAAAACTGACTTAGAAATAGTATCTGCTGATCTTTGAAACCAATTCTGAAGTTTACGGTTAGACAGGCCAGTGATGACAGTATAAAGCAGAATAGCCAACTTTTCTGTTGAGGTGATCCAACGGGAGTCATATAAAATTCCGCATTCTTCAAGTACAGAACGTAGTTCAAAAAAAACATGCTTGTGCATTCCAAGATTATCATAGAAGACAGATATGTTTGGATTAGTGATGAGTTCATCAATCCATGCTTGACCACTGAGTATGGAGGTGAGATGTGGAGTTTTGTTGAGTTGAGGCAGGATTTGACTTGCACAGGCCTGTACACCCGTGCTAAGGTAAGAAAAAATAAGGAACTGCTGTTGCTGAATAGCAAGTACGTCTTTGAGAAATTGAAGTTTCAATAATTTTTGATTCTTTGCACTCTTTTTTGAACTGAGAGGTTGGATGGATGATTGTGATCTACGCTCAACAGCATCATGATTTGTGCGTTGTGGAGGCATTGTGCGAAGGAAAAGAGATCGTGGATTTGTAGTTGATGATGGGAATGGATGATGTTTAAAACATCGAGATTGAAATTTCAAAATCCATTGTTATACGATCTCAATATACGATTTACCGAACAGCAAGACGGTCAACAACGATCGTGGCGATCTTTTGATAGCTGTTTCCAATGACTGTTCGGTAAATCATATAACCAAATTACACTTTTTCAATCTGCCCCTCGAAAAAGGGGCAGATCGAAAAAGTGTTTTTGTGTAACACTTTTTGGGAAACGCAGCCGAACGGGCCCTTATAGTTTTAATTTTTAAAACATGCTGAAATTAAGTCGAGTTATGATGTCTTTTACCCTGTTTCTGCCCCTGCAAGTGAGCCTGGCCCCGAGGTGTCCCGGCTCCTGAGGCTCAGGGCGTGCCTTGCCCTGCCCTGCGCGATTTTCAAAGGCCCTCGGGTCCACACAGGGCCGGGCGATGTGACGGGGCGCCCCGTCACACTCAGGGCCGGGTCACAGCCCTAGTACCAAGGTACACCACAGGAGGGTCTGGACCGTCTGTCCACCGCCTGTCCGGGCGGACTAAAAACCGCCCGTCCCTCCGCGCAGGCGGACCACCTTTAGGTAGACCTCATGTCGACCGTCCACGGGTGTCTGCTAAAGGCGGCCTGGTTCTGGTCCGTAGGCAGCTTGACTTCGCCCAAAAAGCCACTTATTGTCGCCAAAGGTCAAAAGCGCGGTGGCAGGTTTTTTGTGCATGGGCACGCCCCGCTACTTTATTCTTCGCGCCAATTGCTTGCACTCACACCACTCACACTGGCGGCGAGCCAAAACACCCCGGTCAATAGGATCGATAAACAAATTGATTTTGGATCAGGTAAATAACAGTTCAAAAGAAGAAAAACAACTCGCAGGATAATTTTTTTATGATTTTTATGAAGAGGAAATACGATAAAAACAAGAGAAAAAGGCAACATTGCTTGGTCTCTGAAGAGCAGGATGGGGTGGTTCCAAATCAGATTGGTTCCAAAAATCAAAAAAAGAAAAAGAACTTCGAGGCAACAATGCCTGACACATGAGATCACTTTATTTTATAAAAGATGTGATGTAAATAAAAAAAGGGAACACCGCCAAGAGCAGGATGGCTTATTCTTCATCAATGGCAGTTTGAACCACCTCATCGGATGGCAACTTGAATTCGCAATTTTCTCTGAGATCACTGAAAAAGTTCCTGCCATTGAAAACTTCTAAATCTTGGTTGTACACAATTTTGTAAAACCTGGAGGTTCCGATAGTCATCAGTAGAAGACAGATGATCAAATTCAATCAAGAACTTACATGACAGTGAAGTCATTTCCCTTGGCGCGCAAGCTGTTGAGGTGTTTGTCGGCGCAGGCCCATATAGAGCTCGATCCCCTGCCATTTTGGTAGATACGCACCGCTTCGCGGCGCTTTTGGAACGGAGTCACATTCAGGTTGGTTCACCTTTTGAAATCAAACCGAATAGATCAAAACTTACCAGATACGCGATCCGTGCACGGGTTGGGGAATCTGTATTGGTCCATAAAGATTCGGCATCAGTATGTACACCAGCTGTTCCACATCGGTTGGCAATCCGCGACAAAAAGTATCAGCAAGGGATACAAATCAAAAGGACACTGAAACTACATACTCGATGCCAAAGAGTCTTAATGGTAGGAACAGGGGTGTCCAGTACTTCCCCAGTCTTCGGATCATGAATACCAGTCAACAGCTGGAGTTTTGGGTGAATGGGTCAGATCAAAACACATAAAGACTGAGGGGAGAAAACGAATTGACCAAGTAATGCAATTGTTCGCGAGAATGTTTGCATGCGTTTTTAATGCAGGTGGCATAAGCTCTGGTGCCAACAGTGTCATGAACACCTTGAACACGCGCTGGGAGATGTTGATCTAACCAGCTCGTGTTTTGTTGATTGATCCTGGTCTGAACAAAAGGTATGAGCAACCTAAGAGAAGCACTTCAAAGAATCTGTTCACACTTACTTTGATTGTGTTGAATAGGGAGCGAGCGATCACTATGTTGTTCATCTCCAATGCTGTGTAAGACTCGAGATTGGGTAAACGAATGAGCTTTGTGGCTAACTCATTGATCATTTCCTGCGATAGAGTAGAAATGGTCAGATGATAGATATTTGGTGATGGGAAGCAAAATAAGATAATCAACCCCACATGAAGTTCGGGTGAGCAAGTCCAAGGCACGGAAGCAGTACCACTTGGCACATTTAATCGGTTTTGAGACAAGGTTTGGTTTTGAGTTTCCACCAGGCCAATGAGCGTGTCAAGCTTTCCAGAAAGACGATCAATTCTGGTGGACAGATTGGATACATTGAACACGCAGCTTGCTAGACCAACGGACAGAGCAATGTGTTGCCTCATGTTACCGTAAACCTTACAGCAGATAACAGAGTCAGTTTTCTTGGAACGAGAACAGAATTGAGATGATGGCTGACCTCTGCGTGAAATTGGGCGTAGCCGCGATGAGCGGTATCCAAGCGGGCATTGGTGGCCATGGTGTCAAAAAAGGCCAACTCGCCAGTAGACAAAGGTCGAGATAAGATTTCCGCGGCCCTGGGCTCTTGGGTACGATTGACATCCTCGCGGGAGGGGGTGGGTGACCTGGTACCCTGTTGGGATAAACCCCCGTCCGAACCACCTCTGTTTGGTACAGGGGATTGGGATCTCCCATTACGGAAATGGGAAGATGTGCTTGTGATGCAAGCGTTGTTACCGCGCAACAGGGATTGGTTATTCAAGCTTTGAAGGGAAGACGAGGTGATAGGAACTCTTTGAGAAGACATCTTTTATGAAAGTTGTAGAATGTTAAAAAAAGGTTTTTGAAGTTTGTTTGTTAAGAAATTTGGATGCACTTGAAGGAAACTTTGTTGGATCTTGAAACAAGAAATGGAGGACAAAGAGGTAGTTCACCGGTTTGGGGAATAAAGTGAAAGGGGGACAAAGGAGCTCAATTTATACTTACTTTAAGGGTCACCCAATTCGTGTCTTCCTCGCGATATTGTTAACGCGCCGCGTCTCGTTGCTGTGTTTGCCTTTGGTGTAAACGCGTGCGACTGACCAATCACGAGTGCAATCTTTCAAGAGACGAATTTCAAGAGACGAAGTGTGAGAGAAATTTGAGGTGAGTGAATTCAATCACCAAGCGCGATCTTTCAAGAGAGAAAGATTGAGAAAAAATTGAGCTGAGTGAAATCAATCTCAGAGCGGAAGTTTTTGTGACAAGGAAGAATCAAGTGTGCGGAAGCGGTCGGAAAGAATGAGTGAAAGTGAACATTAAGGATTTCAAACTGTTTTAAAGGTGACCGACATTAACGTTAAGGATTTCAAACTGTTTTTGAAGGGTCACATCATTTGTGTTTTCCACGCCAAACACTTGGATGACGTGCAGGCAGCCCTTCGTTTGCCATCCGCCAACTTGTGGTCTAAACGCGTCCGACCGACCAATCACAGAGCACAATCTTTCATGAGACAAAGTCTGTGTTAAAATTTGAGCTGAGTGATTCGACAAGTCACACGGTCCAATCTTTCTCAAGTGTACCGCGCAAGGTGGTCTGATCTTCATGCTGGGTGTGTGTTAATTTCACAAAAGCACACAACATTTGATAAAGAAAAGACAAAAAGTTCCAGTGTGGTTCTTGATAAAAACAACTTTTGTAAAAGTACAATATAACATTTTCACAAGTTCAACTAGTGCGTGCTGTATATCATACCTCATGACGTGGTGATTCATGGTGGTCTTTTCTTTTCTTGTTCCGTGAAGTGTTTGTAACACGTGGCTGGGGTTGACCTACCGGTGCGGTTTTCCAGACGTCCACTCCTTTTTGGATGCCTTCGTTCCATTGGGCACAACTCACTCTGGACAATTGAACTTTTGCCAAACGTCGATGTAACTCGGCTGAGTAATGTGATGCAGAGTTCAATATGAAAGACTGAGAATCATCATGTTTCATGATGGGAATAGATCCCCCTACGTCTCTTCGCTCTATGCGGCGACCACTCGATTTGCCCACATGACAATTCCCCTTGTGACAATTGTGTTGAAGGTTGATCAAATTTTCAACATCCTGATGAAAAAAATTGACCATCATTATGTTAAATCTTGTCCGAAAGCAACATAAACAACGGAACAAGTTTTACCAATGCTTTTTTGGCATAAGTCTCTGCTGAGACAATAACCTCGCGCATCCCGTAGAAAGGCACAATGCGACCCAAAACACAGCGCTTGATCACCAGAAGACTCTGTGAGGGTGAGATTCTAGTGGGTTTCCAAATTGAAGACACTCGGCCAATGTGATCTGTGTTCTTAAACTGAAACCTTTTTGTTTGAGTATCATTTTTGAATTTGAAATGTAGGTGAGGTACTCACCGTTACAAAGTCTTGAGTCTCAATCTTTTGACCATTGGGTAACGTAAAACTCTTTATTTGTTGCAATGATCCTTGCGCATAGTGAGCCAAAGAGTCTGGGATCGGATCTTGAGGGTCTTCAATAGCTGCAAGTGATGAAAATTAAGAACATCGATGTGAAATAAAACAAAAGCATGATATACTAACCTCCAACTACGTATAGTCCATCTTCTTGCGAAGATCTTGCTCGCCTCAAACCCATTGCCTCATACAACTCCGGAATTTTATCTAACAGAGACGTCAACAGATGTCCACCTTTGACTCTTACCTGCAGTTCATTATCAAAGAAAGAAGATCCAGAGAGTAAAATTCGCAAGAGGACCCGATTGTTGAAGTTATTTGCAATGTCAAGTCCAGGTGCATGCTTGTTAGAATGGACCGATGCATTTCGCAGGCTGAAGTTGAAAGCCTCAAATTTCTCGCTTGCGTAGAGAAGGGCAGGCCCAAATCTTTGAATACACTCTCGGAGATGGATCAGCATATGAAATTTGGGTTTATTAACCCACTGAGCCGATAACGTCACAACTTGATGCAAAAAACTTTCAATATGAGCTTCAAGTTCTTCGAGATAAACCTTAAGGTCCGTGATCTCGTGCTGGAAAATGTACGATGATAAAAGACATAGGGATGTCCAAAGGTGTCTTTTTTTGGCGGAGAGATGATCAAAAAGAACAAATGGCACTGTTTGCAGTACCGTTCTAAATTCTTTTCCTACCAGACTCCGATTGAATTGAATCAGAGTCGTAGGAATAATCGGGGGCACATTCAGACCTTTTATGCTAAAGCTTTTCCACCGTGCAAACACATCATTGTATTTCTTTGACCCATTCTTCAGACTAAGCTCGTGCATCGTGGCCTTAAACCAGTATTTTGCGACCCCAAGGAGGACCACATGAAGAGTTTCCACCGGAGTGTCTAGGTGCCCATCAAAACCTGAACATCACCCAGGTCAGTTTATTCGTTCTTTTATTAATAGTAATTAATAAAATACCTTCAAGTCGGAGCATGGGGTTGAATAGGTGTTGACCTTGTTCTTCATTCAATTTCGTGAACAGTTGATGAGCTTCGTGAGCTGGAAGTTCTGCGTGAGCAGCTTGCATCTGCTTCCAAAAGTACTCATTGAGCGTGTCTTTGCATCCATATTGACGAGTTTTCTCTTCGATGAGGGACTTCGAATTGCTCCGTTGTGAGAGGTTCCAGATCTCGCGGGTGCGTAGCTTAGTGACATTCCATTTGCGGCGCGGTAAATCATGCTAGATGCCCATAACAATTGGCAAATTTGAAATTGAGCCTTAGTATTGATTGAATGAAAATGAGATTGATTACCTTTTGACCAAGAGCATTGCGACCCAGAAAGTCGCGCACAAAGCGTTCTTCTTTCTTATCAGCTTGGCGGGCCACTTGAAGGTCACAAATCCGACAGGGTGTGAGGGTAATCGCAGGATTCGTCGTGTTACTAATCTCAGCATGCATCGGCAAATCGCCAACGTGGCAGAGTACAACTGCCATGACCAAATGTCCTCGCCGAGAGCATGATCATACGCAGAGAAGCCGTTGTGTGCAGTTTCGCTGCGGACCATATGGATTAGTGCTACTGGCCACCCCAAATCCAGAATGAGAAGACACTTACTTGATATTATCTACTATCTCGTCGAGTAAATCCAGAGCTGATGCTACATTCGAGGTGGCCAAAAAGTGAATATTGAACTCTTGATTGGTCCATTCAGGTGGCAGACCTGACAGAGTAAAGTAAATACTCATGTGCTTATTGAATTTCTTTGACACATTGCCAGAGGTGTCATCGGAGTATAAGGTGATTGGTACGTGGCGAATGACCTTCCCTTCCGCTTTTGCCCTCCATGGGTTTTCCAGTGGAATCGATTCTACTTGAAATCCATTTCGTTCTAATGAACAAATTTAATCCGGTCTGATCAAATCCAAGCGGTCCTCAACAAAAACCAAGAAGGCTTACGGTACATGTGGTGACAAAGGTCACTGAGAGCAACATCTCCCTCTAGTACAATTTCTTTAAAAGACTTCCCAAGATCTTTTACCTCGATTGAATACAACACGTGAGAATCAAAAGCAGGCTCTTCTGATAACATTATATTGACCCGATTTGGGTCGCCAAAGGCAGGTTGAACATTGGCAGGAAGACATTTAGCCATTTTTTTACTATTCTCTTGGTAAAAGAATATCGGCACCACCAGCTGATTAGTCTGGAGCTGATATGGTTCATAGATATACACATGTTTATCTTTGCTGGTGACCATTTGTACACGTAACAGGCGCGAGTAATCTTCTCGCCATTTCTGACTCTGTGAGAGGCGATTGATTCGATCGTTGGTTGGAAGCTCAGGGATATAAACCAGGTATGGGCTGACCAATGGGTTCGCCAGCTCCTATCCAAAAAGATACCAATTGATACAAACCAAAATCAAAAGAGAAATGGAAACACTCACATTTCTTATAATGCTCTTCACATCTAGTCCAAACAACGGAGTTCCAGATGGGCTGAGACGTTCAATCACGTTGATGTCCATTTTTTTCTTCAACCGAGTATTCTGCGCGCGAACTGAACCCCATTCGGGTAGATTTACACGACATATGCGGAAGACCAACCGAATTCTCTGGTATTGAGAGCGGGAGAGAATGCTCCTACCGGACCCAATAATCAACACCGCAACAACTTGCTGATGCACAAAGACATTTACGTTAATTTAAGCAGGGATGACGAGCAATTAAACAAATCAGCAGAGCTGACCTCCATTCTTTTGAATGGGTACCATCCATTTTCATCGTCCAAGTTCGCCCCAGATCCATCCAGAGATTCCGCATCAGCTATATCCTTGTCGCTGTCTTCACCGTCCTCCTGCCGAATTGCTTCAAGCGCTTGTCTCAAGCTGTCAAAATCCATTGGCACATCAGACTCATCCGAATCGGTGGAATCGCCATCGCCGGTTATGAAGCTGCGCAGTAGGGTAAGTGGTGAGAGAGGCATAGGTGGAGTGCTGGCAGTCGGGGACGGCGGTGGATCGTCCACGGGGTTGTCATTGATCAACATTGGATCGATTGGGCTCTTGGTGGTCTCGCGAATACCGAGCAACATCTCCTCTTGTGCCGCTTGATGAGCTATGGTTTGAGATACAGCCGCTTGATGTGAATCAGATGTGATGTGCGGCCAATAATCTCGCATCGCCCTGCTGGCAACGCAGATCTCACAGCGGAATCTTGAGTCATGAGGATTAAATTCGATGTCTGCAACAAGGTGATGATATCAATGATCTGTTTTTTTTATTAGTCAAGTAAAGGTAAAGAACTTGCATCGGTCGGGACAAGGGAGTAGTGTGGCTATGTTCACCATTGTGATGAGCGGTGCTGTGAAAGTGTGTCGTTGTCCGGGTGGTGCTTCAAGAGGTGGTGCTTCAAGACTGCTGAGCGCTGAGCAGGCCGTCGGTGACTAACTGAGCGGCCACTAGGCGGCAATCCGCGCGCTGAAATGAGCCCGGAGGACAAATGCCAGCTGTCACAAGCGGAGCGTCAAGCGGGCGGATATCTGGTGATTGAGGTCAGTCTGCGGGCTGTTATCTGGCTCGACTGTTTAAGGGCGGGGCCGGACTGAATTTGGGCATGGAACCCTCCCGTGGTGTAGGAGCATTTTGTTCAGTGGAGGATACATAAAATACCCAGCTCACGTTAAGGAGCTTAGAGCACCCACTATGGTGGGAGTGTTTTATCGTAAAGTTTGCGTTCCTGAGCGCGAAGTTTGATCATGCGTGTTTTACCAAAGTTGGTAACCGCGTGAAATCCACTATGGGATGATTTATCGTCTGCTTTCCCTAGTTCCTACGATAAATCAAGTCGTAGGCTTGCGTAAATCTGAGCACACGAAGTGCAAGACTTGACGCAGCCGTACGGACCGCAGGTCTAAAACAGGTCCATAGTGGACATGTTGGTATTTTAGCGTTAGGGTAACGCTAAATCACCGAGTTAACGCAACCATAGTGGGTGCTCTTAAGAGAATGGAGTACAGGACCATACAGGTTTGTGTTTCGGGTTTTGAGGTTTGTCCTCCACCCTCCTCTCTCGTCCATCATACATAACGCGTGGTATGATGGTGTCGCTTCGAATCATACGCTCACCCAACACAAGTGAGTAATGTGTTTAAACCGTATCTTACTCAAGACCAACAGTTTCGCAGTCCACTACGCTCAGCACTTGTTCAGTTTTTACAAAATTATGTATTGGGATTGAACACCATTCGTCCCGCAAAGCGTTAGCCTGTGTCAGCTGGATATATGGAGCTGCGCGCACACAACGTGAAACTCGATCGGTTAAAAATGAAGTTGATATAGACAGTGGTCCCCGAGACCAAAGATATCATCGTACGCGTATGAGCTAAGAACACCTTCAAGTTCTGTATCGATCATAGATCATGTCTCCTCGGAGTATTTGAGTTTGGAGGCTTTGTGAAGCCAAAGTAGGTCAACTTCTGTGCCCTTCAAATCTCCATTCCCTTTTACCTCTGCACACTCCCGAAGTTCACCAGGTACACGTACTTTGAATCGATACATCAATAAATCGACATCGATCCCGGAAGCTTACAGCCAAGACTTACTCTTCCTTTGAGGATAAAATCCCTCCAAACGGATTGTGGCAAATGAAAAATTATTCTTTCGAGCTACACGAGTCCTCGCCAGAATACCCTGACAAGGCAGTTCGTCACGAACGCCCCGAGTCACTATGGACTGGTCTACCTCGCGACATCGACAATTGTTCACGAAGGGTCGAGACGCCATTACCGGGTACCTCTATCGTTGTGCCTCACAGAGATCCAACGATTTCTAGGATTTTACACGGCTACTCATGGGAGTTGAGTTCGATTGGACTAGCTACGGGCTCGGTACGATACCATCGAAAAGTCTCTCACGCCCAAGATTTCACCAGCTCACTTAAGCCTGTGTATATATATTATTGCTCCCTTTATCTTCATTATAACTCTAGGTCCATCTCATACTGGGCAGCTTCGATCTTAGCTGGAAGGTGATCTCGTTTGTCGAGATGATATATTATTTCTGTAAGGACATTTCCAATTCAAATATCAAGATGAATTTGATCATTCATTGGCATTGGACAAGAGCGAACAAAACTGACTTTTGTTGAATGTGATCTTTTGAATTGTGGATACGGATGTCCCGTACCGGTAGTGAATTTTGGCCTATTCTGCTTGAGCATTGTGATCTTTCGTGAGTGCAGAACCGACACATGTAGTTTTTGTCGACCAGGCCTTGCTGTCTACGTCGGCCTCACAGAGCGACATGCTGATTGCCCTTTCTCTCAACCTGTGACCATATCGCGGACGCTCCAGTTGGGCAACTAATCAACTCACCATCTCGAACATGGGAATCTATGAATGACCCACACAGGGGCTTCTTTCTACCCGTGCTAGTAACTCAAATGTTGGTCTGAATCTCACGAGCTAAATCAATGAGTTGGTCTCAAGCTGATTTACTTTTCATTTTTTTGATACGTCATAGGGCCACCTTGATTCTTGGATGCATTCGATATACTGCCCCCGGAGGATGGGTCGGCTTGAACGGCGCACTGAGACTATTTTACATCTACATCGTGTCCTCACTCACGTAATTGGCCCTCGTTTTCTACTCTATCGTCACTAAATCCCGTATGACAGCAATACCTCTTCCTAACTGTCGATATTACTTGCATTTATCTTCTCAGAGTTTCACTCCTCTCCTGGACCCTGTGGTTCCGCAAACCACATGATATCAAAACTCTAACACCAATAGTAATTATTCTCAGCTTCCCACTTCTACTCGTTGGGATGATCGCTGTGAATCTCTTTCCATTGGTTCCATTGAAGTCGGAGATGGCAACAGAAATCGCTTTGGTGGGATACTTGTTCCAGGGCATGTCCAGCATCTTTGCTGGTGCATATTTTGTAAGTCCCACAGACTAGCACCCTCGAATGAAACAATAGACCATACTAAAAGATGTGATTTCAGTTCACGTATCTTCAACGCGTAGCAATCACTGGCCATATCTCTGGTCCTTCTGTGAGTCAACGCCACCCATCCCACCCCAACAAGTGCACAACACCCTGACAGGGATCTGGACTGTGAATCATTTCTGTAATACAGACTTCGACCATCTTTATAGCGGTCGGCCCACCGGGTGAGTGTGAAGTGACTGTCATCAATATTCTTCGGGACATCCTTCGCGCAGCTAAACTGACTTGAGCCACCTGTAGCTCTCACCGCTCATGTATTGATTAGACTTGGAAGATTGGCGCCAATAATGTCAGTCAAGATTTGTATGATTCTTACGCAGAAATTATTGTTAACTATGGGTGAATCTGACGCAAACTGATGAATTTGATAATAGATTCGTCGAGTCGCCTAATCTACTCCTAACGGAGGGTCTTGGGGAGACCTTCCAAGGCTTCGGTATGTTGGCTGGGTTGATGCTTACTGGAACAGCCTTGTTGATATATGTCAAGTCCATGATTACATTCTGGTGGAAAGGAAGTAAGTAGATCCAAATCTACTTGGTTTCCACTCCATACGTCTTTAAGTCAAAGCTGATCCTTTTTTCGCACCGAATAGATAAGATACTTGATGATGTAATGGGGCTCTGGATCATAATGTGAGTAAAATTATGCTGGTTTTGCTACTATAACAAAAATTACCCCTCAATGCTGATGAACGAGTGATGTAATGCAGATTTCCTAATGTGGGACTCGTACTTGCTGTACGATCACTTTATGAGCTGTTTGGGACACCTTGGCTTCTATTTATTCAGCTCTTCCTGAGTGTTGTATTGATCACCATATATGTCACGCTGGGGCCACTCTCTTTCTTTTCTTCTCTTTCAAAATCTCCAACTAAGAGGCAAAGGGAAGCGACGCCACCCACGGACAACGATTCGTCCAATAGACAGCCTTCTCCGGCTCTTGCTTCACCTACGTCTCAGACATCTTCATCAAGATCCGGAAAGCACGGGAAATTCGAGGTATACCCCATGGACCTCTTCGCCTCACCTTCTCTGTCGCGTTCTAATTCAGTAGGGGGAGAAACCCTGGTGGGACATGCAGTCTAGAATGGCCAAGCAGAGCCAGGCCTGAAGGACTGTTTTCTTCGAATTTAATTATACATGAATATGTTCAAACCTTGCAATCTTTATCGTTCAAATGTCAACTTTTGTTTATTTACGTTGCACGCATATATCATGTTTCTCCTCATACATCCATGCAACCATGAATTTGGTCAAATTTTGTAGTAATCCTCATGGAATCGTATGCGGTCTTGTCTGTCACACTTTGATATGTTTTACAATACACGACACGTGAACATGGATAGCTTCCGTAACCTAACGATATAATTATACAATGTCACGCTGCGTGCTCAGCTTTAGAAGCTCGAAGCAGAGGAGATGTAAGGCATACTTGTCGAACACAATATGCAAATAGGTTCAGTTTCATGTGAAGATTGTTTGACGCCCTTATGGTGCGGATATGACTACTGCTTAGGCTGGGTTCAGGATATGATACAGTATCATTCATCGCCTGAACGCACAAAGTGCGCATTACAAAACCTCCTATATTATATTCAAAAACCAAGAGGCGATGATTATTGGAGATGTATGGCATAGCAACAGCGTACCGGATGAGACACAAGGCGAGTAATTTTTGAGTATTTATCGTGCAGCTTTGCAATAATGTGACCATACATCAAGGCTTGTGAATGTGGATGAGGTTTGAGCAAATTTTGTCAAGTTACACGAATTTCAATGGCATTGCCGGTGATAATCCTGACGCGGGATCGCGTTCAACTGAAAATTTCCAGTTCAGGAGTAGATACGACGAAGAGCAGGAACCGAGGGGTGATTTGGGCAGACAAAGACCGATTATCACAACGCATCCAGCGATTTTCATGCCTGAGATTTGATAAGTGCAGTTGATAGGCGATGTTGGTTTACAATTTGCCCTTGTTGGCCTTGATCCGTTTCATGCGTTGCTATTGAGGCCTTCAGCGTCAGCAACTGAAAGATGATGCGTGCTATTGGTGCTCGAAAACCGTTACATACCAGTCGCCATTTCTTGTACGCAGAAACTTCTCTGGATGGATGTTTAAACTCAGGGTAATCGAAGAGTCCTTGCACCTGAGCCTCGGATAAAAGCACGCCACCATTCGGCCCAAGGCGCCCAAACCGATCAGCCGATACACCAGCTTCGGTGGCACGAGAGAAGGAATTCCATCTGAGCTGGTTCGGAAGACGTTGTGAAGGTAGTACACTTCGGGTGAAAAGTCGACAGCAGGACATGATTGAGGTGGCCATTGGAGTCAAGGTTGAAATTCTGGTAAATAAAGTCGACCACAGTCTGTAGCCAAAATCTTCATGTCCCGACTCCCAACATCGGGCGTGGGGGTCCGGGCCACGATCGGACCAGACCGGACTAATCATACAACAATGTGACATCTCAAATTCTCAATGGCTGCACTTCGAAGTTCACCTGACAAAATCCCCTCGCAGGGTCGCTCGCCGAGAGACTTTGTTAGGTTAGATGGCTGCGTCTGCGTCAGCAGGGGACTCCTCGATATTCATTTGTACCCAAGTCGGTAGATCTTGCGTGAACCTGCATGAAGCGCTTCATGAACAAGGGTGGTTCTTGGGACCAATCTTCCAGACAAAGTGCATATATTCAACGCATTTTGTATCACTGGAGAGAATCTCAGAGGAAAAATTAAAAATCAATCCGTTTGAGTGAATTGAGAAGGGCGAGAAAGATCTGAACAGCTCCAGATTGGCTCGGAACACAAAAAATAGCGAAAACCTCGCTTCGTCAATCCAATAAACACAGCAAGAATTGCCGAGCTTCCCCTTTCGAAGGCTTGCTCTTCGTTACGAGACTAAGGTAGGCCGATGGAAATTTTCCGCATGACCTGGAATTGAAACGAATATGAAACCTGAGAGAGCCAACGGATTTGAGCGGGATGAGGACTACTGCGAGCCTGCAATATCTGATTTCATGGATTAAAATAACGACAAGTATATATGTGAGGTAAGTTCGACAAAGGCACAGCAGAATCGAAAACGGCGCAGCCAAGACCGAAAGCATTCCTTATACTCTGTAAGACGATTTCAACCTTGGATGAACCCTGATGTGATGGAGCCGATATATTCAGAGGTTTCGTCAAGGCTGCGTTGCGCGGTAAGCTGACTTATATATCTCTGAAGCTGACAGGTGCTGCTAGAAGCTCACTAAACCTGGACGTCAGCATCTCCTTCGAGTCATCGAAATCAAAAAGTTACTTTCATGATGCTTTCACGATCTGCTTCCTTTTTCGGTCCTCTCCTCATTCTCTTCATATCTTCAAGTCAGACGTCTGCCAGCATTCAAGACTTGCAACAGTTTGGAGGGCTACATCAGCATGCGAAGCGAATGAATCTGCCATCTATGATGGCAGGTGGTAAACTGGGCTCGTCCAAATCTCAACATCATGGACCACCTAAGGATCCCCCTGAGCCTCTCAGTGCAAACTGTACCATCTCGGCACTCGTTCCTCAGACTTGGAAAAGTTTGAGATTAGACGACTACCTGAAGAACTATCCCAATGGAAATGCAACTTCCCTTCCTGTGAGTCTTGAACTGAAACGGATTGAAAAACTGTTTTTTCAACTACCTTTGAAGGGATGCTTCTCGATTGATTTTCTATCCTCTCACGTTTGTGATGTCAGGCATACGCCGCATCAAAAGGTCTACCTAGCTTTGAGTGCGGTATTGGTCAACCTTGCAGTTCTGGACAGGTGAGTCATGTTCCATTTTTTCACAAAGAAACAGAGTGTTGAACAAGGAGAAAATTTCCTCATAACTGATTTCTTTTGGATTTTCATAAAAAGCCGTGCTACCCCGCTGCTTTACCAGACTGGTATATTCTGTTTGCAGTTGAACAATGGAACATACAACTCAACTCAATGAAAAAAGCAATTCAGTGGAGCGCCAATTATGTTCGATGTGAGTAAAAGCCATAGCAAGATTTGAATATCGCTTCGATTTTGTTGTCGCTTTGATATTTTCACTAAAACAAACTCATTCATCTTTTTTATTAGCTACAATATCTAGCGTACAAAGTGCATTGTGAGTTTTTGAACATCAGTTGTGCAAAAGCTTGTTGGAGTATCAAGGAGCTTTGGTATGCGTCTACGAGGTGAAGCACATATTAAAGCCTTTCAAAATATTTAGGTTTCCAGCCATCAATACTGAAGGAATAGACAACTTCAAAATTGACTTCATTGAAAATGGAGCTTGCATGATGGTGTCAAACACTATGCTCTTGGACATCTTCAGTCTATTTTATCAATTTCAGGATAGAGTAGGTGATGTGATGAACATCATTAACAATGTGATGTCAGCTGCCTTTGAATTGGGAGGTGGTCTTTTGAATGCTCCTAAACCACCGGAAGGTGATAGAGAGGCCTTCAATGAAGTTAGGCATCAATTTCTCACTAAGAATCTGAATTTTTACAATATGATATTGATTGCTTTCATTTATTTTTTGAAAAAAAAACAGTGGACCCACTTGGAGAATCAAATGGTGCGATATGAGAAAGTGATGGTAGATGGGCTTACAAAACAAGCAGACAAGATAATCAATGCTGGAATAAGCACAGATCAAGGAATCTACGGTCAACTAAAAAATGGAACATACTTACAACCAAATGAAGCTATCTATCTACCACTTGTGACGGATGATCTAAAGAATGTCACTACGGTCGTGACATTGGTCAAAGTTCTACGCTCTGTGGTACGACCCTCAAATCTATTTGTGGAATTAAATCATCAACATTTTGACATCCTTTCTTCTGTTCTGATAATTGTTCAACAGGATGCATTTGTGACCATAGGATCAGTCAGTAATCGATTTCTTGGATGGGCAGGCTTGATTTAAATATCCTGATTTTTGACATCTTTAGGACGTGTGTGCTGGAAATGGGATAAATGGAGCTTTTGAAGGTGATGATATCTTGTCATATTGTGACACAAATGGAACGTGAGTCCTGATAAAATCTTCTGAGACCAAAACTCATTCTATGTGAAACGTGATGATTGGCAAAATCATTGATGTTCACATATTTTCACACAATTCAGGATGTACAATATTGTCAGAGTAAAGAATGAAAGATATGAATCTAAGTTTGAAAATGCTTGGGTGATCTCAGATCACTTTGGTTATTCAACTCAGTTCTTGACCAATGCTTCTATCTCTTGTCAACAAAAGTACGGTGGTTTTGAGCATTTCCCATACAAGAACACGTGAGTGATCATTCTTTACCTCATGTGTACCCAAAGCTTGAAATTCACATCAGACTCTTCATCTCTTCATCAAGTACCCTTCCTCGTGATGCTATGGCAGATTGTATTGTTAACCTTCCGGTATGTGATTTGAGAAATGAAAGTCAGTATTCTATGTACTATAGTCTTTTCAAATTCCTTTTTGTGTGGTCTAAGTCAATTCTGACATCTGTGTGCTTCAAAAAGCTATCAAGCACGATAACAAGAAACATGGAATAGTTGCAGCATGCCGTAATGCAGGCCTACCCATATAGGCTGCCTTACCAGGACCCTCAAACAGAATCTATCTGGATAGCGTATCAGATGGTTAGGACTTTCTTCTGGCCTTTAAGTCCATATGTAGGGGATACAGAGACCTGATGATCAAGTAAATGTTTTATCAGAGAAAATGACCTTAAATTAGTGTAAACCCCAGGATCGTGGGGCCGCCTGAGACAAACCTGAGACTGAGAATTCCCTGAGAATACCGGCTATAACCCATGAATATATGGGTTTAGCCGCAAGGACCTCCGTATGTAAAATTATCACCATACCACTTTTGGACATACCTGGTCATCCCATAAGACCTTTTGTCCATCTCTGCGTGGCTGCCATAGTCCGTGAAATTGAGCTCTGTGACATGCAAGCGGCCCACCTATGACTCAGCATTAACCATCCTCCCCAGTACTCATCGTTGAACCATTACCCATTGTCACTCATTGTCGTACCATTGCCCGATTCCACACGCACTCACTCATTCATTCAAGCACGGAAATGCTACTTCACGACTTTGCCACGCACATGTCCTTCGTCAGTCCTCATCTCACGGCAACCCTCACAGTCGAAGACTTTGTTCGATTTATATCACTGGCCTCCGAAGTCCAACATCGCGCCGGCACCGCGTTGCGTCTCACACCAAAAAGCCCTCCAGTTCTCCCTTTCCTCAGCAAAGCTCTTGACCCCAAATTTCCAACTCACCTTCTGCAAGACTTATGGAGTATCAGCTTCCAATTGTTACCCACCACGAGGTTCGACCCTGTGGCTGCCATCCGAAAACTGGGACTTCAAAGTGATCCCAAAATAGCTGAACAATACCTACGCGCCCCGGTATCGAAATGCCTTGTATGCCCTGAAGCATTATCACCAAATTTGCACCTCCATAGCCGTCTCAATGGATACCTCTACAACACCGACGGTGTCCACCCAGTTCAGACTATCATCCTCGATTGCCCACGTGAGTCCAGTGTCTTGATTGGCATTGGTTTACGTCACGAAGCTGACTTGATACCTTCACTTTGCAGGATGCGGTGCTTCGTATAGGCCAAGTTATTACACACACACCAGGATGCGACACTATTACACCCTTGGAATGGGCCGCGACGTCGACATCCTTCACGTTCACTGCCACTACTACATCACCAACAGGTTGGCCCATATGTTACGTGTAATACAGATGCTTGCCCAGTAAGAAAGATTCCAATCGCATCATTCAGTTTCTTTGAACCGACATACATCAAGCTGATCACTCACACTTTTTTCCATTTCAATACTTCCAAGTGTTTCACACTTCAACTTGACAAACTGGTTTAATGAGGTCTACGTTGAAAACACCGACGTTCCTCTGTTTGAATTGGGTCAGGTGTTTTCCCCGGCGATGTCTGAAGTTGTGTGCCTAGACGGCCTTGAACTGCGGGATTTGCTAGCCCACCAAGATCGTCGCCAAAGTCAACTGGTGGTTCCTGCCAACGGAACGGACGACAATCGATTTGACGAGGCTATCGCCTACCATCTGGACCAATTGGATGTGGAAGGGACCAGATTCCGAGACCATTACTGTAGTAAATGTGTCCGTGTGAAATCAGGAGGGGTGGATCCTGGAACAGGCGAAGAGGTTTTCCTTGGTACGTACAACATTATATTGAGATGTTTAAAGTTAGATGGCAAAATGTTAAGAATTTCTGGCTCTAGGCATCCGCGCCGTGGTCACTGATGGACTCACCATTGGCCACTGGCGCTGCAGCGCAACCACCGAGCAGCTCGAAGAGCTCGCCAGCACGGCAGGACTCCCCGCTCCGGAAGGCCCTTGTACCAACCCCCTCATCAAAAACAACGACCGCTTCTGTGAACATCATACGTCACTTCTAGGCCAAAGATGTCATGTACAGCCGTGTAGACGTGATGCTTTACCAGAGTCCAAAACATGTGGCCAAAACGCCCACATCGAAGCATGGGCGAAATTTACGAACCGTGTGAAATCGAATTTCTCACTAACGGCGATCCTCAATCGCCCCGGTTCAAATTTGCCCTCCGATCCGACTGTCCACCTCGACAGCGAGACAGGCGAGTTCATTGATCTCGAGGGTTTGCGGCAAGCCGATGAATCAAACCGCGCACATGAAGCCGCTCGCGACGGTGGGGAATCGCAAGCAGCTGGGAAAACAGTAATGTCCAGATGCCGGACACATAATGATCAACTCGTGGTTGGATGTTGCGGGATCATCTTGGCGCGGAAGACCTTCTATCACGCTGAATCAGTCAGCGCGGTCAAGGTGAGATTTTAGTCTACAACGGGTGTTACACATGCATGCTGATGATTATCAATTACTCAATTGGTCTTGCAGCACTTTCTGGAGGATTCGTTTCCACAAGGGATGCCCGAAGTTGTCTTTTATGACAATGCTTGCCGACTAACTGAGCACATTTATCATGGAAGAGATACGGATGCGACTTGCTTCCAAGGTACAGTAATACCTGTAGATCCATTCCACCACCGATCTCATGCCGAAAGCGACGACTTTTGCAAGCGCTTCACCGACCCAAAACTGTTTCCCGATATACAAGAAGATGGAAAGTGGATATTCAATGCTTCAGCTGCCGAACTAACTAATATTTGGTACGGTGGTTTCGCCTCGATGTGCCGAAATATGCATTCAATAAGGTATAATTTCTTCTTGGAAGAAATGGTCAACTTGCGCAATATATGGCTCACCAAGAAACTGAGCAAGCGCGCTGGGATGGAGTTCCTGGGGAATGGTTGGGTGTAGTGCTACCCAAACATTTGTACTGTAGATCCATCGCCCAACAGAAACATGTATGACTGGCAATCGTAATATCATGATCGATCACGTAAGATTTACATTCAAATCATACGACTCATGTGTCTCAATTGCATGCAAAGATCCAATCGTTCAAACAGGAGCATGAGTCTACTGTCTGTGTTGAACATAATCTTAAGATAGATAGCATAAGTACATGATGAAAAGTTGAGATGCCTAAATTCATTTGAAAAGTTGAGAAGCTAAAGTCATTTGGGCATTTCCCTCGCTCAATACTAGCTGAACACTCACTCACACTCAGTGGGACACTCATCACTTCTGTTCATCTGTTCGTCTGTTCACAAGTTTGTGCGCAAGTGAAACACACGTGATGTTATAACCTTTGCAACTGCTGACTTAAACGAGTGTAAAGTGATGGTTAGGTATCACAAGGTCAAGATCTATCATGCAACACATTGTGAATCTTAACTCACATCACGTAATGATGTAGCACCTGGTGACAAAAAGAGTTGTACCCGTTTAAATATACGTCAGTCACCAAATCAAAATCCAATCATAAACAACTGTCAACTTACTTGAACAATGAAACGCTTTGAGTGTTTGTCTTTGTTCACAATGTTTCCTTGCAACCACATGAGGGAACCTACTTGAATTTCATCAAGCTCTGGTAAATCGGGAGTAAAATGACCAAAGCGGTAAGTGATCACAAAATCAAGTTTCCTTTGGGTCTGTGTGAGCGACAACAAAATGATCAGTAAATAAAAAGAAGACTAGATATACTATCAGTACTCACTTCGGGGTCGTAGTACTCATGTTCAGCCTGGACTGTGAGATTCCATTCACCTCCTGCATTGGTGATGTTATCCATCACAGCTTCAAGCACCTTGCCCACGCCACTGATTGAGGCTTTCCCAGCTAGTTCTTTGGGATCAGGGGTGTGGTTGCTGAGCTTACTCTCGGTCAGTGGACTGTGCTTCATCAAAGCTCGTCCGGTGTCTGGATCTTGACCAAATGGCCCAGTAAGGAGGTAGGTGGAACCACGGTTGAGCAAATCGTACTCTAATGCAAACCCAAGGGTATGGAGCGGCTCGCTGACAACGTTTTCCCCGACGAGTTTCAAAGCGAGGTCGGATTCAGTGGCATGCCACGCAATGGCACCTGGAAACAAGCGAGTGGCCTACAAGGATAGGAGAAGTCATTAAAGTGAGTCAAATTGGCACTACTTTGACAAGATGAGAGACCGACCTCGCTGGTGGCAGTGACGACCGCGCTCAAAATTGTCGTAAGATTTTTAGGCATGCTGACGTGCGATGAAGGAATGTTAGCATGTTAACGCCCAAACGCTATCCTATATATAGCTATTTGGCGCCCACCATCTAATATCGTATCTGTAATATCGTATCTGTGCCAAGTGACCTTGATTCCACTCTGGTTCAAGACCACGTACAACATTGCAAACGTACTTGGATATCAAGGGTCTGAGTATCCTGGTATATAACCTTGCTGAGATACCAGTCAGCGATGAATGAAGGGTCAGCGCAGGTTGCGCCGGGGGGCTTTGATGGATGTGAAACTCAGGGTCTTTGTTGCTGAGCAACATATCGTTCTTTCTTTAATGTAATTGTTTTGAGATGAAAAATCAAAAATAAAGGAACTGTCATCAAGGTAGTGTTGATGACCCGTGTGGTTCAGGTGTGGCAAAAATCAGTTAGAATCGCGCTGGTATGGCGTGTATGTATTTATTGCACTGATTATATTAAATTTTTGAACGGTAGTGAATGAAATCATTGAAAGACATAATACAACACCGACGCTCGTCATCAATTGACCCTAATCAACATCTTCATTGTTCTCCTCCGGACAGGTTTTGCAAACCTCTTTGAACTCCTTCTGGTACAAAATTCGGGCTTCACCTACATTTGCAAGGGGTTTTGCGCTGTAATCAACCTTGAACCGCTGGTAGTCCACCGTTTTTATCCATAGCTTATACCGATACATAGTGGAAGACACATACTTCCACTCATCGCCAAATTCCTCCTTCCAGGCCACTGCGGGGGGTCGACTGTGAGAGTCCTTATACCACGCCAGAAGTCGTGAAACCAGAACAGAAGAGGAAGGCCAGCCTTTCTTCTTGGTCTTTTCAAGCGAGGTGGCCGTTGTGTCCAGGGAGTTTGTATCCGTGCTCATAGGTGTTGGAGTAGGGCTCGCTGCCAACTCGTCCTCCTCCGGTGACTGTAGGAATGAATGATATCAATGACGCGCCCCGGAATGCCCCTTGAAGTTCACTCACCAGGTGGTCATCTCTTTGAGCATTTCGTTTACCATTATCTGTGCCGTAGTCAAACTCCGGTAGTTCAGAGAGTTCGCGTTCGCGTTTGACCTGAGTGATATTAGGGGATTTAGCAAATTTGCTGTTGACGACAATCACATCAGGAGATTCTTCCGCCGCGCGAGGCGGTTGAGCCTCAGGAGAGCAGCTGCGGACGAGAATGGTGTCTCGAATATGGCCGCCGTTTGTCTCAATCGGGGTTGATGTGGAGGTTGACAACACTTCAAGCTGCGTACTTTGCGTGGCACCCCAATAAGCGGGTACGTCTTGCTTGCTTTTCGATTTTGGCAAACCAAGCGTTCGGGGGTCCACGTTTGCCGACCTGACAACTATCTCCTTTTTGCTGGCGGGGAATCGGTGAGGAAATGTCACCATGGTTTCGTGCTGTTTGGAGTGTTTGGGCGAGGAATTGAGACTTTGAGAGTTCGGTCTCATATCAAGTTGGAAGAGACATGGTACAAACCCAAGTGTCAATCTTTTCATCCCAGAAACAAAGGGCACGGTTCCATCCAGGGCCAAGTGCCTTGGTGCATGCTTGCATGAGGAGGGGTGATTCGTCTAGGCTGGCCTTGGGCCAGTTGGCCAAATGCGCTGAGATAACCTTAGGTTCGGATTCCTAGGTTTAAGGAGTAAGCTTGCAAGTATTCAAACACCTTGGAACATATGACTCACGTTGAGCCAAAGGTAAATCACAACGACTTGTGCTTCGCCGTACTGGTTTGCTATACCCCGTTGAACCGCTTCATATCGTTCAGCTCGGTTAATTTGGATTTTTGAGACAACTGAACTGTCCAGACGTCGTCCAAGTGAGTTGGCAGATTGGGCCCACTGGTGTGGCCGTGGTAGACGTGGCCGTGCTGGCGCTGGAGTAAGGTCAGTAGACGTGCTCGGTTGTGGTTCCACGGGAGGCAGCAACTGATTAGATTTGGTGGCTACAGCTTGGCGAGGAACTGGAGGGCCAGGTCGAACGTGTTTGGGGCATGGGCCCAGACCGTATTCAAGGCAGCACTAGGAAACACACATACGATCAAGCAACGGAAGAAAGCAGTAAATGAATAAGACGATCAACAAATACACAGTGAGCAACATCGTCAATGCAACTATACAACACTGAGACCATACTAACCGCTTGACAGTATTGATATGGGCAACCCTTGTTCCCATTGGTCCGGTGGGTACGTGCCGCTGGCCCACGGGAAGGTCGCAGACAGGGGTGAGAGCCTCTCTGAGTTCGGTGTGGGCCTGCAAGTGAGTTGAGCTGATTGAACGGAGTGAACTCAGATTGGCGACCTAAAAATGGATGTGCTTCGATCGCATTCCTTTTGACCGGTGGATTGTTTGATTCTTTGGTTGGTTTTGGTGGAAGAATCACCCCTGCAGGCGACATTCGGGGTCCCCAATCGGCTGTAGAAGAGACGATTGGGCGAGAAGCACCAGCGTGGATCAGCGCACGTTCGTGGTTGAGCTGATCACATTGCCAGGTTCGCCAATTGTGTTCGTTCCTTGGACGTCGTGGGCACTTGACCGAATAGTGAAAACACAGTTATGGTTAGTGTGAGATCGATCGCGAACTCGATCAATCCAATTTTGTTAAGACTGGTGACTTACATGGATCCGCCATGCGTCTTCAAGTGCCGCATGGTAACGGAGGGGGGTTTGGCATTCTGGACACAGAATGCCAACTAGGGCTCCAACCTTTGGCTCTGGCAGGAATCCTTCGGTAATGAACTGGTATCGTTCGTGGATTAGAGTGGCGACTACCATTCTGATTGCCGAGTTTCTGATTGCCGAGTTCTTTTTGACGAGGTCCAGATGGGTGGTCGAGAGTTGCCCATTGTTTCGTGAACATGATATCTGTGATTGTGAAAAGATTTGTGTTGTCCGCTTTGGTCCTGGTGAAACACTATGCTGTTGAGGTCGTTATTGAGTTCGTCCATCTTGGGTGTATGAAACAGAGAGATACGAGGGAGATATGGGTAGTCTGAAAGGTTGTGACAGGCTGGCAATATGACTGGTCAAAACATAACAAAGGGTTTTTGACGCATATTACAGGACGTGTAATATGCTACTATGTATGCTGATAGTGGGGGTGCTGTATTCTCAGAGTCTCAGAATTTTCTCATTCTCAGATTCTCAGGACAGAAACCCGGATCCTCTGGTGCTCCCTTAAATTACTGTCACATGAAAAAATCCAAACTCACACCTCTCAATATCTCAAAATGTCTAGACAAAATGGGAAACCATCATTCCTTGCTTCAAAAAATACTCTCGTAGCTTCCACAATAGGGGATTCAAGTTTGCTTTTTGTGTGCCTCTTTTACAAATCTGGACAAATTGTTCATAAGAAAAATTGTTGTAAACCAACATATTTTTAATTTGTGACACCTTTTTAGGTGTCCTGCTCTAAAAAATTTACACATATTTTACAACAACAGGCAAGTTGTTGTAGCGTAAAAATACACAAAAACCTTTGACTTGAAACTCCCCAATACATACTTCTTTTATAAAATCATCTTACAATAGAAACCCTATAATCTCTGAGAATGTGATATTGGACTGCTCTGTGCCTTGATGCATAATTCATGTTTCCTCCTCTTATCAGATCAGTGGTTCTTGATTTAACTGGGCCTATAAAAGCTGGAGTATATATTCCCACACACATCAAGTTTCTTCTGTTTGAGGGTAAATCTTACCTTGTTTTCTTCCTGAGGGATTCTTTGACATTTTGGGACTTCTGATGCTCATGAATCTTGAGCAATAGAGCAGATATGATACTCATTGAACATGGGCCTTGATGATGATCAATCATGTTTTTCCAAATCCAATCTTAGATTTTGTAGAGCTTGTGGCAAAAACTGTTGAGGTGTCCTCCAAACAAGATTTTTCAAAACCTTTGGATCATTGAATCTTCATAGCAATTGAGAAATGATTCCAGAAATATCCATATAAAGTAAATAGAGCATGAGAATTAAATAAATCAATTGATACAAACAAACAAGTGAAATAAAAGTAAAAAGTATAAGAAAAATCACCACCAAGGAAATCAAGATCAAAAGTCAACTTTGTTGATCAAATACTTTAGGAAAAATTAATATTAAAGAAGAATTCATGTATTTAGATGCTTCACAGAAGGATTGGAAGTTTTATTTTCTACTCCAATTGGATTATTGGAATTCTCCACCAACACCTTTGCTGCAATTATCATCTCAGGAATTGCCCCGTTGGTGTCAAAACTGATGTTTTCACGAGTATCAGTAAAGTTTCTTGAATTAATTCATTTGAGAAAAAGTAATACGCATAATTTTGACTCACAATGCAATACCACCAAGCTTTGAGGATAAGATAAATTTCATCTTCAATTTCACACTATCAACATCATCATAAGTAATCAAAATCTTCTTGGCTCTACTGATAATATAAGGCTAAATTGTATTCAATAGTAAGCTTAAGAGTAAATATCAAATAGTTGATAGGTAAAGCTTTCAAACTTTCGGCTTGATTTACTTGCAAAGAAATGAGTATAATTGAATGAGAAGTACTCACCACTCCACTGCATTGATCAAACCCTCTATCAAATCCACCGGTACCGTGGCTCAAGTCTCGAGAAAGCATCCCAAGTTTTAACAATTCTTTTATCTGAAAGGTGCCAGTATGATTTGTTGGTTTACCACAAATATCTAAGCCACCTGGTTTACTATCAGATGGTCCACCAGGCTATAAAGAACAAGATGTATCTTTCAGTTTAAAAGCGATTCCCAAACCAAGAGACATAGCAAGAGACTTCACACAATCCTCCAAAAGACTTACAATTATAGCTTTAGTATGTTTTTGATAAATATATGAAGTCGCCCCATTAGGAAACTTGGTACCTTTAATTACATTGCTTTTCAATTTCCAACCGTGTCCAAAGTTGGCAATACTGATGATTAACTGCTTAGGCTGGAAAGATAATGAAAGGTAGAGCTTTACAGCTGATTGCACTGAAAACTTATTATCCGCGTCATTGCATTCATCATATAATGGTGCAGAAGGGCCAGTTGTGTCTGACCAAGATCCATACACTAAGATGAAACGTCACAATTGACAATTAATGATCAACGACTATTACCTCAAGACATTTTCAGTAAAAGCTCACCATCATATGTCATAAGGATTCTATGTTTAATGTAGTCAACAGGAGAAAGTTAGTGTGTCTGATGTCTTACATCAAAATTTGAATCCAGAGCTTACACATAATCCACTGAAGCGACGATTTTTTTGTACGCTATGATAGTCTTTTCATCTTTTCCTGGCGGACCAGCAATCCCACCAATGTAACCTGAGATAGATATCCAAGGTTGTTTTCCTCCAGTCTTTATTAGCTGAACAATTCAATAACAAGTGGTAATTTTTTGGTCAACATCAGCTCCAAGAAATTAATCATGATCCATACCAATGTGAACTTACAGCAAGAAATTCTGAAAAGTTGGTTAAATCATTGGGTGAGATTGAATTACACCCTACCCCTTGTCTACTCAAACCAATATAAGCAAAAGAAGCATTCTTCAGATCGGAAATCCGAAGCAGTTCAAACCAAACAAGAATAACTCACTTCCCAGGATCTATGGAACGAAGTTCCAAACAATGGAGGATTCAGTTGATGAACTGAAATTTATCTGAAGTTAAACTCCTTTCCATGATTGGTAAAAAGACGTACAAATCCAAGAAAAATCAAAGCCTTCAAATCCGAATTCATCGATTAACTTCATCAAGTTTTCCGCATAAACCTTTCTTTTCTCAGGAGTAGATAATAATTTTGAAAAGAATCTAAATTTCACCCGCAACGAGAATGTGGCATCAAAGGCTTTGAGTTCAGTATCCTATGATCTACTGATTCCTTCGATGTACTCACCTAGAACCATTCCATCCACCAGTACCCAAAATAGGTCTAACGCAATCTATTTGGGATCCAATCAGTCATCAACTGATAAATAAGATAAATATTCTTCAAGATAGTCTACTTACTTTCTTTTGATCTTTTAACAAATTCTTTTGCTTTCTTTGCCCAAACTGATTTAGGTCCATCAAAGTCAAAAGTACCATTTTGCAAAGGTGAAACGGTAAAGAAAAGGAGATCGGTATAATTTTCTAGAAAAGTTACAAGGTATATCGTGAAAGATATCAATCAATTTATTAAATCATCTCAGATCTTTTGAAGATTTTTTCAACAATTTGGAGAAGAATAATGAGCTAACTTACTAAATGGGATCGATGCAATTGATTGTAGTTCATCATTGTAAGCAGCATAATAACCAACTACCCTAGTTCCAAGTTTTGACCCTGGACACTTCTTTTCGAATTCACTTGCGTAAACAGAAGTTTGAGTAGTCGAATCACAATCACACGGTTCATCTGGATTGAAACCCGATGAATCCGAAGTATATGTGATCTCAACCTCAGTTGTTACTATGGTTGTACTTTCAAATCGAAAGTTTTCATTGTTTGCTAGATTTGTTGGGTTTTCAATTCTTAAGATTTCATTGTTTGCTATATTTGTTGATTCTTGAACTTCTTCTGCTTTTGAAAAACTTGATAGAAGTAGATTCGGGATGCTCAATTGGAATAAAAAGCTGATCACTTTCATCACTTTCATCTTTTTCATCTTTCCCTTATCTTCTCTTATCTTCCTTCTTGAAGACTAATGTCTACTTTTGTTTAGCTATGACTCTGAGAAGACTTCACACTTGTCCCTTGCCTTGTTTTGTAAGAAACTCTATTTGTGTGAGAAAAAGCGAGGGGATCTCAAGAAATGAAATAAAAGGTGGGCAAGAAAAGTTTGTTGAAGAGACTGTAAGAAAGCGTTTAGCATTTATCAAAAAGTTTCTCATGATCTTTGTTGAAAAGTCAATTCTTCCAGGTGATCACATATTAAGACTCATCCAATCGTTGTTAGTTACTGAGATCTTCATTTAAATTTTTCTCATGTTTCTTGTGAACACAAATGATCACTAATGAACCGATTTGAAGTATTCTAACAACGGAAATTTATTCCTTTGACTACGATTTCTTATCTCTTGGTGAAGATGGATTTTCATCGATACACCCCGATAACCTCGCCTCTTCCGAGTTGGTTCTCCCGAGGGCGAGGGACTTGTTATAAGTCCAGTCGGCTTCGGTGTCTTCCAAATAAATCAACTCACTCACTATTAAGGTTGATCATCAACCATGTGAAAAGATGTATGTAGTTATCTTATCAAGTTTTCTTCCTTGTGTTACGCAGACAATCGAAGCTGCATGCATACTTCCTCGGGGATCATATCATCAACCGAATTCCCTAAAAATCAAGAAAGCAACCTACTCTCAAGACAATTTCCGGATGCCTAAAAACATGCGCCGATGGGTTTGGGTCAGCTCCATCCGAAGAGTGTTCGGAGCGCAGCTGCGATGGAAAGGGCATCTGAAGGAATTTGTTGACCTTTGTCAATGCCTCAGATCAGCTCATCGGATCATGGATGCTGCAATTCTCAGGGCCTATCTCTTCTTAGCAGATGAAGCCTCATCAATCATAGCTTTGTCAATGGATCGAGGAAGGAAAAGCTGAACATATCAGCGCACATATGTAAAACTACATAGATCCATCCGTGACAAAATCAAATTAGACCATTTATTTTGCAAGAGGGTGTTATGCCATCGCAGTGCTATATTTCAACTTATATCATACAAACCCTTCAATTTCAGAATTAATAGAAACATTTTTTTTTCAAGAAAATTTAGATATATAAAAGCTGAAACTTAGAACTCAAGAAAACAGCCCTATTTTTAAAAATGTAAACCTTTACCAGCTAACTCTAATTCACGTCTCAATCTACGTTCATGTTCTCTTGATTGAATATTACTTGCCACTTCTTGTCTTAATTGTTCATTCTCTAATCTCTTTCTTTCTACTTCAACTCTTGTTCTATCATTTTCCCATCTAATCAATTCTTCACGATATCTTTCTTGTTCAATTCGATTACGTTCTAAAATCTCTCTTTCTTGTTGTTCATGTCTAGCTTTTTGAACTAAGTAAACTGCTTCTGCTCTTTGTCTTTCTAATTCACGTTCTTGTTCTATCGCAAATTCAGTTTCGAGTCTTCTTCTGGTTCTTTCTAATTCTAATTCACGAATTCTAGCTTCTTCACGAACAGATCTCAATTGTTCAGTCAATCTGACTTGTTCAGTGGTTAATGCTTGAAGATTCGCATTAAGGCTTGCATTTAACATCACTTCCGGTCGAGCCCCAATGCTTGAGCGCCTTCGTCGATGGCCAGATGCACCCAGGACACTTCCTGGATGATGCCACATTCGTTCAAAGCGTGAAGCAAGTGATGAAGAAAGTGGTAATCGATTCGCAGTCCAACGTCGAAGACGATTCCCATAGTGATCACGCCAGCTTCCAAGCATGGTAGGCGTGTGTCTTCCATGGTGACGAGACCCGTAGCGTCTGGCCCACCAAGCCTTTCCGATAAGTCCGAGTCTTAGGCGCTCTTCCTAAAAATTGGAGTTTGTAAGAAACTGACAGCTTTGTGGTTTATAAATTGCTCGTCATGAGGAAATTTGCTCACCTCAGCCATCAACTCGTATCGACGCGTGCGTTCGGATTCTGCTAACTCCTCAAAAGCTAAACGGTCACGCCAACGTCTCGATCGCTCAGCTTCACTGATATCACCGGCAAAACGCAGGGCTTCCTGTGGAGGTAAAAGATTTGGTGGTCATTGAGTGCAAGCCACGTTTTTGGCCACGAAATGAGTTTGGTACTGACCTCATACTCCAGCAAGTCTGCATACGCTGCGTAGTAGTCTACGTCGTGGGAATGTACATATCAGTTTCAGCTCATAGCTTGATCGCAATTCTTCTATCAAGGAGCAAATTCGCTTACCATCTTCAGCGCGATAGTAGGGGCCATAAAGGTTGTGATCGTAAGCATTGGGGTTCCAATGTTCGTCAAGAAAGCTATTGCCAGGCGGAGGTGCCTCAGAATGATATAAGCCAGCTACAAAGTAAGGTGGTCAGTTGGAATGATCCAAGATAGGATATTTATGAAATCTTTGAACGAACTCACGCATTTGATGAGTCCCGGAGCTAGGCGGAAGGTGGTCAAAGGTCACAATAGAAGCTCGATGAGGAGAATGAACAGGGTAAGGTGAATGCGACCGATGAGGAGAGTGCGGAGGATAAGGAGAATGTGATCGGTGCGGTGAGTGAGGAGGATACGGTGAATGTGATCGATGAGGTGAATGTGACCTCAAGGGCGAGTGCGACCTCAAGGGCAAATTTGACCTAAAGGGTGAATGAGAGCGATAGGTTGATTGCGCAGTTGGGGGTCGATGGGGTGAGCGAGCACGAATGAGGTCTGTTGTATGAGTAGGTGGGAGAATGTTTTGATATTAGCAGAACGTCAAATTTAGATTTCTACAATTGAGAGAACTCAGCACAGCTGAGCACAGCGGAAAGAAGACTATAAGAAAGTTCAACAAAAGATGTTCTAGATAATTTAAAGCGTGATAAAAAGTGGTATGTAGATAGAAATGTGAATGACGAGCAGGTGAGAAGTGAGGCAATTATACCTACCTGGATAGTTAGAAGTGATCATATTGTCGAAGTATAAAGAATTTCAAAGAAAGGCAGGAATTTGTGAATGTAACGAGTTTGAGTAGATAGCTGGATGCACTTTTGTGAAAAGTGGCAGATGATGAAAGGTGATCGTTGGATGAAACGGTCGACTAGCTTGAGTGTGAACGGGGAATTGCTTGAAGGGAGACGATCAAACGATGAGGAAAGTTGAACCCGATATCGGGCAGTGTCAAAGAAAAATACAAGAAGAAACTGACATGAGAATCAGTTGTAAGTCAACGTTGATAATCAATGTGGCTTGCGGAACTGAGACTACAAAGGGAGTGAGAATGAGATGGAAGATGATTTAGTCGATCAATGGCTAAGTTCTTTGTACTTATCCCCTAAGTGAATATGTCATGGAGGATATTTATATGTTAATCAAAGGAGGAACTTGAGATATGCTATGCCTATCACGATTCCTTTTCCATCATGTGTGTATCTCCTATTTACAAGATATAATTTAATTCTCCTCATCAGCCTATCAGGAGTTCCGCAAGAGCTGCTTGAGTTTAATCACATGCAATCGAATATCCAGCTCTTGTGATCAGTCTTGCTTTTGATAAATATCTAAGCTACTGCCGATTGCACAAAGCTTGCCAAAGTTTTGCGCCGATTTGCTCGAGTTTCGCGAGAAAAGCTGCTCAGAATTGGACAAGCTTTCTGAACTTGACATCAACCTATGCCTCGGAGCCGACGCTCCCTCACATCACTAGCTGGTAAACTTCATCTTTGTCACATTGAGCCGCGGAAGACGAAAAGGACTTTGGCTCAGTTGTACATACACTTGTGGTGAGCGGGTTTGTAACTTACATCTTGCAGCAGCATGATACCCTCCAGCAAAGTTCCGAAGCCGGCCCGCTCTGGTAGAAGCACAGCGGATCGAACTACCTCGTTTGACGGCTCGCTTCCTCTCTTGCTGTGCAAAAATTGCATCACGTCCTTTTTGAAATCTTCGTTGCAACGTTTTCCCTGTGAATTCAGGAGCATTGGGGTGAAATGTATTTGTGGGGTTTCAATCAGCTCACACAATTAGTTTGTGATTTCATCCAAATCTCCGTTGCCTTTGCAGACCTGAAAGGAGACATCTCGAAAAAGTATGACAGTAAATATTCAAGTGACAGTATATCAAGGTCTTAAAACTATTCACCCGCTATATAGAGCTCCACCGTGAACCTGATTGCGCACTCTGATATGGCAGCTGGTCCGACAAGTCTAGAGACAAAAGCTCAGGTAGTCAAAAATATGCACCCAATAATTTCGAGGGAGAAAACAATGGTCATACATAGCAAGTATCTCGTCTTGAACCTTCTGGTCCTCATCAATTGCCTTATGCCTTGAAGCTTCATATATTACTCCTGAGTGGGGTGGGTTCAGCTGGTAGCAGCTCGGGGTGTAACTTACCCTTATAAGATTTCTACTGTTACTATCACTACGCAAGATCAGTTATATTTTGTCATTGAAGCAGCTTCCTTCACTATGTCTTCCCTTTGGGATGCATTCATTGTGTAAAGAAATGGTTTAGTATCCACTGCCAACTAAAGTTGTGACCTGTGCTTTGGTAGACGGCTACCTGTACACATTTGCCTTTCAATCTTGTTGTATGTTGATGTCTTTCAGGGTTGCTTCTCTTATGTAGATGGTTTTCATATGTACTTCTGTGTTTCAAAGCCCACATGTTGGTTCCAGAAGTTGAAGCTCATTCAGAAACAACAAGCCAGTACCTCATGGTGATTATTGAGGATGTGTAATAGTATTGAGATTCTCAAGGTCACAAAAAATTAAGGTACAAATATCCCTATAACCCTAAACGGGAAAAATGGCGGGAAACAAATTTTTAAGAGTTTTTAGATTTAGCTAAGACGTCGGAAGACAACGAGAAGAGCTAAAAACCGTTGATAAATAGATGTGGATGATACAAAAAATCAGATAATAGATTTGTAAGAGAGAAAGAGAGATCATACAAAATCTTCGAAGTAAAGCAGATGATAAAGAACCATAGTAGAAAAGCGGTCACCTAGAATGCACTTTCTGGAAATCCGGGCTAAGTGATCAATGCGGCTTAAATGTCTATACGGGTGGTAAGGTTTATCCTAATGTTTCATACCTGTTTGAATTGACGTTTTGTGCAGGATTGTAGCTTCTAACAGTGTATCGTACGGCGTTAAAGGTGGTAGAATGCAAAACCAAACGATAGCTTTGTGATACCAGCTAGTGGGTCTAAAGCTTTCAAATACGGAGATGTGAGCTAGGATGGAAACATAAATATATTTCAGACTCGACGTAAAGCTAAATCGTCCCCCTAAACCCTGCTCAGAGTCTGAAGTAGACTTTTGCTCCACATCAACACGCAGTCGATGATGCTTTTCAGCAGACATTCACTATCTCTGGTCTTCCTCGCTTTGTCGCATGCTGTTGCTCCGCACAGCCTTCCAGCAACGCTTCTTGAGGAACTGGGACGTGCGTAGAGCTCACATTAAAAAACTTCATCTGTTTATCATGGTTTTTGCACCACATGAAAGACTCTTGCAAAATAAATACTTCTTTTACCGAACCGAATTTCAGACTAATCTCTTTGAACCTTTGTAAATTTTTGCGCAGGTACCAGCAAACTGGATCATCTCGATCCTGAAAGCATCGTAACATGTCGTCAGTTGTGGACTTCGTTCCACCATTGCAAACCGAGTCTCTCGAAGCCTCTTGGCTCGTTTTTCGAATTTGCTCAGTACTTATGTTTCCTTTTTATGGTTAGGTTGGGATGGGAATAAACCAGATTCATATCGTGAGCCGAGGTGGATGCACAACCAAAGTAAGTCAATTTGAGTTTCCATGCTTTGATGCGTGGTCCTAACAGCTTGTTTTTTATCTTGTCATACAATTCACCTCTTAATTAATGTAGATGTGTTTTTACCGCTTGCTACTTCACTATTCGATAAGATTCGGAAGCACAATGCGCTCCGTACGGATCCAATTGGGGACAAGGAGAAGTATTCAACCCCGGAAGATGTTCTCCTCATGCTTATAAAGATCGCCATGCAACCCACAAATGACGAGGTGAACAAACCGTGGGAACTTAGCATGCACCAGGCTGTAAACTATTTGAACGCTGGTCAGTCTCTCTTTCCAAAGATGGTAACGTCATACCCAGACCTGAAGGAAGTCTACAAGCCCCATAAACATGCTGACTCTATATTTCAACACCTTTCATCTAGAGAGGAAGACTTCGCTCGAAGCAAAGGACACAGAACTTGCTACAGTCTAACCCGCGCAAATGCATAACTTGGGTGGAAGGCTTTCGCTATGCATTTTGACGGGTTATGCAATTCCATTGTCAAATTTGGCAGTAAAAAGTATCAAAATTTAGGATTTTTTCTATGCATTATCACGGGTTATGCAGTTGCGCGGGTATGCATTTGCGCAGGTCAGACTGTAGCCTGTTGCAGAGAATCCCACTGGATGTACAAACAAATATTCTCAAGCGCGTTTCCGTTTCAAGTGTTCTAAGTAAATTTTTCATGACGTTACGACCTGATGATCCATTACGCAGATTGGTTTGGCAAGAAATGCAACTTTTGAGTTATTTCACTCAAGTAGACAGGGAGGTGTTTCGAAATTTACACCGCGACGATGAATTTTTAAATACTATTGTACAGTTTCATGCCTTGGAATGTCAGAGAGCTGGAAGCAGAGGTTGGCTTGGGAGTTTGGCAGACACACCTGTTTTATTATCTAATGAACTGGCTGATAGGATTGTTCCTGCGAACCTCTGGCCGTTGGCGGATTATTACCAAGATTATGATCGACTTCTCAATGGTTAGGTCTATCACCTTTATTTCAGTTTGATTTGTGACATGATAATTCATATTTTTTATCTTTGTTGATTTTCTCCAACACAACTTCTCCATACAGAGGGCCAAGGCGAGTTGAAGGAAAGGCTAGATCGGTTTTTATTTACAAACTTCATGTCTCGCTCAGTATATGGACCAAACCAATATGTGAACCCCGGCATTACTTTGGCTCGCAGAATTAATCAGTTACCCACTGGATGGTGGCTGAGTTCATCACAAACTGAGGTCGAAGGGGAAGTGACCCAATTGATAAAAGACCTCATCGAAAGTATACGTTCAGATTATACTGCGGCAGCCACGGCACTTCGTGAACAAAGATCAACATCTCCACGATTAAACATACATTCATATCAACATAGTCCAGCTCATAATCCCACAATAGGCCAACAAACAAGTATCTTAAGTAGATTTCAAGCTGCACAACATCTATGCAGATATCTCGGGGTCGATTTCGATCAAGTCTTTTCAAGTCAGATTCAAGAACATGGACACGTTCGTGTCTGGTTAAGATTCTTAGCAGCAAATTGGTCAAGATCATATAGCATACCTCGCAGAGCATCTTCTCTAAGATATGTCACACCAACGGGATAACAATTGTTTATAATCTTTCAACACATGAAGTTTGTAGGTGGATACTTAAGCTTGAAGGAACTGTAGAAAACTTTTGTCCCTAACTCATCTCTCTCTTGATCTAATCCATAGTCCGATGCATACAATGTCTCAAACTATCTTATCCCTGATCAGTTTGTATACAAGTTCAAGATCCTTCTAGTGATCATCACAAACCTCCCCCCAAACATCATCAAGAATAACCAGCTGAATTTGAATTGATAGAGCCTTTGGAAAATTTTGAACATGGGTATGTCTCACCTCAAGATGTTACATCCGTTTTGCTAAGATTTCACCAATGCTACCAACACTCAAACCGTACCGCAGTGAAGTGGACTTCGGTCCAGGCAACGGTACGGTACGGTCTAACCTTAAAACCTCACCGTCATCGTATTGAAGTCAAGGGTATTCTTGGCCAATATTTGTACTACGGTACGGTTGCCCCGTAGTGAGCCGTACCGTAGCGGCCGTAGTCACCGTAGACTACGAGTACACAGCGGTTGAGCAGCGAAAAAAAGAATTACACCACTTCGCGCATGCCTTGAGAGAAGAAAAAACATCACCACCGATGCTCATCCAAGACTGGAAGATAGATGTCATCTCACAGAGCTTTGGCAAAGAGATTGACCGGACTTCATCAAGAAATGTTGCACTCACACTTAGGAGCACGAATTAAAGGTCGAATGCGAGCTTACAAGGCATATATCGGAATGTCTCAAATCATCTTACAGGTGTCAAGTGGTAATTTGACGAGGCAAGCAGTACTAGCTTGATAGGCAGCTCGATTATGAGAATATGAAGCGACCAATGTGATGGAGACAAGTCATTAAATTTTTGAGTTAAGCCTAAGCGTACTTGGAGATCTGTAAACGTCTTGCATAGTCAAATTCGGTAAAGAGGTATAACAGTGGATCGATTAATGAGTCAAGCACACAGGCAAAGAAGTGAACAAGACAACCAGACGAGATGAGGTGTGTGAATTTTGAACCTCTAGCGTTGGCTAGATTATACATAGGATCAAATCCATGCACTGAGTTGGACACAATGATGAGTAATTAATCTCGTAGTTGATCGCTTCAGAACTTGGTATAATGGTAAGGTAGAGGGAAACAAAGTTTGGGGACCAAAAGTTGCTTGAAGTGAGGCCGGCAAACATCTGCTGTCTTTTTGATCTCAGCAACTTGGAGGATCTAAGGAGAAAAAGAGAATTGTAAAATGAGTGAATTATAAACTTGATCATGATGATAATCAATTCGAGGTTTGCTTCACCTGAATCAAACAGAATCGAGCACAGTGTCGAGAAGCCATGTCCTGGTAGCAAGCGTGAACAGCATCGGCTCGAGACATCTCACGGGATTCCTTGTACATGTTGTGGCCCCAGATCGAGAATCATATCGCAACCAGATACCAAAGTTTTTAACCTTGAGAGGTTTTTTCTTGTGAATCTAATAGAAAAAGAATAATAGATTGTGAGTTGGGATTCAAGAAGAGAATAATGAATCTCAAGACTAAAGATATGATCAACATACTTGATTAATTCCAACAATCTCACCCAAAGCTTTCTTCAGCTTTCTTAATTGTCTAAGATAGTACCAAAATAGCACACAGTCGTTGAAATCTTACCATCTTGGTATTCCAAAGCTTGAGGCTGAAGAAACCGGAGTGACCGTACTGAACTCCAAACTACGGTGGTGATACAGCCAGAATACGGAGACGGCGGTACGGTAACCCCCCTAATTATCTGAGGATTCCCAGACTACGGTACGGTTTGACCGTAGCGGGTCAGACCGCAGCCTACGGTGTCTAGACCGTACCACACCGCACTGTAGGCCGTTTTTCTCTGCGGTTTGGTTTGTGTGTTGATGCTACTCAGTCTCAAAGCCTTGAACCCAACCTTGACGCCAGACATAGATAAAATCCCATAGTTTGAGATGGATGGGGCTCCTTGGAGTCTCTTTTTCTTCTGATACCAGAGGACAAATTTCTCCAGTAAAGTCCTGGAGCCTGGCGGGCTTGTTGTAGGAATACTCATACTCGTGTACAGAAATGTGATAACAATCACCAGCAATGGGCTACCTCCCTGTTGAGTTTCTCTTGGTCAAATCTTATTCATAGTGAATGATCAATTGTAAAAGAGCATGGGGTAGTTTGAGCCACATTCAAGGGCTAATATTAGAGTTCTAAATATGTTGTGAGTAAGGTCCACCTCTACAGTAAGCTCCAGAAATAAAGACCCAAATACCACATCAAACCCCAGGAGGAGAACAGGTATGTGTTGTCTGATGTGCTTTGCCATCTTGACACAGGGTACAGATTGTTCACATTGGGAAAGTCCCCCACAGACTTCCCCAGAGCTGCAGGGAATACTTTGCTATGACAGGGCAATAAAACCTTTTTCATCTACAGTCCTGGAATGGGAATATCTTCCTAGGCTTACATTTTTTGGGGGATTTTGGGTTTTGTTGCAAAATGATGCTTAGATCATAATTTGAAAAGTGGACTGATTGGATGGACCTTCAGTGCCCATACAAAGTCTTGAAGCATGGGTCTTGATCTGATAGTCAAAAATATGCAAAGATAAGTTCAACTTTTATCTGTATAAAAATGACACAATTCTCTTCCTTCCAATTATTAAGATTAAGATAAGTATAGTCTAAGTACCCTATAGGCAAACATGTACAAAGATAAGTTCATCTTTGATCTATAAATATCTAAATGACACAAACTAGGAACAACTTCTATAGGGTCACTGCTGGCAAAGATGCCTCAGATTGTAAAATCCAAGGCATCCTCGGGTATACATTCCCCCGGACTGCATGTCTGAGGAATTAATCCAAGGCTTTCTTTGCCCTCTAAGATTGCCTTGGATCTATTAATTGGACATCACGTCCAAGGCTATGATGAGATGAGCTGAGATGACCAAGTAGTATGTTGAAGTCAATTTGATCTTTGTGATTATGACGGTGCCGGCTCACTCTATTCATAATCATTGGCTTATTAATTCTCTGGACTTCTTTGCTTCATCATATTACGCTTGTTACTGTAAGATGTATGACGTCAATGTTCAACTTCGTTATAAAAGACTCTTGTGTGCTGTTTACCTAGATTCTTTTCCTTCATCGAACTTGAACATTTTCATTTGTACAATCTTCATTTCATCTCAGATTGTTCTCATTCAGTTTGGTCAAGTGCGCAGCTTCAATAAGCTGATTACCTGACTCTCACAGGTGTAATTTGTTGTTGTCTAATTAGTTGTTGTGGATTTTGCAAATCAAACTTAAACATTTTCATTCGTACAATCTTCATTTCATCTCAGATTGTTCTCATTCAGTTTGGTCAAGTGCTCAGCTTCAATAAGCTGATTACCTGACTCTCACAGGTAAAATCCACTTTAAGTGGTTATGAGCCCAGCTCTCCTACAATTAGCTATCATCATCATCATCTTTATAGTTTTAAACTCAATCACAAAGTTTAAATCGCACTTGTCAAGCAATCTTGATTTTATTGGACTTGATCAACAATTTCAAAGACCGATGCATACATTCGACATCATTATGTCAGCTGATACAAAACTTCACATCGTTAAGCTTAACAATGAGAATTATACTGAGTGGAAAGGTGACATCACCGGTTACCTTATGTCTCATGGCCTCCAAGAATTCCTTATTCCCACGCATACTCCAGTTTCTCGAGGATTCGAAGGAGATGCTAAGATTAATTTTGAAGCATATGTCACTCGACAGAACAAAGCCGTTGGTATCATGTACAGCTATTTAACCGAACCTTTTTGAATTCAGATCAAAACTGAAGGTCTTCTATCTGATCCTGTTGGAATCTGGAAGCATCTTAAAGAAAAATTTCAGTTGACTACTGCCGACAGTCAAGGTCGTGCTTTTCGAAACTTCCTTCGAATACCCTTTGTTACCCTTGCTACATATATCAAGGATGTTCAAAAAGGTATTTCATTGATGGAAGCATGTGGTTGTCCCACTACGAACCCAATTCTTGAACCATTATTGTGTGAAGGTATCATTTTTAAACTTCCAGATTTGATGGAGACAACGATTTCATTGATTGGTTCCAAGCGCTTTGAAACCGGTTCACTAAGTTACAAGATTGTGTTGAATATGTTGGATTCTCATTTAATTGACTTCAACGATCGACATCGAGAAGATAATTCAATCGCCTTGATGACGACGGCTGCTGCTGCTCCTAGTCGCAGTTATCCATATCCTCGTTGTACAAACGGTCGTCATAATCCTTCCGTGACAAATCATTCTGCTGATGATTGCTGGATTGAGAAACCACAATTGCGACCACCACGTCGACAACCAAATACGCGTTTTCAAACATCACAATCCAGAGCTACTACTGCTATTCTTTGAAGCGCGTATGTAGATGATGTAATTGAGACATCAGCCTTGTCCTGTTTGTCTAAGTCACCGGACGATGCTATTCTACTGGATAGTGCTTGTTCAGATCACATGATCTCAAATCAAGACTTATTCAAAAATTATCAACCTATTGAATCCAAAGTGGCTCTGGCAGATGGTAAATCAATTCATATTGCTGGTAAAGGTGACATCATCATCAAGTCTTTTGGTTCAGAAATCATTCTTTCGGCATTTCATGTTCCTAAACTCGGCAACTCTCTCATTAGTATGGGATGTTTGTTAGAGGAGGGCTACGACTTCTCTCATGAACAAGGAGTTGTTGTGATGACAAAAGAGAACGTTGGTCGCTTCACTGGCCAAATTCGGAATCGTGTAATCGAGCTCAGCGTCAACATCGGTACGTCTTCCGTCATCTGCAATCGAGTTACTCTTTCTGACTATACAACTCTTCACAGACAGTCAGGTCACACCAATCCAGTGCGACTCAACGTCATGTACGGTGTGAAATCTCCAGACAACTGGTTCTGTGAGGAATGTGCCCTGTCAAAAGGTCATCGTCTGCCGTATTCAAATCCTTTACCCAAAGCTTCGTTTCCCTTAGAGGTTGTTCATAGCAATCTCGGTGGCAAAATCTCTTCTGCTTCTGAGGGTGGAGGACACTATTATTTTAAGCTTACAGATGCATATACTAATTATAAATATGTTTACATTATGAAATCAAAAGATGAAACTTTTGCGTATTTTATGAAATTTAAAGCAGAGGTTGAAACTTTTCATAATAGAAAAATCGTGAGCTTAGTTAATGACGGAGGTGGGGAGTACATGTCTAAAGTCTTCTTGAAAATACTTTCTGAGAATGGAACAACTTCATACATTAGTGCTCCTTATACGCCCCAACAAAATCCTGTCTCTGAATGTGGCAACAGAACCACGACTGAGAAAGCTAGAGCACTGTTGAAACAGTCGAACTTACCTATTTTGTTCTGGGGAGAAGCCGTTTCAACAGCTGTGTTCTTGGAGAACATTACGCCAATGGCTAAAATTGAACATCAAACGCCATATCAACTTTGGTTTGGTCGAGCTTTCGACATGAATTGCTTGAAACCCTTTGGCTGTCAAGCGTATGTCTTGAATCCAAAGAAATTGCGAAAGAAATTTGACGACACCTCTTTCAAAGGACTTCTTCTTGGCTATCAGCTAGGGATGAAAAACTATTGAGTGAAGTTGGAAAATGGCAAAACGGTGTACTCTCATGATGTCACATTTGATGTCAACTCATTTCCTGGGATTGGTGCGGAGGATCATCAGAGTGAAGGTCTTGTGGAAGTTTTCGATGATGGGGTTATCGCTCCGTTAACGACTTCCTCACGTTCAGATGCGTCTTCACCAGATGCAGTGGTAGGTCCAGTTGCACTGGTAGTACCTGTGGTAACTCCTACAGGTCCAATAGCACAAATTTGCCATCAGCGGTGCCTATGGATATCAAAGTTGTACCAGATCTTCCGGTTCCACCCATCGTGCCTATGTTACTGGATACACCACCTGTCACTCCTCCAGGAACGCCACCGGGTCAATTAATCATTCGACCTCAACAACAAAATATTCAACCACAAGTCTCACCAGTTGCTCCAATTGTTCCTCAAAAACGTCCGGGTTGGGATTGGCAACCGTTGTCCATTATGGCTCCACAAGATATTTCAAGCGCAGTCGATGAGGGTGACATTTTACCATCTGGAGTGAAACGTCATCGTGCCAACTTAGCACAACGTCGACGAGCACGTGCGGCAAGGAGACTTCGCGCTACAGCTCTCCGTCACGCAATAACAATCTACAAAGCTATTAAAAAATTAATCAATTCGCATTGTATACTTTGTAATGCGTGTAGTGTTGGACATCGACTCATGACTATGCGTGCTATGGCGGTGACGGCGGTTGCAGGTGTATCAATTGATCCGAAAACTTATTTACAAGCGTTGAAATCTGATAATCATTTTGATTGGAAGGAAGCTATTGATAAGGATTTGGCGAACATGGATAGACAAAAAGTGTGGGAAGTTTGTGGATTACCAGAAGGTAAAAACGCGGTTGGTACTACATGGGTGTGTAAAAGAAAAATGGGTGGTGATGGAGAGTTAATCAAATTCAAAGCTTGTTTGTGTGCACAAGGTTTCTCTCAAGAGTATGGAGAAGATTATAATGAGACGTTTGCTCCAACTGGGAGGATGGCAACTTTACGAGCAATTAATGCAATGGCTGCAGCTGAAGATCTTGAGGTTCATCAGATGGATGCAGTGGCTGCGTTTCTCAACGGTAGTCCCAAAGAAACAATTTATATGAAGATTCCTAAAGGACTTAACTTCAAAGGAGGAACATTAACTTCTGTATTAAAGTTAAAACAGGCTTTGTACGATTTGAAGCAAGCTCCTAAAGTCTGGTATGATTGTTTACGGGCATTTTTCATTTCAATTCAATTGATGCCTTCTACGTCTGATCCTAGCTTATTCATTTCAAAAGATCCTTTGTGGAAGTGTGTTGTTCATGTTCATGTGGACGACTTAACAATTGCAACAAACGACTTTGAGCGATTTTGAAGCTTAATATGTAAAAAATTTCAGATGGGTGAAGATGTAGATTATAAATACATCTTGGGTATGAAAGTTACTAGAAATCATCAAGAAAGGACAATTACATTAACTCAGTCTCAATACATTCAAAATTTGTTAGAAGAGTATAATATGGAGGATTGTAAGGCTGTAGGGTGTCCAATGATACCAGGAAGTTATTTAGTACCAGGAACAGATGAGGATTTGAGAGAATTTAAGGTGTTAGATGAGAATTATCGGCATGGAGCTGGAAAGCTAATGTATTTGAACAATGCAACATGTCCTCACATTTCATTCGTAGTGTCTCAATTATCTCAGCATTTGAATAATCCTTTGATATTACATTGGCAAGCTTTCAAACGTGTGTTAAGATACTTGAAGGGTACAAAGACGGTTGGTATTATGTTAGGAGGAAAAGGATTAGAATTGAAAGGTTATGCAGATGCTGATTTTGCCTTGTGTCCTTATACTCGACGTTCAACTGGGGGATATTGTACGATGGTGGGAGACAGTACTGTTAATTGGAAGAGCAAAAAGCAAAAAAACGTGGCAACTTCAACAACTGAAGCAGAATACCGTTCAGCATATGGAGGGGGACAAGATCTTGTTTGGTTCACACATTTATTAAATAATTTATCCATCAAACAAGAAGCTCCTCCGATTTTGAATTTGGACAATCAGGGAGCTATTGCTTTAACTAAAAATGAGCAGTTTAAATCAAGAACAAAACATGTTGATGTAAAGTTTCACTGGCTTAGAGAACTTGTAGCAGATCAACAATTAAAAGTCGATTATGTATCAACTGAGGAGATGGTAGCTGATATATTTACGAAGGCTTTAACACCGATAAAACATCGAAAGTTCTGTTCTTTATTGGGTTTGCATGATGTAGCAAAGTTGGGGGGAAATTGAGATTCATAATCATTGGCTTATAAATTCATCTAGACTTCTTTGCTTCATCATATTACAATTGTTACTGTAAGATGTATGACATCAATGTTTAACTTTGTTATAAAAGACTCTTGTGTGCTGTTTACCTAGATTCTTTTCCTTCATCAAACTTAAACATTTTCATTTGTACAATCTTCATTTCATCTCAGATTTTTCTCATTCAGTTCGGTCAAGTGCTCAGCTTCAATAAGCTGATTACCTGACTCTCACAGGTAAAATCCACTTTAAGTGTTGATTGGGTTGTGTTTCATGCTAGTAGCTACAGCTTGACCTTCTGTAAAAAGCAGTTGACCTCCTCAGAGCGGTACAGGCTGGTACTTGTCTGTATTGATATCCACATTGGTTTGTCTCCACCATATCCAATATCTGTCAGTCGTCCAGATTTCTGCCACGGGCTCCTCTTGAGACCCTATGTAAAACATGTACTCAACATCAAGGCAGGCGGCCACAGAGCAAAGGATCTGGTGTCAAAAGATAAAGAGACAATTCAAATTCAAAAATCACTGTTAAATTCTGTGCAACCAGGTCCTGACGAGACAACATCAGGACGGCAGACACTACCATTGTGACAGTCTACACCCTGGGCAAGGACGTGACACATCCCAGGATGTGTCACACGGATGCTGACTTGGGGCCAAGGCTTGTAAAGCTGTGGCACATATAGCATCCACGAACACATCCTGGGATGTGTCACGTGTTTGCCCGGGGTGCTACCAAGGGTCAATATCCCAAAAATCACTGATAAGTTCTCACGTTGTAACTGGGATTGATTGAAAAATATCAGAAGCAGTGTACTGCTTGACCTTGTTACAGGGTACGGAGGGTGATACTGTCATGGCAGCTTTACAGCTTCATAGCTCATAAACAAATCTTTTGGCTTAATCCAGAATCCTCATACAGTTTTCATCACTGTTACCCACACCTATCAGCACCTTCCTTTCTCCCCTGTGATTCTGGTTGATGCTAGGATAGGGGGTTAGGGAGAGGGATAAAATTCCTGCTTTGCTCTGTGGACACCAATTTGATCAAGTTTTTGTAAAAAAAACACACCTGAATTTCTTTAGGAGGTGCTTGCACAAAGTTGCAATTATTTAAAAAAATTAATATCTCAAAATCTATAGACCACAAAATCCTTTGCTCTGACTAGATGGCCACTCTTCCAAGGTATGCTAGTTTTCCTTCCAATTTAACTTGTTTAGATAGTGTTTCATGCAATCCAGCCAATATGCACTTCAAAAAAAACATGCACATAGTACACACGTGATCTGACCACTCTTGAAAGTCAGGTGGTGGTATTGTTATCAGCGGATAAATCACAAACACATCTGAATACACTGTCCAGTGGATAGCTGCCACTGAGGAACACGGGACGTGGTGCTAGTGGAACGGATTTTTCATGGCCAGCAAACATTGTTGAGCTGCCAGCCGCAATGAAGTCATGCTGTTTGTTGTTAATCTCACTCCCTTTCATTTGTTTTTGTATCATGTTCAGTTTGTAAGATTGTTCACAAACTCGACTCAGGCATTTTCTCGCATAAGGCTTGATTGGTGTTTTCAAAAATAATCTTTGATTTTTTTTAGACTTTTCTTGTGTGTTTCTGATTTTTTTTTTACTAACCAGGCGCGTCCATCCTGCTATTCGGGCGCGCTTAGAGAGGTGAGGTTCGCGCCCGGGCGTGCTCTACAATTTCAAAGTCACCACATCATCGGTTTTCTACGGAAGCCCTGAGCAGGGGGGGTGTGACACACACATCACACACAAAAAACACACCAAAAATAACAAAACACAACACAACAAACTACATATTCTACAACTATTGTTCTGAATGACCTTCACATTTCAAACATCCACCTCATACACTCTCGATCCCAAGCTCAACTGGCTAAGCAATCCATCAATTCACAATGATAGCACTCTAGAAACGATGCTATCAACCATACCTATAAGCTCCAGCTCATGAAGGAACACCAAACTCCAAGCAATCCTTGGTTAAAATCAATCAAAGCACTAGGAGCGTGAGTGGCTTGCCTCTGGTCATCTCTATTCATCTCAGTCTAAATTTCAAGTCTTCAAATCAAATTAACATTGCATCTGGCTTATCATCATCTTCTCTGTGGATTCCGTGGATCGGACTACCATTTTAGTGTTGATTGCATTCTTTGTAAGGCTCTTTTGTTAGTACACACTATTTGTTCATACAAATCTAGACTCCTAACTGATTGAATAAGAATGGGTTTAGTGTATTGAATGTTTTAAAATTATGACAAATAAAAAAGAATAGAAACACATAAGACAGCTTGACGGTTTAACTATATGAAAAACATTGCAATAAAAAAATAATTTTACGTAACATGATAGAATCATGATGTGAATAAATTATTGATGTCATGAGGATAGAAAAACAGAAAAGAAAAACACTAGATGTTACACATTTTCAAAGATAGATTTAAAAGCAAAAAAATTATTGTAACATCTTGTAGATAATTCCAAAACACTGTTACCTATATATTCAACCCCATGTTCCGTGTTCCTCACTCAATATTTTTTTTTCTTTCTTACCCGCTTCAAACCTATAAAGTCAGATTAATACCTCCAAAAACCTATAAAATCATATTTATACCTTCAAACACCTCTCATCATGTCAGATCAACCTACCTGCCAGACAGGTCCTTGTTCTAGTTGCAGTTGTGTTTTCATCAATCGAGTCAACGATCCATGTGGTGCATGCGACGATCAACATCAAAGTGAGGCTACTGGTATTCCAGTGCCAAAAAAGGTTTACTGTCATCATTGTGGTGCTGGATATCCACGAATGAAGGAAGATATTTGCTACCCTTGTAAACAGATATCAAATTCAACCCCTGCTCCTAGTACTCATCCTAGTCTACTTCTTTGTCACGAGTTGAATCAATCCTTGAACCGAGTCAATAGCTCTCCTGTCCATACGAACACCTCTAGTATAATGGCTGAGATTGATGAACTTGCATCAGATTCTTACCAAAGTGCTTCTCACCGCCGAAAACTTGGGACGAACATCCGCAACTCACTCACTGTTGGAAAGCAAAAAATAACTAATTCAAAATTCAATGATACGTTGTCACGAACTCAGCCCCGACTTCCCCTTGGACAAGGATCTCATGTATTATCTTCCTCCAACCGAAATTCTTCAATGATACCAGCCAATGTTCAATCAAAGCCCAAAGTCCAATTTGTTCCAATACGATTTGTCTACCAGTTCAGCAACAAATCAATTGAACATGGGCTTGGTTCTATTACACAGAGTGTCGACTTCAAGGATTCTTCATGGTTTACTAAATTAGCAGAAGATGCATATAATTTCTATAGTGAAAAAGCATATGAACGATTTCCAACCGAAGATCAAACTGAAGATGGGTTTCCACCACTTCCACACTTTGATATTCGATGGGTCCAGTTAGTTCAAGTTACATACAGGTCGGTTGTGGTGTTTTCTTCAGAAGATCATCTCCTGCAAGCGTTCAAAGATCATAAAAAAGCTAGCAACATGGCATGGCTTGGTGTGTTGTTCAATGCAGACAACTATCTTGTGATTCAAGCCAAAGAAAATGAGCTTGTTTGTGGAAGCAAGAAACGAAAAATCAGATACGAATCAGAGGATCCTCAGTCTGACACCAATTATCAATACGAAGGGAGTTCCAACAACTTTCGCAAATCAAAACAAAATCGTCTTGACTCACCATCTGACCAGACTGAAGACTATAGCCTACCCAATGATGATCTATCTTGTTCCACCCGTAAATATTTTCTATGCCTACTATAATATGAATTGAAATACAAGGGCTTACTTTTTGGTTTCCAAATAATTCAACAGACCAGGTAATCACTCGAAGTCAATCTAAACTCATGACCAAAAGTGTTGGTAGTGAAACACCAAGCAAAGTTCCTGATGATTCACAAGATTTAGGATTTGACTGTTACACCCGCTCCCTGATTAGCTTCCAAGGTTGGTTAAATTCAATTGACTCTTTTCTTAAATAAAGCTAATTCGTGTTCTTTCAAACAGCAATTAAAGGAATTATTGGGGAACCAGTACCACTCGAAATGATGGATCCTGTAGCCATTCATCAAGATGCGCCTCAATTTGATCACGGCATTTTTGGAGTTTCAAAGATTCTACGATATAGACTAAATTCATCCGAAGTCAATGACACCAGCTCATGTACCACCTACTCTGTCACTGAAGAAGCAAATTTGGCGTGGATCGAGGTTACAATTGATGCTGCAAGCAAGGCTGTAAATAAAGAAGATCTTTCAGATGACCTAAATCATCAATCATGGGAGGGACGAATTAGTGTTGGCCCTCAAACATTGAGTGGAATGATTATAACACCTTTTTGGGGCTCAGTTTTGACAGACTACAATATTTCCAATCCAATCTATAAACATCGGCTGTTTGGAGAGGGGCAGAGGTTGATACTCAGCTTTCAAAGGAAAGTCAATTGCACCCCAGGTGTTACATCTGAATTAAGAGATATGTGTCTCTCATTGCGAGTAAGTACTTATTTTTCCTTCTGGGACACATGATATGAATCTAACAGATAGCAAATTCAATCCGGTTCATGTCTCAGATGGCTTTTTCTATGTTATTCCAAAGCATTGACAGTTCCTTTGATGCCAAGTTTTTTTTCTGTCAAGAAAAAAGGGAAGAGGAGGAAGAACTATACATGACACCAGCCAATTTTGTCCTAAAAAAACCGTATGAAAATATGCATCAGATAATGCATGCACTCTCCCATTCAAGCTTGGATGACTATGAAGGCAAGGCCGTCATTGTTGTGTTAAAAGGTGCTGGCCAAATTGTCACCGATCTTTCAATGATAAATCTGAAGTTAGTATTTCACCATTTTTAGAGACCTATCACATTAATATTGATATTGTTTTGCTATCATTTGTTTAAAGATGGCCCGTCACAAAAGATAACCAAGGCAAAGCGGCAATCAAGGAATTTCAATCCAGCCATTGCCCACCACTGTGTGATCTGCTTGGCCTCCATAAACTCAATCTACCATATGATACAAATGAAGCTCATATTCTCAAAGATCAAAATGATTTATGATGTTATTGGGAAACGGAGTTCAAAAGATTTCCCTCATTGTGTTCAACTTCTTTATTTTGAATCCTCTTTTCCTCTCTATTTCTTCAAAGTGTAACAAGGCAATGATAATAAAAACATATTTTCAATGCTCTACATTTGAGAGGACATGAATTGAGTACAGAGATGTGAGTAAACAAATGAGAAGGACTGAGATCTTGGTTGTTGTGGACGTACCCAATCGTACCCAATTGCATGAGATTGGATATAAGCATATCCTGTGCCTGAATCTTCTTCAGGGGCCACATAACACTGCGAAGATAATGTATTTCTCCCAGGTGAAAAATGATTACATTTAATGTACAGAATGATTAAAAATGCATTAAGTCTGCATTAAGTCTGCATTTTTCTGCATTAATTCTGCATTATTAATCATTTTGTGCATTATATCTAATTATTTTTCACCTTGGAGAAATACATTATCTTTGCAGTGTAAGCGATTTCTTTGAAGCTTTCTCATCTCAATCTTTTGGCTATGTCCTCTTCTCCACTCAAATCGACCACCATTTGATCGAATCTCTCTTCAGTAAGTCCTTCAACTGTTCAATATTTGACAAGATAGAATCATGTCTGACTAATCTGTTTTGTACTTCATCCATTTCAAACTATTTGATTCTAGTCAAAAAAAAACAAATCGATTTGAACTGGTATCAATCCATCTCTTTTATTCAAAATCAATCACTTAATCAATTCAAACAACACCTTAAAATTGATTCACATCATTCATCCTTTTGTAGTCAAAACTATTCAATTCTACTCGAAAAAACAAATCGATTTGAATCGCTATCGATCCGTCTCCTTTATTCAAAATCTTTCAGTTAATCGATTCAAACGATATATTCAAATTACTTCACCTTATTCATCCTTTTCTAGTCAAAACTAATCGATTCTAGTCGAAAACAAATCGATTTGAATTGCTATCGATCCATCTCCTTTATTCAAAATCATTCAGTTAATCAATTCAAACGATACATTCAAATTACTTCACCTTATTCATCCTTTTCTAGTCAAAACTAATAGATCCTAGTCAAAAACAAATCGATTTCGATCACTATCGATCCATCTATATTGTTAATCAATCAATCAGGTGATTGATTCAAACCACTTTAGATCCAACTCTAGTCTAGTAATTGGTCAGTCTATCTAGTCTCTAAACCAGTTTGTGTCTTGAAAAAATCCAAATCTAATCACAATTGTTACAATTCTTCATAATCAATACAATGCTTTTAAAAAACAATCTCAATTCTAATTCCTTAGACTTCGATTCTAGTAACATTCCAATTTACTTCACAATCAATACAAATTGATTCCGGTCAAAAAACGATACATTGAAAACGATTGAAATTATTCATCAAATCAGCATGATGTGAGATACTGATTTTCATATTTCTTCATTCTTCCTTTATCTTTCTTTTGTCATGATCAGCAACTAGAGGATAGCAGAGCTCCCACAGGCCAACTTGATAATGGATGGAATTTCATCTTGCATGTTCTATCTTGACATAGTCAAGATGCAGAACTACCTGATGTCTCCATTCCACTATCAAGTTGGTTTCGGACCTTGATGATCGATGGTCACTGCTATAGGTTTAACTGCACTTGTCCTCCGCAAGAATCTGGGTTGGTTTCACGCACCAAATTCTTGTGGGTAGGGCTCGACGCAAACCTTGAGCGAACCTAATCTTCATTGTTTGAGTGTGGGAGAGTTGTGACACTCAAAAAAAGTTGATATCTGACATGGAAGATTGTTTGATTAATTTTTGTTGTTTTTTTATTCCGCATAAGTAATAAGAAATATAGATCCCCTGCACAGAAACGTGCTCAAACAAAATTTATTACTAGTCAGATCGAAACTCGGGTTGCAATCAAGAAAAGTAAAATTGTTGCACGATGGGTTGCTTATAATACCCCACAACCTCCATCTTCTGATCCACCCTTCAAGTTGAATTGCGCTCAAAACCGAGCACGCATCAGAGCTGAATTTAAACAAAAAATCCGTGATCGGTTTGGCCTCCCCAAAGATGCTACCTTTGTCTTCCGAACTGAGCATGGTGGACAGGCCCTTTTGTCGCTTTCGTTTGGTACAGTAGTTATACTTAATAACTATGGAACTAAACTCCTAGCGGTCGTCCAATTCAACAAGCGAGAATATACAGGAAAGCGGTTGAATAATGGAAAGCTGAAGCGAGAACTTACACCTGATTGTGCCAAACTATTCGACAATTTTAAAAACTCAATCATGACCTTGTATCAACATGCAACAGCCCGCTATCGCTGCTATACTAATGGTGCAGCTGAAGGTCTGAAGCATATGAAATCTGGTCAGATGTTTGTAGTGGGTTTTCGTGGTGGATACCGAAAGAAAAAATTTGGAGGTGCGTAGTTTCTCATTTTTTTCTTTTGGTTTTTAAAATTTTGGTTGTTCATGTATGTTTTAATTTAGGTACCTATGCTCTCAATGCAACAACTGCACGTTCTGTTGCCCGGATGGAAAACGACCTACGCCGCCAGATGTATCTCCCATACATCAACCATTTTCTAGCCGAACGATTTGCCTCCCTATCTATTGGAGCCTTCGAATCCAATTGTCATTGAGCTGCTAAATGTCGCACACCCTCTTGGTCTTCAAAGTCATTTTTCAAATCTCCAAATGGACGGGTCTTTGGGTCAAACTTTGTTGTAACACGTGATGAGTTTGCCAACATGATCCATGTTGATAATGATCATTCTGGTTTCACTTTTGGATTATTTAGCCTTATACATTGTGACACAGGTAAATTATATCAACGTGGAAGGACCTCAAAGCACGGCTACGTCAAAGGTGCTCGATTTGTATTTCCTGACTACAATGTGGAAATTGATTTCGATGAATGTGATGGTGTTGTAGAGATGGTTTGGGCTTCAGATATCAGACACTATAGTACTCACTCCAAGACTTATACACATGATCATCAGCCTATTCCACCGGAAGATGCGAAGATAACTCGATTTGGATCGTCTTGTCAAATTGCAAAAAGTATTGTCGCACGCATCAAACTTCTTACTGACATGCAAGGTGACATGTGTGATCAAGAATGGGAGGTATATCGAGAAACATTGGCTGAAAATTATGCAGATGAGTTGGCTCGTAAACTTAAAATGTTAAAAGATAAGAAGCAAAAGGCAGAGATGGAAGAGCTTAAAGCAAAATTGAAATCTTTGTAATATCTCTCATTTCATTATTTGTCTCCAACTATCAATAATTGTCCCTTTCACTCCATCTCTTTTTATAAAATGCTACAAGAAATCCAAAAAATATATTGTCTCCCCTATCTTGCCCACCTCTAGTGAAGTGAAACAGAAAATGAAATAATGATTGATGAAGTTGAATTCAAATAGAGTATCAACACAATATAAATACCACAGTGTAAAACTGTTGCCATATGTGGAAAAGCGTTGTAAGAGTCAGAATACTTTGAAATTCATTTCACCTACAGCATACATCCAAAACACACACAACTTGAATTAAGCAAAAAACACAAAAGTCATCATTGACAAGCCATGCAAAGACAATTAGTAGGTGGACAACGGGCAGCAAAAAATAAAAAAAAAAGGACTGTCTTGATAAAAACCATCTGGTGACAAATTTAAGGCTACAAACTCATAAATAAAATATGGACCAGTAAGTCTTTAGATAGTACTATCCCACATCCTCCAAATCGTGCACATAACTGGTCACATGATTCAGTTCCAAATGTAATATTGTAGTCCTTGAATCAACCATGATTATCTCATTCAAATTCTTGATCAGACACTTGATTTTCACCTTCTTCTACATCTATATCCTCACCTTCAAAATAAAAGAAATTATCCAAAAGAATGTCCTCCTCATCTATGTCCTCCTCGTCCTCCTCATCTAACGGTACTAGTGGATAAAGCTCTTGAGGATCTCCTCCCGCTTCTAGATTGTCAAGATCCAAGTCCATTTGGACTATCACTTCATGTAACTCTTCAAACAATGTCCAGACGGAGTTGATGTCAAGATCATCGGTGGTCCAGCCTAGCTCGCGGATGGTTGAATTGAGTAGATCATCGAATGGTTTTGGAGATACAACAAAAAGATCTTCGCAATCAGGATAAAACTTGTCCATCATTCTTTGTATAACTTCGTCTGGTACAGGAGTAAGCCCTTGCTGTCCATCATAATGCTCTGGAGCAAAATAGCACACATCAGCCGGTACACCAGTTGGAAGAGCAGTATTGGTGTTTTTGCGTGTTCGGTATGAGTTTTTTTCATCAACATACTCATCCATCATGTGTTGAACAAGCGGAACCCATAGATGCAAAAAGATGGCCCTGTTTGAGAAAATATATCAGTATTCAAATGAATTAACTAAAGTTGAACAGGAAGACTTACCGTTGGAGTCGATCTCCTGGGTTGTAGCGTCCTTCATCAATAGCTTGTTTGATGTTTTTACGAATTGAAATATTTTTGGCCTTCATTAGCTGTGACCATAGAGCCTCAATTTTCTGATTATGTGGTGATGTTGTAAAGATGTGCATTGCTTCAGCTTCTTCCAAAGTCAAATTGCGGAAAATGCGTGATAGTGTCATCTGATGAGCTGCAATATCCAAAGTTTCGGTACCGTGATCAGTCGAGGTTTTTTGAGGAAAGCCACCACAGGCTTTGACCGTCTCAAGGAAATAGATTCCAATTTGTCGAGGGTCATTGTTGTTGATGCCCACCTTCAAGCTGAGAATTCGACGTGACCATGCATCAATGAACCCATAAATACAAATTCCAAATGGTTTGAGTTTATCGTGTCCATCACTAGCCCAAATCTTATTTGGGCCAGCCACCCGATATACTCTCCTCTTGAGTCGATGTTTCTTCCGCATTTCAACACCTTCAGTATCAACTATTGCAAGAAGCTCTCCAACTGAGTTTCGATTCAGCCGTACTGATTCTGCAGTTGCCATGACATGAGCCATACGTCGAAAGCCAGCATTCTCTTCACCACCTTGCTTGCGTTTAAGGATCTTTTCAGCTGCTTCCTCTGGAGTGATAATACCGAGTTCAATATCGTCTTTGCGCCAGTGTAATCCTGACCGCTTTGAAAGTGTTTTAAGCATCGTCATACTGAATAGAGGCATTTGATGTCGATTTTGAATCACTCAAACAACTTCGTTTTGTTGCCAACGTCTTGTATGGTACAGCTTCATGAGCAGCAGACACTTATCTTTCTCTTCATTGGTGAGATGAGGTTGCATAGTACTTAAGCCAAGCCTCTTCAGATGACGTGAAATAGTTCGAAGACAAATAGTGTAATTCTTCTCCAGTACAAGATACTCCATCATGTGGGCTCGAGTATGTCCTTCCTCGCTCATTTTAGTTAAAAGTCGGTCCAATTCGGGGTCTGGTGCCATAGTAAGGGCTGCGTAAGAAATTTTGTTGCCGTTTGGTGCAAGTAAATGGGTTAAAACGTATTCCAAAGTGTAACTTGGAGGAATGGACCGGCAAAGGTTGAGGTAGACTCTAGAAAAACATGGATGTGACAGCTGTGTTACATAGTTACATATGTAGTGGTGTATTGGATTTTGTGTTTTTTGTGTGCGATGTGTGTGTCACACCCCCCCCGCTCAGGGACTCCGTAGTTTTCATCTCGCTACAATTTATTTCTCTGTTTCTCTATTTCTCTTCTTGACTGTTTGACTCTTTATCTGATTAACAGTATCATGATGATCTACCCATCTACATACGGTCCCCAAAGCTTCGAAAGCTTGGAGTAATTCAGTTCATACAGAGTGCTTCAGGGTGTTCGTACACTCATGATTCTTCTGCGTTTGATCAACCTGATATCGGCTACTATTTACTACCCCCGGGATGGTAAAGCAGTAAATTTATACTCAAAACCTCTTCGTTTCACGCTATCAAAACATAGTTTTCAACTCCAACCGAGCATCGGCTTTGTCGATCCAAATTTGTCCTCACACGCATTGGCTGTCACCAGATATATGCTACCTTATCCGATGGATAAAAGTTTTCGCGAATCATCGAAGTCTATCGAGCGGTTAACTTGATCTAATTCAATAAAAAGATGCATCTTTCTCGGTATCAAGGCCGTTAGATTTGATTTGTGACGGATCACAATTTCTCCCCATCCCCCATCCTTGTTCCATAGGGTCAAAAGACCGTCAAATCCGCTGGTCCGCCCCCGGTTGTTTCAATCCAGGGTGGATATAGAATAATCACTTTCACTCTCGGCCCTCAAGTTCCGATTATGAAACGTTGTAAAAAGATCCACTGCATCTTGATGTCTTGAATCCTTACCTTCAACTCGGCTGGACATTCAATTATAACCTAATCACGCTTGCATGTTTCTAAGATTTATCCTAATCTTCTATACCTCCAGTAAAACATGCTAGATTGATGTAAATGAGTCAATCTGATCCAACGTGTTGAATTTTTTTGTTCAAAATAGTGGATTATTCCAATGCAACACGTCTTTGAAGTTCACCGAGAGCATATGGAATCAAAGCATCACATTGCAATACTCACTAGTGGGTCTGAAGCTTTGTCATACGGAGGTGTAAACTAAGATGGAAACATGAAGTTACTTCAGAGCTCAACCTTCAGCTTGATCATACTGGGCTAAGCTGTTCGCATATAATGAGCCTGATCTCCACCCGACTCTTGAAGGAGACATTTGTTAAATCTCGACAAGCAAGTGATCATGTTTTTTACGCGATCTTCAATATTTCTCTGCTTCACCGCTTCGTCGTATGCCGTTCCGGCGGTCCCTGGAGACTTGGGTTTGTTGAACCTCGACAGACGTCAGTAAAGTCATCAAAACAACCTACTCTCCATTGACTTGTACCACATGAAAGATATTTTGCAAAAAGATCTACTCTAAAATATAATCTGCTCTCGTATAACTATTCTTGCCAACCTGACTTTTGGCTGGATTCATTTTGATGACTGTAGATCTGCGCGCAGGTGCCATCCAAATTGATCATGTTGAACCGCAAAGGATTGAACCCGAAAGTATTGTAACATATCGTCAGTTGCCTATTTCATTCAATCTTTCAACACTGAATCCCTTGAAGCCTCTTGGTTAGTTTTTCAAATTTGAAGCTTACTCATCTTCTATATTTCAAATTAGGTTGGGACGGTGAAAACCCAGATTCGTATCGTGAGCCAAGGTGGATGAACGATCAAAGCAAGTTGATTCCAGTTTGAATGTTTTGAGGTGTGATCCTAACGGCACTTGTCTTACTATACTACCTCTCGAATGCAGACGTCTTTTTGCCTCTTGCTACTTCACTACTGGATAAGATCCGATCACAAACTGTTCATCGCGTGCATACGGCCGAGGATCATGAGAAGTATTCAACTCCAGAGGATCTTCTCTCCCTACTTGTACAATTTGCGAAACCGCCGGCGAAGAGCGAGGCGAACAAAGCAGCAAAGAGCGAGGTGAACAAAGCGGCAAAGAGCCAGGAACGCAAACCGTGGACACTTAGTAATGGTATGTACCATGCTATAGACCATCTGAATCCCACACAGTCCCTTTCTTAGAAAGAGCAATATGATGCCAAATGAAATAGACCAACTATCACAAGCATCATTGATTCGACGCATTTTTTTACCTAGACAGACAACCTTTGCGCCAAGCAAAAGACGTACAGCTTGCCAACAATGCACAGAGACTCCCCATCGAACTCCAACTAGGGATTCTCAAACAGGTTCCGCATATTGAATCTTTGAGCAAATTGTTCATGACCTTGAAACCTACTGATCAATTACGCGAAATGGTTTGGCAAGAGATTCAACTTTTAACTTATTTTAGTCAAGTGGACCGAGAAGTGTTTCGAAATTTATATCGTGATCCTAGAAATGATGACTTCCTACATGCTGTTGTAAAATCTCATACCTATGATTGTCAGGAAGCTAGAAGTAGAGCTTGGTTTGGTGGTATGACAATCGTACCTATCTCACTATCTGATGAACTAGCAAAAAGGATTGTTCCTACAAAACTTTCGTGGTTAGCCGATTATTATCAAGACTATGATCGACTTCTCAATGGTATACCGTTTTCCTTTATCTGAACTTGATCTGTGACAAAGGAATTGACGATTCTACTTCTTGTTGATTTATTTTGTATATGTTGATTGGTGTGAACACAACTTCGCATCTCAGAGGGCCACGGCGAATTAAAGGAAAGACTAGATCGATTTTTCTTCATCAATGTAATGTCCAACTCAGCAAATACTCCAAGGACTCTAGCCTCCAGACTCACTACGCTGCCCACAGGATGGTGGTTAGATTCATCGTCAGATCTGATGAAAGGGGAAGTGCGCCAATTAGTAGAAGAACTCATCAAAAGTGTAGATGTAGATTATGACAAGGTAGTCACAGGACTCAATCGCCAAAAAGAACTTTATACAAATCAAGACTTGCCGGGATATCAGCGTCTTTCTCCTGAATTGAGTCCAGCTTTCAAATTGGATGGTGGTGTATCGAGCATCTTTGCTAGGTTCCAAGCTGCGCAACATTTATGCAAGTATTTGAAAACCGATTTTGATCGAATCTTTGAAACTTCAAGTCACGAACCTACAAGAGTTTATGATTGGTTGAGAGCTTTATCTACCTATTGGTTAAGACAATATGATATGGAAATTGTAGCTCATCCTCGAAGATTTATTCATTTAACAAATTGAATATGGTCATGATCTTTTGAATGTATGAATCTTGATCTCAATGGAACTGGGGAAAACTCTTTCCTTAGCTGATTTAATATTCCTTTTTTACTCTGATACATAATCTCATACATACGATTCATTCTATCTTATATCTCAGACTCAGATCAGTTCAAAATCCTTCGATTTGGAGATTCCAGATTATGAGCTAATCAAAAACTTGTCAGACTTTCAAACTATCAAAAACGCTAGAAACCCATTTGTAAAGATGTCACTAGTTTTATAATTACATACTGCTTTAAAATAGCTTCACATTCTTCAATTCATGCACCTTGGAGATTACTCACCAACAACTCTAAATTATTATCTTGTCTTTTGATCTTTTCTCTTCAGTCAATAACCCTCAGTAACCTTGATCTTGACAAGGAGACTTTCATTGAAATCACTTGATCTTTTCTTGGCATTCTCAATTCGATTTCATTACGGCTCAGATACCTTTATCGCACCAAATCAGAAATTCAACGATTTGATTAATCTCAGAGCCTGAACCAATCCTCATATATATATATTTACAAAAAAACTTGAACCAAAACACATGACTTCATGTGATCTTGGGTTTTGTAGGTGGAGTTTGTTTGGTTCTAGTTTTTTGAAACGTGTTCTGCTTCGATGGATTCCCATCTGAATACCAAACTCCTATTAAAAGTAATAGATTGGCAGCTAACAAAAAAGATGACGATAAAGCTGTTGGGGGATAAATGTTCCAACAGACTTCAATGATAGCCATCGATGCCACCCTAAAATCACACATCATAACATTAGGATCATGAGATCACAAAAGAAACTTTGAGAGACGGAATGAGAAAAACCCGTTTTGCTGACCTGATCCAAAGAGGGTATGAGGTTTGCCAAAATAGGTAAACGATTTGATGTGCATACCATGAATAGAATTGGTAATGCAATGTGCGTGCGCACACCATCCCGATCAGATTAGAGGCAAAGCAAAGCTTCACTATATCTGTTCAAAAAAGATGATCTGGATCAGCACCCATGAAATAGTTCTAGTGAACTAAGTCAAAACATAACCTACGATCAGGGGTGAACTCTACGGAACGCTTGCTAGCAGGTTGATCAAAGTTCACCAAGCCTCGGAGCAAGATATGGATTGGTCCTTTCTCACCATACGCTCGACACCATCTCGTCCAGGCAAAGAGTCCCAGTAATGAGACATGAGTGACTGTGAGCATGGTAGCAAATCCTCGAGATAGAAAATCAGATTCTGATATCATATGCCAATTGACAGTCCATTTATAGAAAAATACTCGATCAAACTCAAAGGCCTTTGAAAGGTACGAGATAGGGTGAGCCATCAAGAATGGACCTCCCAACAATGCCTACAAAAACGTAAGTCTCAATTTCAGTCAGCACATCACAAAAAATTGTGAAACAGAGTGATGATAGAGTGAGCTTTATACCTGAACACCTAGTACTATGAAACCCAGTCGTAACGTTCTCAATAAGCCGAGAGATTGAAACCAAATGAGACCATAAGCCGGAAAAAATAGAAGTACATTCATTTTGATGGATAAAGCGAGACTACACGGTCAGATGATTTAGTATTTCCTTATGATCGCGCGAGAAAAGGTCCATAGCGGATATTTACCTGAACCATATGGCACTCCAGTTCCATTTCTTGCGGATCAGATACCAAAGACTGATGTAAAACGCTAACATTGTGATTCCATCATTAAAGAGCCGTAGTACATAGATGGAATGCAATCGTTTAGAAAGAGCTAAGAAAATCAATGCGTAGGGAGGTATCTTATGTACATCAAAAGACACATTTTGCAAAACAAACGTAAGGCGAGATAATAAACAAGATTCAAACGAGTAAGGGAAGTGACTAACCGATTGACATCTTTTAAAGATAGCAAAGACGACTAATAGGGTGATCAAGTAGATAGCAGCGAAAAAATACTGAGCCAATCGCAGGTTTGAGCCTTTATCGGTGAAGTGATGTAAGGTAGCGTAAATATGAACAAAACCAGCTGGATAACTAAAAATCCGTCAGGTTGTAGTTAGTAGGGATCGATACAAAGGCATAAGAACCCAAAAACATTCACACAATTGGACCAGTATCTCCTCTGATCTTGAGATAATCACGTTCTCCATGCAAATATCCTTCAACCTCTTGCATATAAGCTTTCCAATCAATCTCGGTATCTATAAATACATCCTTAAAATACAATCTTAATCAGTAAGAGGTATCTATTTGCTTCATCTTTTGAAGAACAATAGCATTGATACTGACATGGAACGTGGTTGATGATGAGTCCATTCAAAACGATTTCGCCTAGTAGGATCAGACCGGCAACCCAACTGAAGTATTTTTTCGAACACAGTACCTCATGGCAGAATTTGAAGACTGATGATGAGTCCTGCATCAGCATCTTTGAGTGAGTGAATTATCGAGTTGGATTTGCTGGAAATATCTTTGTTGACCAGTCAAATGTGAAACAACTGTTGAAGTTCCAGACCTCGTCTTAGTCAGTTTACATACATGCGCCAAATACACGTTGACACACCACCCTCTATATTGGCATTTCCCGATCAATATCCTTATATCGTGGAGTCAGTAACTTTTACACCACGGAGGCACTCTGAATCTGAAAATGGTCTTGCCAGGTCTCAGAATGGTCTAAGCGGAAGGCCGCCCGCAGGACGCCTTGTGGGCCATCTTCAAGCCGGCGGGAGGCGGCATTTCAGCCAATCACCCATATTTGATCAGTTCGATCTAAAACCTGTCTGCAATAGGCCAGCAGACCGGCAGCTGTCGGGCCGCAGATCGCCCGCATAGGTGGCCAAATGCGGCCTGCCAGTAGGCCTCAAGGCGGCGTGTAGATCGCCCTCCTGGCCGCCCTCAGGCGGCCTGATGCCTGGCTCTTGGCGAGCCTGCCAAATCCGATCGGCAGATCGCCCTCTGGCCATCAACAGCCCGGCAGCAGTCCACCTTTCGGCTAACCTGCCAAATCCGTTCGGCTTATCGCGTTGAACTGGCCACCTGCTGTTCTCCACTCGACCAACACAATCATCCGCCAACACACCATTGTCAGAGCCTCTCCGCCGCCCATTCCACCGCACCGTCCACCCATCATCTCCACATCCAATTCATCATCATGAGTAATGCAACCCTTCATAGCTCACTGCCACCACGTAAGTCACATGGTGGTTATGGTCATGGTCAGCCACTGATTTCCAATCTGTCAATAACCAGACATCGTCGAACTCACTGGGGTCCCCATCAGATATCAATGTCATGTCTGCCCACACAGCCGGACTATGCTAAACTATGGTCCTCACGTGCAAACAACCACACACAGAGCTGCGGTGGAAAAATTCTTGACAAGACAAGTATCAGACCTAGCATCCCAACAAGAAATTCAGCTGGACAGAACCCCATCTCCACCTGTTGATATCCTTAACCTGAATCTGGACCACTTCTTTGATTCCGACAAACAATCTTCGCAGCCACCTTCCATTCCACCTTCACCCCTCACTTTGCTCCGGTCATTCACCGAAGATCACGAATACACAGATGATGACTTGGCCAGTGAGCTCGATTACGACACGCTTCGTGAAGCGTTTCTGGCACTTGAATCTGGTGATGATGATCCTGAAGACGAAGATGAAGCTGTGTTCAACGAAGAGCTGGATTCTGACGTTGGAGGTATTGAAGACACTGGTGATTGGTACCCATTCAAAAAGAAAGAGGTAAGCTTTGTTCACATATTGTTTCACTGACTGGCTACTAATAGCAATCGTTCAAATGGTATTAGCATGTGGTGGCTTTGCTTATGATTGGGTCAAACCGAAACCTCCTCTCACGGCCTCAATACCACCGCATTCGGTCGCTCCTTCGACTGCTTGGTGTCACTCTCCCGGAATGGGGTACTTTGAGGAGACTGGTCAAAAGGTTGAAACTCCAGTTGGGTCTCAAGATACGTGAGAGGATTAGTCCATGTGGTAATCCACTATTTGGATTAGATATCAAGACAATCATAATTAATGTTAGCCCTCTTGTTTCACAAGTCGTGTCCTTCTCAGGTATAAAGCTAATTAAATTTGTCTTTAGGAGTTGGCGAACCCCTTAGTCAGCCCCTATTTGGTTTACGTGCCTGAGCTCACCATTGATGGGCCAATCAACCGTCTGTCACAATGCGCAAAGTGGCGTGAATATTATCCGCCACATTTACGAGTTCAAATGATATCATCTAACAATACCCACTACTACATCTACGAACCAGTCCAACTGCACACTGAGCAGCTGGTAGTACCTGTTTTCTTCTTCCAACAAGACCGTGCGCTTATGGCTAGGTGTCTGCCAGCAGTGGTCAAACCCGACCCTCATCACCAGTCAAATTTTCGAGTAATAATACCTGAAAATCAAGATTTTGATTCAGAGATACTTTTAAACATTCCTTGCAATGACTTCTGGCGAACTTTTGATCATGTGGAGTTGGAGCATGAAGTACTTCTGAAAAACTGGTGTGGCGATTATATCACTGCAGACATTATTCGGGTTCCCCAAGTGGGCAGGGAAAAATGATTGGGAGTATGATTTGTCATAAAATGGTCTATCACTCCACACCTGAGCCATAACACCCACACTACATATGTGTAGCAGGCTCAGTGAATATGTGGTTATCATGTACATACAGTTCTGCTCAGTTATCTGCTCATCAGGACAAGTTATTCATATGTAATACATGCTGTAACTTCTTTCAGATTGAAAAAAGCTTCCAAAAGATTGACTACATACACTGACTCAATGTTTTGGTGTGATCTCATCAACTCAACTGCATGTAACACACTTTCTGTTACTAAGACATAGCTTCAACAATATTGCCTGAGCAGCTACAGAATTATATGTAGTGAATTTTTGGGAAAAAAATTTCAAAGTCAAAAAAGTTACATGTGGTATAACATGTGATTTATTTATTCTGATGGGCAAAAAACTGAGCAGACCTGTATGTACATGATAGACAACTATTGACTTAGCTTGCTGCACATATGTAGTGTGGGTGAAATGGCCCAGGTGTGCAGTATTAGATTCTTTTATGAAAAACTGTACTATTAATCATTTTCCTCTGCCAAATTGGGGAAGTTGAATGATGTTTACAGTGTATGTATAGTAAGTCTCATTTTGCATCCTTGTGGTCCGTTTGCCGTGCTGACAAATGAATTGAAGATTCGGCCAATGCCACTGAACCTTGTCATCCAATTTTGAACCCATGGCGAGCGAAGGCACAAGGAAAAGTAATCCGACATATTCCTCTAGCTCTATATTCCGACGACACTTCCGGAAACGTGTCCAAAAAGTGGAACAAACACATGAGTATCTACTTCACTCTGGCTGGCTTACCCCCCAATCTATCCAACCAAGAATTCAACATCCACTTCCTGGCAACTTCAAATTGTGCTACAGCTCTAGAGCTATTTGATCAAGTTGTTGATGATCTAAAGCGCAGTAATATTATAATTTATCTGTTTGCTAAATTTTGTATTGACTCGGGGTGTCTATCCGTAGTGATTATGGAACCAATGGCTTCTTTGCTTACGATGAGAACCTTGGCGAGGAAGTAATGGTCATGGCGGTGTCTCTTTTTCATCTGGGTGATTCACCGATGCACGCGGAGATATCAAATACCCTCAACCCAGCAGACACTCTTACTCCTTGTCGTATGTGTGATTTACATGTGAAAAAGCAGGCCGACAAACAATCAGAGAACTTTGTCAGAGATTTTCTTGGCATAGACGAGGATGGAGAGAAGGTAGTGTTCAAAATTGCCACTTTCTTTCTTTTTGCTTTGGAATATAGGAACTTACAAGCTGGATTGATTTATATAGTCCCTACTACCTGCCCGCGATTGGGACCAAACTAGACGGTGGACCAAGGAGATGTGGTCCACATCTCAAAAACGCAACAGCAAAACCCGAGTTGAAGCAATGGCCCGAACCTTTGGAGTTTGAGATCCTATGAATGATGCTTTTCAGAAAAATGTTCAACTTGCTCACGAGACTCTGCCTCCTGCAGAGGTCGAGAAACTATGTACAGAAGTAAATGCTCAATACGGTGAACACATCTTCAATCCCATGTTGAGACTACAAGGTCTGAAATCTTCACCTTTGTCTTTGATATTGATATTAGACTGAGGAATATTGTTTGTGTAGGCTTTGATGGTCACAAGGATACTCCAGTGGAGGTGCTCCATGTTCAATTGCTGGGTATTACAAAGTATTTATTCAAACACAAAATGAACAAACTTGGAAATATCAAACTCGGTTCCAAAATGTACAACAATCTCTCTGGCCGATGGAGAGCTTTCAACACCAGAGGGTTAAATATGCCACCTATTCAACCAAACACAATGATCACCTACTATCAGAGCTTAGTGGGTAAAGAATTCCGGACTGTGTTACAGACTGTTCCTTTTGTGTTGTTTGAACATCTTGACGACCAAAAGCGTGAAATGTGGACATCTCTCTGCCTTCTGAGCTCTTATATTTTTCAGACTGAAATCCCCGACATGAAGACATACTTAGCCGAACTCGACATTCATATTTCAAGGTTCCTCAAAAATCTCATTGCCCTGAATGCTCGTTGGGTCAACAAGCCCAAGTTTCACATGCTTGTTCACCTACAAGATTCCATTCGAAGGTTTGGTCCGGCTTGTCTTTTTGCCACCGAGAAACTTGAATCTTTCAACGGGGTTACACGTCACGCATCGGTTCATTCAAACCATCAAAGTCCTGGTCAAGACATTGCTAATACATCAAACACTCGGCAATTGTTGAGAGTGTTTATCTCTGGTTCATCTTTCTTCGACTATAAGCTCGACTCTCGGGTTTTTGGTGGGCCTCGTTTGAAAGAATTATTATCGATGGTACCCGAATTATCACAAGCTATGGGCCTGAACAACTCTGCAGGGGCTTCTACATATTATACCATTGGTCGTAGGTGATGCCTTTGTTGACTGTGATTGATTAACACATCTGACCTGTCCCCCTCAGGAAAATGCCTCAAACAATCTCAGCCACCTACATGCATTCCAAACACCGTCAACCGCGCCCATTTGAAGGAATATGAAAGCATTAAGTTGCCTGGAGATATCAAGGTGGAATTGCAAGACTTTGTATTTGTGAGTCATAATTTATATGATCATTTCAGTTATTGATACGGATATCTGAGCATATATGGACCTTACAGGTCAAATCTCAACCAGGGATAGGTCAAGTCCAATCTATCTGGAAGTTAGACGGGGTATCTGAGAGCAAGACACATCTTGTCCTCAAAGTTTGTCAAAGGGGCCCCATCAACACCTTCTATGGCATGTGGGAGGTTGAATTAACCGAACAGATAGCACTTACCCATGTCAAAGTATGTATATGCATTTTGCCAATATATTGATGAACTTGGAACTAATGGCTTTGATTGGATATGACTTCCAGGATGTTGAGTGTGTAATTAACATTCAACATAACTGCCATGATGCAAAATGTACGCTTGCAAAGAACGCTCTGAAAAGAATTGAGCGCAGGGTGACCACCATGAGCCTTTGGGGGGTGGATCATGTGGACTCGCCCAAATTCATTCTGAATGTGGGCGCTCATTACAATGGGCACATTCATCGCTGGCTTTCAGGATTACATGGATCTAAAGTCTCACCTGGCGAATGGAAAGACGCAGTGAGAGAAGGCCTCCAAATATGGAAGTCGGAACCACGAGGCGCTCGAAAAGGGCAGAATAATACACAGGAGGGTGAGGATATTTAAGATGTGCGACACCTTTTCAAATGTTTATTCACAAATTCGATTTCGCTAACTCCTCCACCCATTTCAATATTCAGTTACAATAGGAGATGAAGAAGGTGTGACCATAAATACATAACACCAGCGCGCTTTCGGTCGTCAATCTGGGCCAACTTACTGTGCTGATATTTAACACCATCATCAGATTGGACCTCACGCTGAAAGTTGAAAGAGACGTACAAAACCATCCGAAGTTTGTACCTACTGTTCGACAATGCCGCGTATTGCAAATGAGTACCCTCTAATGGATGTATAAGATAATCCATCAGTATTGGAAAAATACTGATGCGGTTGAGGAACTGACTTACAATCACAATTGTAGTACCAGTTGAGCCACATGAGGGCGTCATGTGGGTCAGAGGCTATGCGAAGGGCCTCGACCACGTCGCGATGAACGGTGGCACGAATTATCGCCAAGAGGATTTCGTCCAAAACCCAATCAAACAGGGTGTTGAATTCCGGGCGAGGTTGATCCAAATAATCGCGAGTCATCCTCGCCTTGAACCAAACATTCTCGTTCAAAGTGTCCACCCACTCATTATAATTTGACCCATCCTTTTTCAATCGAGTAGTCATGGTCGCATACAACCTCATTGTACCCAAATCTAATAAACGGAGCAAGTCGTCCACAGATCGAAGATCTTGACCGGCGTCGTGTGCGTTGTCGATAGCTTCAATTAGTTTGGGAGAGATGAAAGGTTGTTCAATTTTAACTGGTGCAATGGGATAGCCCATGATGTTTTTTCGCGAAGAAGTTTGAACAGAATGGAATTGGGGCTGAATGAGGATGACTTTTTCAATAATCTCGCAAGTCTTTGAGAGAATCTCTGGCCTCTCAAAGACTTGCCGGAGATCATGTCGTTGTATTTGGGCTCAGTCAAACAATATCATGTTCGATATTGTTCGAACTTTGATATAAAATCAGATAGACTTGATTCTAATGGCACAAATAATCATTCGATTCGATTGATATCGATATCAAGATGCAAGATTGGATATCCGCATTGTTTCATTACAATCAATAACCTGAAGGCCCCACATACTGGCCGTCCAATTCGACTTGGCTTTGGTAGAACATATGGGCGTAAACCATCATCCGAGCCGCCGTGCCTGGAGAGATACCCCAAGATTTCATAATATCCTTGTTGACATATTCCTTGAATAAAAATAAGTCGAAGTGATTGACACCCTTCTCTTTCAGTATGGGAATGACTCTGGCAATCTCATCAGGTTCCACCCGGGCAAATTCCAAATAATCTTTGAGGGTAGTCGCATCCATGATCATCCGAAGAGCCGGAAAGATAACATTTCCCCCGTCAACATGGAACTCTAAAGGAAACACCTCTTTATCAAAAACAGGTACTACATTAGGCTGAAGTTGAGATAGAACCGACCTAATACCGGTCGATTCGGAATTTGGTCCGGCGTACGTTTTTCGGAACCAGCGCTGATTGCGCGATAGCTTGGTGTAGGTGTCTCGTCCTCTTCACCATCGCCGCGGGAACTGACTACAGAGGCTTCCGTTTTGATCATCGGTTTTTCATCTTCTGGGTGAATTTTTTCAGAGGTTTGGCGGTTGGAGGCCGTTGCCCTAGATCTGCGAAAAGAAGGTATTGGTATAAGGTAACTACATTAAAAGAAAGTATACTTACGAGGTCTTTCGAACCTTTCGAGACCCACGGTAAAGTCCCTGCGTGCTGCTTCTGGTGGCATATCGGCTTTGTTTTTGGTTGGTCATTGTCAAATGGTGGTTTGGGATTGAGGTTTTTTGGGCCGAAGAGGTGCAAAGGAACTTTTTGGCCCAAAAAATCTATTGGGCCAAAAATCATTGAAGATGTTCTCGTGGGTCAATGATGTGCAAGAAACTTGACATGAAAATTGCAAAGGTTGCTTTTTGGTGACCCAAAAAGCAACCTTTGCAATTTTCTCGTCAAGTTTCTCGCACTGGCCATTTCGAGTGGTCTTCTTTCAGTGATAATTTATCGCTCGCTCTGCGTGGTCAAGGTGTTACGTTGTGGCAATGCTTCCCGATTCCTCGTTAGGTATTAGTGAGTACCCCTCTTTCTCTTGTTCTCTTCTTCTGAATCACTCTAATTCGTAGCTTGACCTTTGTTAGGCGGATCCTTCGACTCTCAAGGTGGTGGGAATGCATTTCATTCCCCATCCACAGGTGGCTTGAACACCTTCAACACCCAAGGCAATGTGAGGAACTCGAACGGTGAGTCAGTATATTTATGAAGTAAAAAGGATAACACTAACTTTTAGTGTTATCCTTCACTGGATCCTATTCCGCGGCCCCAATCGATTCCCCAGCATTTGGCGATGCATTTAATTCACCATCAAACCTTGGTGTTCAAAGGTTCAGCAGCCAAGGGGGCTTGAGGAACTCAACCTGCGAGTTTTTCCATTTTAAGTTCCACTTGACGCCTGGCATCTCTGACCAACTTCATCAAAACCAGCTCTCAGTTCGGTACACTCACCTAGGCGCAGCCCCACGATGCCGCCACCAAACAGCGACCATAACCGCCGCGATCGACCAGAACTCCGCATTCAAAACGATCGGTCTCTCTCTCCAAATCGCCGAGGCGCCTCCCGCTTGCCAGAACGTTCTCATGATCATTCTCGCGAACCACTTGGGCACTCCCCAAATCGAGAGAATCAAGGTTCCAACGAAGGATATCGATGGCCTGATGAGGACCTTGACAATGCTCCACAGCCGTTTGCTCATGATCTCTCCGAGCGTAACATGGTTGTATTCAACGCTTTGGCCAATCATTGCGGTTTGGATGACACGCACCGACACTTCGCGTTGTCCCATTCTGAGGTACGTCGCATTGTCTTAATACCTGGCATAGTGAAGTGATTATAATTTCAAACTTGGCCTGCATCTTTTTGCCAAAGATTTATGGCGAGAACAATAGGCACATTGCAGGAGCAACGTTTCATTCGATGCTCCTGATGGAAATATCCCGACTCAATAGCAAGGTTGACTCGCTAGCCAACCAAATTGCTACGGGGTCCACCATCGCCCCTGCACCCGCGCCAACGCCAGCACCGGGAGCACAGGAAGGGCAGGATGTAGTAACGTCATCTGCTGCTGACGATACGACGCACAAGAAGTGGAAGGCTAGCAGGAAGCTGGTGGTAAGCCACCGTTTGGCGTTTCATTATTACACAAAGAGGAAAGATTCTGACTAGCATTCCAATCGGCCATAGGGTTTGATCAACCCCATGGCCCTTAAATTCCTATGGTCTGCAGAGCTGGAGGCATACACTGCGATTAGCAACGAACGCGAAGGTTATCACCCAAAGTCATTGTTTAATATGATCAAGGTATGTTTTCTATATAGTGATGCAATATGTTTAGATCTGAACCGTGATATACCTGCAGAAAACACTCGCTGGGGAAACTGCGGCGTTTAAGGCCCAGCACCTCCCTCCCCAACGCAAAGGAGTCGAGCACGCAGCCGATACGACAGCGTATGCTTCAGCCCTCCGAGACGCCGGCAAACAAGGGCGAGAGAAGCTACACAACGTGGTATGTAACTTCTTCCTGGTACATTGAGGTCCCTGTCCCCTTGCTGACGTCGAAGAACTGTAGCTTTTGGTAGGTATACATGACCCTAAATCGAAGGAGATTGTGGGCACGCCCGTTCCCTCAATCAAAGACATGGTCAAACGAGTAAGTTCAATTGCATTCAATCGCGGATAGCATAGCCATTAACTGAAGTGCATCTGCTAATTGATAGGTGGCTATCAGATGTGGTGTAGCTGACACATCGGCCGAGGAGGAAGCGGTGTGGAAAGCTACCAATCATGAGACTAGGGCACGAGTAGCCTACATGGTGAGTATCCATAAACTCGCGTCAATTGGTACACTTCGCTGACAAATATAACCTTGCTCAGCGTCGGGAAGCCGCGCGGGTGATCTGCAAAGGCCACAAAGGAAATGAATCCGTTTGGGCCAATATTGATCACCAGCTTTCAATACTGCGATCGAAGCGGGATGAAAACTATGCTGCCGCGTAAGTCTACACCAGAGCATGTGTATATTGGTCGTCAGAAGCTTGACCTGACGCTGCTTAATTCTACCGCAGGTTTTATGACCTTGTCTTTGAGGAGGATAAACAGTATTTCACCGGCAAGACCTGGTTCAAAACCATCAAAGCCAATCAGCTCGCTCAGAATAAGGCCCTGGACTTGCCTTCCGAAGAGGCCATCATGGCACGTATGGCGCTAGAGGACGCCCGGCGTGTGAGTGGTCCTGGAACCAGCAACGGCGGCAACCAAGGAACAACAAGTGCTTAAATAAAAAACATGAATTTCAAGTGATTAAGTGGATATCTACAATGTATATTACAAACTATGACTGTTATATCCAATTGTTCAACTCGCCAAAATCCCATTACCATTTAATCATTTCCTCTAATTTAACCTTCGAGATGTTGTCCGAGTGCTTTGCTGAAATGCTATTCGGGTGGTTTCCTATATCACTTAAGGTGCTCAAGCTGAGCTGGATTGTAACGTGAGCGACATTTGCCCCAATTAAGACGGGTTTTCTAATCCAAATACGGGGTCCGAGGCCACGAGGCCCATCGGATTTCTTGGGTAACAGACCCGTTGGACCGCTTGCAGGCCACAAATTGATCGCCAGCTGCCCTCATCAATGCCAGGTCGGCAGGCGGCTTGCAGGCGAGGGGCCGTTTCGACCGTCTGCAGGCGGATTGTAGCTCGCCGCGTGTCGACATCCAGATCGCCTGCTAGCGAGCGCGGCAGGCGGCTTGCAAGCGGCGTACCTGAGCGCCATCTGGAGACCGCCTGCCCGCGTGCAAGAGCTGACGGCCTTCAGATGGGCTGCCTCGCCCGGCTGTAGGCGAGCGAGACGCCTCTGTGGTGTAATGATTTGATCACACATCTTTCACTTTGAAGTTTGAAGTCTTGAGCATGCAAGGATTGTTCTGGAGAAACTCATGAAGGAAGCAACAATAGTCTATCTATAATGTGCATAAAGCTGGATAATCTTGTATCTACAAACAACTTGACTGTTTGTAAAATTATTGAAGTTGAGAGTATAGTGTATTGAGCACGATAGATGTAAGGAAGCTTTCACAATGGCTCACGTACTTTTTCTCACTTGTCTTCTAGATATCAATAGCTCCAGAAGAAACAAAGACCAAGTATCATAGCTTTCACATACCATATCACTGTGCCCGTGGAGAGCGCCCCAGATTTCGAGGGCTCCAACAAGTACAAAGGCCTCCATTTGTACTCTTGAGGGCCCCTGACGTCTAGGGCGCCCTCCACGGGCACAGTGTATAATTCTGAAGTAACATTTAAATAAGAAACAATCAATTGTTACTAAACAAGACATAAGTCCCATCAATAGCTTGTAATTACGGCCTATGATGAGAGGAACATTTGATAGGAATCCACCAAGTTAAGAAATAGAAAAATTGATACAAAACAAAAAATGAAGAACCAAATCAGATAATCATTTGCCTTTTGAAATATTTTGAAGTAATGTCAAAGAAAAGTTTCATCACAAGTTGAAGCTTTATAATCATACCAAACAAAATACCATAAGAATCAAAAAGTATATCTTTAATGTAGACTCATCACCAGAAAAAAAGAATTAGAAATAAAGAAAGTTGAAAAATTCAAGATTGAGCTTTATTGATTTATCCTGATTGACTTGCAGTATCTTCTGGTAACAATTCTAGTCTCTTGATCATAGCCAAGGATGACTGATATAAAATGTTTCAATCACATTCACCTTCATTGGGGTCAGAGCTATGATATGATCAAAGAAGTCAAAACCCAAAATGATCAGTAAAAGAAACCAACACAATCAAAAACCAAAAATGAAAATATAAATCTCAAACAAACGTATGAAACCAATCTTTTCCATTAACATAACCACCCATAGGACAAGCCTGAATATCAGCTTTAATCAATTTAAGACAAACATCCATAGTCAAGACTCTAGGAAAATTAGCCAGATTCCTAAAAACGAAATCGTGTTGATTTCCCGGTTTTTCTTCTCCTTGCATACACCTAGAAGCAGCTGTATTCACTGGATAATTTCCGGTTAATTGTCGACAAAGGTTATCTAAGTTATCCATTAAGATTTCCTTTTGAGCTGAATTACCCCAAGTTTGACCTCCGTTATAACATTCTACTGAAATTACGTATGAGATTGTCATTGAGCAAAGTAGGTAAAGAGTAAGAAGTAGATTCATCTTTGGTTTTTCTTATTAATTCTTTGATTGCTTGAGATGTTTATTAAATGGTTCTGTAGGTTTTGTGAATTGGATAGATGGAGTGGTTTTGGAAATGCTACAGTTGTTAAGTTTCTATGGATTCTGAGGACGCGGAAGTATAGAGAAAGAGTGCAGTATTTATATGACTCTGAGAGCACGTTGCACACGTAGTTATACCAGAGAACCAAAGCAAGGGCTTCATCTTACGTTTCAATTAATTAGAGAGTATATGAGCTTTAGTGAGCCGGTATGCTGCACCTGCACGACTCACTTAAAGAGCTTGCCTACAGGTAAGCTAAAGCTTAGCTGCACTTTTTGTTTTCTTATCAAGAATGCACTTGATTGTGAATCGTTCAGATATTTCCATGCAAAAGGTTTTGATCAAATTGCTCATGTTTGATGAAGTTGTGATTGACAAGCAAAACGCTGCTGAGTAATGACAATCTGGTCAAAAACATTCATCAAAGGATCAATCTTCAACAGCACCTTCTCAAAAAACCATCAATTGAGAAGAATCCTGATTAAAATTTCTCTTCTTACTTACAGCTTATATTGATTACTACCTACTTTAACAATTCCAATCTAATTTAGCTAGCATTAAGCCGTTGTAGTATCAGTTTTCATGCAAACATTTCAATCATCCAAGCTAAATTCTACCAATTTAACATACTCTGCGAAGCGGAGTGTATGAGGGTTTACATTCCTCAGGAATCTGATGAGCTAAACAGTTGAATCACCCAAGGGCATATCTACATATATGTAGGTGTGTTGAGATATGTAAGCTTCTATAATTTTAGACTTGAATGAAATGTACCCAACATCGCTTCCACAAGAATTATAACTTTTGATTTCAGCAAAGAATGCTAGAAGTAGATTAATTACTAGCATGAACCGTTCAATGTGATCTTAAGGGCGCATTCAGGAGCCGTAGTTAGTACAAATGACGCGTACAAATGCACTCTACATATACGTTAGCTTAACACAAGCCCTCTCTGCAGGGCAACGTCCGCGCGCCTCGCAGAGGTGCTTGCGACTAATCGTGGATTCCTGGCAAGGAGACTCCACCGGTTAAGTCCTCTTATGTAGTTTTTTGATTTTTCCCACTTTCCTCACACACAAACGCAACTTTACCTTGCAGGCAAAGTTGTTCATATTAACTTCTTACATGTGGTGGCACCTTGATCTCCTGGTCATCACGACTTCATCACCCTGATCATGAGCTGATTTTTCAAGCTCTTATGTCACACATGTAAGTAGATGTACAGCCTGTATTTGCACTGAACGTGATTTACACCCCTACGTTCTGTATAACGGCTTTCATAACATCACTTATACAGTACACCTGAGCTGCTATGACAAGTGAATCCTTGCATCTCATTTCCGGCGAGATTCTCTTACACAACATATCATTTACATACACCAAGATCCTGACTTCACAACTACACAGATAAAACCTGAGTAGACTCGGTGCAAAGGTACCGGCTCCACGGTACAAGTAACCGCAACGCGCTTCCACACTTCATCAAAACTCAAATCATCAGAGTTCAAACCTAAAATATACCAACAAGCTCTCTTCGTCACCGCACCATACACCAAACTTAGATCTTACACCTTGATTATGGCGACACCGACGATGCCAACCCCTTTCCGCTCAGCTGGGAACCAAATCGTATCCCAACTGGAATCCATCGCCGAGTCGTTTGGCAGTCTAGCTCCGCCTACTAATACGCAAACGACCAATACTCAACCAAGTCAAAAACCAGCGGCTCCCGTTAGTACCCAAGCAAGCACTACCGTTCAGGCACAGGATGTACGGAAACGGCGAAACACTAAGACCAACAATAAGAAGAGCAAAAAGAACAAGGTCAACAGTGACAACACCGCACCACGAGATATCAACGTCGCCGACATAATCGCCGAGAACAAGACTGCCGTTGAGCTCAGGTGCTTAGCTGAAAAGCATGCCCAGACTGGCATGAGCCAAGAAGTATTTCAATCCGTACTGAATTTTCATGAAGAAATCCAAACCCTCATAGCTATTAAGGCCCTCGAGCTTGGAACTACGGTCTCGGTCATCGAAGAGATATTGTAAGTTTCTGTATATACATGATCACCCGATTCACAAAGTTTAACTTCAGATTGTATGTGTGGTGGCAAGTATGTGGGGGTACGTCGACCCTCACCTTGGAACAGGTTTCTTCAAAGTGTCTTGGCGAAACTGATCTTCAAAGCCGGTAATTTAAGCCATTTCTCCAGGATATGTAGTCCAAAAACAACTGATTAAGTTTTGTATTACACATAGCCGGCGGCATAGGCAGTGGAGAGGCTATGCGTGAATTGAGTGCTAAATGGGCCGAGATGGAACCAAGCGAAAAGGACACCTATAAGAAAGTAACGGAGGATACAAGCCACCTCGACGAAGGACTGGCCGAATTAGATTTTGGACAACAAGCTCGAGATGAAATCCTCCAGCCCCGTACCACCATTTTGCAGAATCCTCGCTGTCTCAAAACACAGAAAGAAGCTGCCGTTCGCCTATTGGACAAAACTTTGGTCAAGGTGAGTTCTTACTTTACACACATTGGCGGGAATGAATCTGAACTTTTCCACGTAGTGCATTCCCGTTGCAAAAGCCAACGGTTTCGAGGTGGCCATCATTGCGGTCTCTAGGCACATTGCGAAACACAGCTTCCAGCTAACAAAGAATACTATTGGAATCGACAAAGCCCTCGAAATCATATACGAAAAAGATGGTGAGAAAGCATTACCTGTACAGTTGCAATCATACATAGTGGGTAAGACACCTGCTGCGATGACAGCGGACTTAGAAAGTGAGTATCAAATCCTAATCATATGAGCGAGCTCTGCTCATCTTCTGGTTTTTCTCAGATATAGGCAAAAGGTATCAATCCCGTGTTGTTCACGCACTCTCGGCATTCCTAAGTAAGTGCACCAAACATCTCTTAGACTCTCAATACGGTACGTTAACATTGTGTCAATAGTGGAAACCACTGGATTGAAGAACTGGCCTTGGAGCAAGTGTGACAAGACTCTTGCAGACGCCGGATACAAACTGAAGTTATTACCAGGTGCTCGATCAGACATCAATACCTTCAAGACAACCAGCAAAGCCCTCAATCAAGCCAAGCTTGTATCTATCAAAAAAGATCTCCAGGAGAACTTGATCCAGTTGGTCACAATTCAACGTACCGAAGAAACTCCACTTGATGGTCCCAACCAAACTCAAGTCAATACTCAAACTAGCAACCCCCAAACTCAACTCGATATGGAGCCTCAATCTCAAGGTAGCAACAACCAAAGTCAATCCGATATCAGAAACAACCAAATTCAATTAGATATCGGAGATCTTGATTCTGTAATCAATACACAAAGCCTCCCCCGTTTCAATCGCATCAATACAAACATCATGGAACCCCGCCGCGTTGTAGACCCCTCATTGTTTTGATTCATGTAAACAAAGATGAATATGTTGCTTAGTTATTCATTTCCTTTTTCCATTTGTCCCTTCAACTTTAAAGTGTGCACCCCTCCTTTTCAAATTGTTTATTCTTACCTCCGAATTGAAATCTTGAGCTTGAATGTAATTTCATTTACCATTATACACTTCCGAATACATTGAATATCAAAGCCCAAATGGATATCGGTGCCGATTGAGAGTTTTCGAACACATGGTTTGAATCAATATCTTACTTCTACTCAATCAAGTAACTCACCGGATGGTGACTAAATTTGGGTCACTTGCATAGTCATTAAGGTGATCAGTACGAACTTTATATGAACATAGTTTTGTTCATCAAGTTGATATATTGCTGACTCGCGTTGCCTGACAAACAACGCAGTCACGCCCTGCATCCGATCACGGCGATGATGTCGTCGAGACGCGATAGAAGGCCAGAAGATTCTGATTCAGCGTGTGCAAGTCACTATTGAGTGATACGTGATAGTATACTTCTTCGAGTATATAAGAGGTCGAAGGAGGAGAGCTTCCTTCCCTTCCCTTCCCTCCAACTCCAACCTCAACTTCTGCTCTTCTATCTTTATCAGTTTTTCATCATTTCATCAATCCCACCCATATTCTTCTCTCGATCGTCTATCTCTTCCTCAATTCCTTACTTATTTTTGTATCAATTGTGTATCATCTGTTTCGGTAAGTTCATCCTGATCATATTCTTCTATTTACATTTGATCTTAAACATCTGATATTGTTATCGTCAAGTCACATCATGGTCACCGTTCACGTCTTTTCCGAGCCTTCTGTTGGTTCTGATCCACCTCCACCAACCTCATCTCAGCCGACTCTTCCTATTGACCTTACTTCGACACCCGAGACGTACCAAACCCAAGTCACACCACCGGGTTCCCCTTTACCACATCCAACCACACCAAAACCACAAACCCGGGTCAACTACTATGGATGCTTGTCACCTGGCCCACCGGAACATCAGCCACGATTGTCGAAGGCACCTCGTGAACAGTCTTTCCGGATTCATCGTGGCATACCAATGAATCCGAGTTGGCGTTATTTACCGGAGGTGGCGAATTGGATTGACCAGTGCTTTCATTGTGGTCAATTCGGGCACCGACAAGCGCTTTGTCCTGATCGTAAAGGTGCTCGAGCGGCTGAGCATTTCGACGACTGGCGTCTGGTGAGGTTTGGCCCATGTGGCCCGAAGAAGTTATACAGTGTAAGGGCTCTTTGGCCCTCGGTGATTGCCATTGAAGGCCCAGTTATTGAGTAAGTCAAACAAAACTTTTCGATTTCATCACCTCCCTTATTGACATGTGTACATTTTGTTATCTTTTTGATTGTTTAGAACCTTGGAAGCTGATAATGAAGCTTCAGACGCTATGATGTTGGACGTACACATGTGAGGTGATTTCGACAGTTAGTTATCATTGAATCATGAAGTTCAGATCCGATACATGATCCACTGACCTTTCGATGCGGCAGCTAGATCAACCTCTTCAATCGACAAACCTCCGGCCATCCCTTGGTCTACTCGTCCGATTCCCTTGGAATCAGCTTTGGCAGAGTTATTTGTGGATGCTGGTTGTGCCTGCCCTTGTCATGATTAAATTGAACCGGCCTTTTTATTTATTTATCTTATTATCTGTTTCTTTTTTATTTCAAGAGATGCTAGGTTTGAGTTGGTATATCCGAGTGATAGTATGGCTTACAATATTCAAAAGAATAAGATACATGATAACTTCGACATGACCTTTGTAGTAAAAATATCTCATCGGTTGTTAGTGAAATCTTGGCTAGTTTAGTTGTTCTCGATGTTGATGCAAGTAGGAATCAAATGTATTACTTTATAAGACAAATGCTGTATACAAGAGTTTTGGAACAAACCTTTCCAAGGATCGATTTCAAAGTTGAAGAAAGATGACGATGAAGTAATTATTTGATGAAAAAGACCCAAAATGCAAAGAAGCATGTGAGAGAAAATCGTGAGCTTCACCTTCGAAAGCGCATTTCGAAGGTGAAGATGACGCGATAATGAAAAAGTGTGTTAATGAAAAATGTGCGCAAGAAGAAGAAGCACAATAGTCGACGTGCAAACTTCAAATTTGCGTCATCTAGAATGACTTTGTATAAGTTTTACACCAGAAAGCGAGAAAAACACCTGAATTGTAAGATTGAAAGTTGATTTCGAAGGGGAAGATGACGAGATGGTGAGAAATGTTATTAATAAGAAAGATCCGCCGTGCAAATAAGAACATAAGTCAACGTGCCAATCACTTATTTGCTTCATTTACAATGCGTTTGTATGAGTTTTATACAAAAAAACATGCAGAACACCTGGTTTGTAGGATCAAAAGTGTGATTTGGAGGTGAAGATGACAAGATACAACAAAATTTCATTAATGAAAAATGTGCGCAAGATGAAGAAGCACACTGTATATCACGCCAACATATATTTTTGGCCCATCTACAATGACCCAGTAGAAGATTTACACAAAAAAACGAGGAACATACCTCCATTTTTAGATTTGATACTTTCTTTTGAAAGTGAAGATGTTGAGTTATGAAAAAACTTCATTAATAAAAATTGTCGGCAATGCAAAGAAGCATAGAAAGTCACGTCGAAATATCGAATTTGTGATGTCTTCACCAAATTTGTGGTAACTTTGTGCTGAAATTTGTACATAAAACCTTGTGAAGTGGTTTTTCTCGAATTCTAGTCAAACACTTGCTATGCATATCTGGTACAACTTGAGGTCAAATTGTACCAGACATTATGAAGTCAGCGTAAATTGCATGTTTGCACGTGATTTTATATGCTTTCTTGCACGACAAACAACTTTCATTAATGACTTTTTGTTGTAACTCGTCATCTTCACCTTTAAAAAACACTTTCGAAGTTACAAATCAGGTGTTTCGGTAGGTTTTTTGTATAAAAGTGATACAAACTCGTTGTAGATCACCCAGAATTATATGTTGGCGTGATTTTTAATGTGCTTCTTGGTCCTGCGCTCATTTTTCATTAATAAACTTTTGTTGTAACTGTTCATCTTCACCTTCAAATCACACTTTCAGTCCCACAATACCAGTATTTTGCTCTTATTTTCGCATTAAACCGCCACAATTTCATTGTACATGGGGCGAATAACATATTGGCACGTTGAATTATGTGCTTCTTTGCACGGCGGATCTTTTTTAATAATGACATTTCTCACCATCTCGTCATCTTCCCCTTCGAAATCAACTTTCAATCTGACAAAGTAGGTGTTTTTCTCGCTTTCTGGTGTAAAACTTATACAAAGTCATTCTAGATGACGCAAATTCGAATGTTTGCACGTTGTATATAGTGCTTCATTTTCTTGCGCACAATTTTTATTAACAAAAATTTTTATTATCGCATCATCTTCACCTTCGAAATGCACTTTTGAAGGTGAAGCTCACCTTTTCTCTCACTTTTTAGGGTGAATCTTATACAAAGTTATTGAACACAACTATCGAAAGTTGTGCACTTCATGTGAATGATACATTAAATGTTCTTTCATTAAGATCATTTCATTAAGATCATTTGGTTATGGTGCCTCATCTTCGCTTTAGAAAGACAGTTCTATCTTTACTCTATGGGTAAGAGTTAGGTTTACAAGCTCTTAGTATTTTCATATATGTTTAGTATACAAGTGTACTCTACATATATCCGTTCTCAGCCTTATGCTATCCTACCTAGGGTATCCTAAGTTGAGAATAGTGTGGGGGGGGTGTCTCGAGCTCGGGAGTGTACCGGAGTCGCCTCAGGGCCTACTTCTGAGGTCCTGCGGGACGGACTCTTGGTCTGTTCCGAGCTCCAGACGGCGTAAAGTGCCTGAAAAGGGAACCGGAGAGCTTAGTCCTAGCCTACCGAACCTTGGGGCATCGGGGAGCCCCGAGCTCACTAGGACCTACTCTCGCAGGTGCCACAAGGTTTCTGTGTGGCTTGTACGCCTGCAGATCCCCCCTTGTATTCTCACTGTATTTCTCAAGGCATTCAATCTTTTGCGCCTCTACGTTTGATCTGTAGCGCATTCATTTGTAAGTCTGGTATTGTCTTTCTTCACTCTGGACTCTTTATTTCCATCTTCTTCAACCATTCTCTGTTGATTCTCATCTCGTCATCGCTAAACTTCCTCAAGTATCTTTTGTACGACTTTGATTTCCATCGACCCCTCTCTATTATCTGGTTTAGTGGGAGGCCTTCGTTCCACAGGAAAGAGGCTCCGCCAACTCTAAATGAGTGACCGGTGAGTTTATCGTAGCCGTCTTTCTTCCATAACTTCTTTAGGATTGCCATGACTCCTTCTTTAACTAATCTAGTTCCTCCTTTCCCTTCTTCGAGGTCGAAGGTAAACAGTCTATCTTCCGCGTATGAACCGTTCTCTACATGCCTTTTTAATAGACGTTCTACAGCTGCCACGGGGTCGAGGATTGACTTGTGTCGTCTCAACGTCAGTACTTGTTTCTCGCCTGGCCTTGCTGTCTTGGCTTCTCGGAGAGCGATCGACATTACTTGTTCATCGGCCGAGATCTTCACATCTTTGATCCGAACTTCTTTCTCCTCTCGAAGTGTGGTGAGTTCGCCTAAGCGCGCCATCCCCCAAAATGCTACGAGTGCCATTGTCACTGCTAACTCGGCTGCTCCATCGTTTCTGGGTAGGTTCCTCAACAGGCTGGCGAGGTGTATTATCTGGACAGGGCGTTTCTGTGGGTTTTCTTTGGCTCGAGAATCGAGAAGTTTTGCTGCCTTGAGCGCCCAATTGATTTCTCTCTGGTCGATGTCCGGGAAGCTCAAGTGGTGGAATAGGTGCCAGGCTCGTAGGCCAGATAGATATGCTTCGATTGTCGAAGGTCGAATCTCTTGGTTTGTTCTCGCTTCACCTTCGACTTTCGGCGCGGCCCATTGTATAAATAGGAGGATTTGTTGTGCGCTGGCTGGTAGGAGTTGCTGCCGTGTCTTGTTGTCCTTCTTCCCAAAGGTCAAGTATTTTGTTATCGCGGAGTTGTATTGGATTAGTGTATCTCTAGTCCAGCTTCCTCCTAGCACCATCAATTGCTGTACGGGATCCGTTTCCATTGTCACTACTCCATTCTCGTTGCTAATGAAATTCGTTATCTTTTTCAGGTCAAGGTTTTTCTTTGGGGGTCCGGTGTCGGCGCTCATTCTTGTCTCGGGACTGGTGTAAGTTCTTGTCTCAAGAAAGGTGCGAGGTCTTCCGGCATGTGAATCAGTACTTCTTCGGCCCAGTGGAGGTTGGTTTCTAAACCTCTTGAAAGACGGTCTGCGTCGTTGTCGTCTGAGGTAACCCGTTCTTGTTTAATCGAACACTGGTGAGTCGTTAGGAGCTTCTGAATTCTTTTCCATTCGTTGTTGACTGCCCGGTCTTTGGATCGGGTGTTTCTGATGGCTGCCTCAGTAGTTGTATTGTCTGTCCAGACAATGAAACATTTTCCTTTTGTTTGTTTCATCTTCAGTACCACGAGAAGGCCTAACCTCACTGCGACAGTCTCAATCCACGCGATATTGCGCTTCACGTTATCCTCTCGTACGACGTCCCAGTCTGGTAAGAGTCTGAACTTTGCCCAGTTCGTGCCTATCAGGACCCCTACTCCGTAAGATGTGGACGCGTCGCCGACCCACTTGATGTCTTCCGGTACTAGATTAGGTATAATCCTCATATGCTCGAAGTTGGTAAGAACGTCTAGCCATTCTACTAGGTCATCTCTAACTGAATCTGTTATGCCTCTACGTGCTTCGCTATTCCGCCATGCACCTTTCCAGCCGTATAATTCTTTCATGTAACACTTCATATCCGGCATGATGTATGTTATGTGGCAGAGTTGGCCTACAAGTTTTTCGACCGGTTTCTTCTTCCACTTCTCTCCATCAAGTAAGGCTTTTACTTGTTTTATCCTGGTTTCGAGCTTCTCGAGTGGGAGTCTGACCGTCTTTTCCCTACCGTTCCATATAAAACCTAGGTATTTTTGCTCGTCGGCAAAGTCGGCGTATTTCGTCATGTTCGTTTTCACTCCCATTCCTGCACTGAGTTGGAGTACCGAGTCCATACTGATGTTTGATCCCAATTCCTTTACGATGAGATTATCGTTGACCCAGCGGAATATCTTGGGGATACCGAGTATTGTTTGCATGATTTCTTTCCAAACGTCGGCCGCCCTTCCAAAGGTGCCACAACCGGCTACGCCTCCAAAACCAACCCTCGTGTCAACCCAGAGTCTGTTGACACTACAAGAAATATAATATTTTCTGGGCAGAAAATTAAATTATTGATATACAAAAATATTGAGAGGCCAGGAGAAGGGCAAAAAATAAATAAAAATATGCATCTTGTTCCCTGCATTGAGAGCTTCACTCTCCATATTTCTCCGTATTTTTACAGTCCATATTGATAAGTGTACTAACAATAAACCTTGATAATCATCCAATTACAACCTGTAACAAGCACTGAAATTTGGCTGATTAGTGTTTAGAGAAACTTTTGAATTCTGAAAACACCCATAACTTTGTCAAATATGCCTCAAAACACTTGATTTCAGGTGCATTAGAAAGCTGAACTCCCGTTCTCAAACTTTCATAATATCAATAACTATGTAGCTAGTATGACAAACATTCTATGGATCTGTATGTGCAAATGTATAAAAAAGATGATATCTTTTTTAGCAGACCAGCATGCTGTGTGGTCTTATTATGAACTATTTGGAGGACCATTCCAGCTTGCCAATGCACTCAAAATCGAGCGTTTTGGCCCGGAATTGAAAAAGTTATGAGTTTTCTCAGAAATCAAAAGCTCTAAACACTAATGAGCCAAATTTCAGTGCTTGTTACAGGTTGTAATTGGATGATAATGAAGGTTTATTGTTAGTACACTTATCAATATGGACTGTAAAAATACGGAAAAATCTGGAGAGTGAAGTTCTCAACGCAGGGAACAAGATGCATATTTTTATTTATTTTTTGCCCTTTGCCTGGCCTCTCAATATTTTTGTGTATCAATAATTTAATTTTCTGCCCAGAAAATATTATATTTCTTGTAGTGTGAGGAAGTCTAGAATGAGGAGATACCTCCATTGTGATGGGTGAGTTGGTATCTGCCTGTATGCTTTGAGCCAGTCAAATAGAGCTAATTGCCATTTCTTATCGGCTTTCCTCAGGAAGTCTGCTAGGATCTTGAAATCATCCCACGTCGTGATGAACTCATCTTTGTCGACAAAGGAGTTAACCGACTGTCAATTGTGTGTGTGTCAGTATTTTTCTTCACGAGTCTCTTGTTCCGCATTTTCACTTACTGGTGTGGTACCACGTTTTGGATACGACAAGTTATTGATCATTCTGAAGGTCCCGTCGTTGTTCGTGACACTGCCCATTGGGCTTGAGCGGAAGAATCCGAAGTGTTGCTCCACTTCTTGATGCGTGAAAGGGCCATACAACTTGCCTTCTGCTTTCTCCCGTTGGATCGTTTGCTCGATTTTGTCTTTCACCAGGAGTGCTGATGCCTGGTTTGGGGGTGTAAACCATGGTAGGTCTTCTACTGTATGTTTGGGTATACCCTGGTCAAAGCCTTCTCTCAAGCTCACTAACACATCACCCCACTCGTCCATCAGGTTGCATTCAATCATAAGGGCTTCCCATTTGTCGATATTTAATTCGCATTCTGCCTTGGTCGGCCACCTACTTGTAGGTTCTGCTCTGTGTCGTTTGGGTTCAGGTCTCTCGAGGTCATGAATCTGGGCTCTCCCTGGCATTTCATCACTCCGCTCTGTGATTCGTAGGGGCCTTTCCATAGCAACGAGGGCATATGTCAGTTCTCACTCTTCACTCTCACATTGGGACATGGGGCGCTGGTTTGAAACACGGATTTATTGCAGAGTGTTTTATCTATTTATAGATCATACTCACGTCTTTTGGCTTCCCTCAGTTGGCGTATTCGTGCGCGTTCCCTGGGAACCTGACGTGATTGGGCCTACACTCTCACCACTGCCTTGCACTCTCCCCCAATTATTGCCGCCTCCTCTCCTCGCGCCTCTACCTCCTCTACCGTTGTCTTTCTTATAATTCACTATACAATTTTCCTTCTTCCCTTTGAAGTTAGGATTCACTCTCACTCCTGATTGTTCAACGTGTTGTTGCTGAAAGTACGGTTGGGGGTTTGAGTGTTGGGCTAGGTGGTACTGGTGATATGCCTGAGGGGTTGACGGGTAAGCGTTTTGATTTTCATGTGGTTCATGTCGAGCTTGGGACCAGAGTGCTGATCTGGTTGACTGGGTTGGTTTTGCCTGTTCTAGACGATCTTCTTTTGAGTTGGTTCGACTTGGGTCGTCCCATCTCGTTGGTCTACCTGCCCAGTTGGACCCATCGAGGGGGTCGATGAAGGACTTGGCACCCGTGATTGCGTAAGGATTGTCGAGGTACATGTCATCGTTGTACCGAATAGTGTCGCGTTCTGCTAAGCGGTAAATCCTTGGGTTTCTCATGCCGATATCAGCCATTTCAGTACCCTCTGGTCCTACTTTAAACACCATGTAAGTCTGACGCATCATCATATCATATCGAAAGGCTAACACCCAGCAACCGTCTTGTTCGTTTTGGATTTCTAGAACGTTTTCGAAGTGTCGTTTCATCACTGGTAAGACTTCGGTTTGTCTATAACGCTCTAGGTATTGTAGGAAGAGTTCTTTCTGACGGTGCCACTGGGCTACAGTGGTCCTCCATTCACTCGGGATCGGAGATCCGTTGTAGGTGTTTGATTCTACGTCTTTCGTTTTTGCTCGTGACGATTTGTTGGATATGAACGCGATGTCTTGTCTCAACCACGAGGGATCAAAGATCGAGAGTGGTATGTATCGTCCAAAATCCTTCATGGCTTGGTCCCAATAAGGCGAGAGCGCGTTGAGATGATCTGAAATCACTTCGCCTTTCTGGACTTTCATGGTTTTCATCACCGCAGATTTGGAGGTTTTCTCTGATGATTCGGTGGTGGGGTTCGTTTTCTTCTTGACAAAGGACAACCAGGCTTCTTTCTGCTTAGTTAGGCGGTCATAGAGCACCCGGTTTCCGGCTGTGAATGCCGCACCAATCTCTTCGTCTAGGCGCATAGCAATGCTATTGTCGAACGATGGTTCAGTTGAGACTGGTTCCTCGATTGGGTTTTCTACCAAAAGTAGTTTGTCAAAAGTGCGCTTTAGGTTAGTTCCTTTTGCTTTCTCTTTTTTTTTTTTTTTGAGAATTTGAATGGGTTGTCTGTGTAAGATCATTGACTGATGTCTTCCCTTCCCTTGGTTTGCGTAGAGCATTTGGGTTTTCTTTTTTCTTTTTTTTTTTTTTCTTCTCCGTAGAGGCATTTCCTTTCTGGAAGAATTCCCCTGGGGGTTTGTTTGAAAGAAGAGAGACAGGGGAGGGGGGGGGTTTGGGGTGATGAAGTGGTGTTATTCTACTAACGTTCGTCTGCATCGCCCAAGGTTATCCCGCCAACTGTCATCCGTTGTTGGCGGTTCTTGGTCTGGTATGCACCGGACCACATCCCTCCACCGTTTGTACCTTGGTTCTCTTCGTCGTCTTCTTCTTCTGACGAGTCGATTTGTTGATTGGTCTCTAGAAGGTTTTGTTCAGCGGGTTGTTGTTGGATCAGTCTTGATTGCGTTCGTGGTGCCGGTTTGACAGGTGCTGGTTTGTTGGTGGGAGGTTTGGTGATTCGTTTTGGTTTGTTCACAATCGTTTCTTCTGCTAATTTCATTTTCTTAATTCGTATAGTGCCGATTGCTTTTGACGTACTTGGTCTTGGGGGTGGGAATGGAGGAGGTGGGGCCGTTTTCCTTTTGGACTGCCTAGTGGTGATCTGCTTGGGTACGTTTTCTTCTACTGTTGGGGCCAGATTATTGTCTAGTTCTTCCTCCCTAGCCTGACCTTCTGTTTCTCTTTCACTCTCTTTCCCTTCTCTTCCGTCATTCGCCTCTTCTCCTGCTCCTTCTACTCCTTTTCCTTTTCCTATCTCTTCATCCTTTCGTAGAGCCTCGTCAATTTGCTTTTGAAACTCTTCGCTGTCCATTCTAGTCTGCTTCTAGTGGTAGTCTGGTTGTATTCTGGAGTGTTGTTTGTTTGATTGAGTTTTTAGAAGGGGACAGTGAATGAGTTCTATTTTTTTTTTTTTTGCGTTTCTAAAGTGAATTGATTCAAGAGATTATAATTTGATGTGAAAAATTGCGAAAAATTGTTAAATCAAGTTTAACTAGTTTGAAGAGCTTGGATAAACAAGATCTACGACTAAAGGTGCAGGAAAGGATTTCTAGAGAGTGTAATGAAAATTTTCGTTTCACTCTCTGACTCTTTGACCTACCCGCCTCTGTCGTGTATGTCATGTTACATGTGCACCTACTCGTCTCTTACCCTTTTGGTGACAATAGAAATGCCTTACCACGTCGTGCCTTTGGTGGGAAGCTACCATCAAAATCTCAAAGTCACATAATTCTCTATTGTGAATAACCATATGTATTTCAAAGGCATGACTCTCCAGGCAGTCAAAATCGAATTTTTGATATTTAAATATATTATACAATCAGATATATTACAGTATGTTCAATAGACTAATATAGGTGGAGGAATATCACGTTCTAATCCTACATTGGCCATCATGTTGATCAGCATGCCTTCATTAATTCGATTCTCCCATTCTTCTTCTATCCCAATATGCCATAGTTCCTCCTCCTCCTCCTCCTCACCACCTTCTTCGATTACGAGTAGTCTATTTTGAGGCGGATCTTCTTGCATTTGATTAACTGGTCCAAATAGGTTTTCAAAATCACCTAGTTTTATTGACGCACAATCTTTTGAGCGCAAATCATTAATTCTACATACTTGTGATTTCCATAGCGTCATGAGCGCCAGATCACCTATCTGAGCTGGTGTTAGCATCATCACTGACATTGCTTTTGAATCCCAATGGAGAGTCAAAGTGCTAATCCTCACGAAGGTGTTGTGAAGGAGTCCTTTGGCAACTTCAACTTTCCCGCCAATCGATAATGAGTCGAGAGATTTGTTAGAGAGGAAAGGTTGAAGGAGCTGGGTGGGTTGATTTAAGTCCTGTACTCTGAGTTGATTAAGAAACACCCATAGACGCTCGTGCTCCTGTGTTGCCCATCGCATGGCTCTTCGAACTTCCCATCCAAGCCGGCGAAGCTCCTCCTTACCTCTTTGAGAGCGAGCTAAGGCACGCATTCCTAACTGAGTACCACGATCCACAGCCCAAGGTTCAGTCGAGTGTGTGAACAGTCCGTTGCTCCAGAAGGGATCGTCGGGCTCCATACTAATTAAATTGACATATTCGACCTCGGGCGAAGCAGGCTGGTCGGGGTTCTGCTCTGCAAAGGCACGAGCAAGGTCGTTATAGTTATTGAGCGTCTTTTTCATAGTGCGTGTCCTTCTTGCGATAGCTCCCATGATCCTCTCTTTCTTGTGCGTACCTGGTGATTTGAACAACTTCAGCAAATACACAGCAAGTATTTTCAAAGCACTTTGATACTAACCAAGCCTTGAACTACCCCCAACTTTATTTTCAGGATCCAACGGCCACTGTTCCGCCCTCAAAGCCAGGAAATGTCTTCGAACCTCAGTTTTGGCAAACCAAACCTTCAGGAAAGAATCCACAGCCGCCTCTGTGGTATTTAATTCGATGTCAACTCATTGATCAACTTTGATTGCCTTGAAGAAACACTAACGTGGAAGATTCACTATATCCACGTTACCCACCTTCCTCCGCTGCTCGGCGATCTGAGTGGCCAAGTCCTGGAATCGGTCTAGACGATCAAACGCCCTGAGCTCGAGTAGAGTATCTTCATCCCTAGTTTTAAAGGATAATGTCAAAATATAATCAAAATTTATTGAGATAAGATATATATGATGGCTTACCAGACACGATACATGCGATCTTCAAGACATAGCAGCCTTCCCAGCTCAAGCTTTTGGCGAATGTTGACGTCTATTGCGGTGGTGAGGTTATGATGTCTTTCCGACTCCCACTGAGCCTGAAGAAAAGCCGTTGTATACATTTGGCCTGGTTGATGGGGATTTGGTGATTCTAACCATATGTCCAGAGTTACCTGTGCTTCTTTGATGGTTGATAAAGTCTTTTCCAATCGACGGTGCAGCCAATTGGCCGTGTGCATTTGATTTCGACCAGTCAGATATTCGCACCTTGAGGCAATAGCTTGGAGTCGATGCAGGCGGGTAGATGTCCGTAATCGAGCAATCAGTGGTGTCAGGTCCGACCACAGCCGCTCGAGTCCTTCGCCGTCAGAGAGACCCCAATATTGTAGAAATCGTGGGTTGTACTTTAGCTGACAGCCCCAGGAGTGCACATACGCGTGGAATACTGAAGTACCTAGTACTATTCGACGTTGATACTCGGGAAGCTTGTTTTGCTGTAAGAAATAAACATACTCAGCATCCATAAGTAATATATGTATGAACAAACCTTGCTGTGCGTACTTTGGTGATGTGTTTGTTGAGTTGGCAACCAATGTCGTACAAGATGCCGACGCGCAGATCAGGAAAGTCGTCCAGTAGCGACTGGATGAGTGCTAAGGGATAGTACAGCCTGTGGTAGTGTGATTCAATCAACGTCTTGAAATTAATGGGAATTAAATGTAGAAAATTACTTACTTCTCACCACTTTGGTAAATATTAGCCAGCAATAACGGCACATCGTGTTGACAGGCCAAGGCAAATAAGCCTGTATCATCGCATTGATCCCACGTGGAGGCATTTCTGGTATCGTTTGCGGTTTTGTGTGATTCACCACATGGATCCTGTGTCAAATATCAACTTGAATAAGAAACAATTTACAAATATGTAACAGTAAAACTTAAAAAAACTTACATCATCATTGTCATCATTGTTAGTTCCACGCCGAGGAGCGTCAGCATTAACATCATGCTTGGCTATTTGCGAGGGCCGTACAAATATGTCGGGGTATTGTGATTTGTTTGGTTGATCCTTACTGGCCAGCTTGTTATGTCGATGTTGATAATTCCCGTCCATACATACAATGATGTCCGACTCGGCTTCTGACTCCATGATTTCGTTTTTTGCAGGGCCAAAACACCGGCCACACTGAGCAGCCCATATATCTTTGCTGGTGAGTTGAAGTCCGTGGTGAAGTAGGCATTTGCTGAGTACCAAGATGCGACTGTAAAGGTGGGTTGCACTTGAGAAAGGCTGAGTTAGATCACATCAATTTCCTGGAGCGCCTCGGCCCCGAAGTGGTTTGCGGACTCGGCTGTCGTGGAAATTCATCATGCCCTCAAAGAAACTTGAAGCGGCTGCAACAGACGTTTGCCAGACAAAATGATACATCTGTAGTAAGGGGATCGAGAACGCAGTCCGAGGTTTCTTCGGTGAAGCTGGAACGTATCCCTTATACACAAGTTGAACTGGTTCCGGAAGGCAACGACAGAATTGCACAGCCTTTGCTGCGAACCTGTCTAGTTGGGATAAAGTCTGAGTCAGTGTCGACGAAAGATAAGATGAAATATCTTAGATTGAAGTATCCTACCAACTGCATTGATGAGATCCACCTTCCGAAAATAAAACTGACCCGCCGTACATTCACAAACATCACTGACATCCTCAAGGTAGGAGGATTTGACCGTCCAGTTGGAAGTCCTGGTCTGACACTGAAGGTAAGCCGCGGTAAGTTGGTTTTCGAGGCCGTCCCAGTGCTGCTGAAGTTCTTCTTGTCGTCGCGCATACCGATATTCACGTTGTTGTGCGACAAATCTTGCGATGAGATCATTGACTTCAACTCCACCTGGAGCATTGACTTCCCGTTGCTCTCCTTCGATAGCAGGTAAGATGATCGGCATATAATGGTCATATAGATTGTCATGAGGTGCTTCGTTTTCATTGTTTGGAATAGGTGGGGGTAGGGGGATGCGTTTGTTTTGATCTTTGGGAAGGATGCCATTCAGGAATTGAGCTCCTTGTTTGACTTCCTTTTGAAACTGTTGTTCAGCCTCTGCATCACGTTTTTTAACTCGGCGCCGTGGAGGTTGGTCTGGTTCATTAGAATGATTTGAGCATAGTTGCTTCTTGGGTCGTGGCATGTTGTCGGTGATGGGTGAGATGAGATGTCTGACAATATGTATGGAAGCGGTGATGTGGTGATGCGATTGAGGTGCCGGTCCAACTTTGACTATGATGACTTGGCTGAGCGGGTTACTTGTACCGTGGAGCCGGTACCTTTGCACCGAGTCTACTCAGGTTTTATCTGTGTAGTTGTGAAGTCAGGATCTTGGTGTATGTAAATGATATGTTGTGTAAGAGAATCTCGCCGGAAATGAGATGCAGGGATTCACTTGTCATAGCAGCTCAGGTGTACTGTATAAGTGATGTTATGAAAGCCGTTATACAGAACGCAGGGGTGGTGATTTAGAAGAAAATACGATGTCTGAAAGTCCAAAAGGTATTCTCCCTGTCACAGGCAGAAACTAGTGTACAAAATGTATTGGAACAGACCACGATACAGGCTGGTGTTGTAAAAATGTTCAAGCCATGTTTTTTGCTGCATCAGATGGTTTGTCTATGATCCGAAACTGCAAGGATGTGTAGAACGAAAAGATGAACAACTTTGCCTGCAAGGTAAAGTCGTGTTGATCAGTGAGGAAAGCGGGAAAAATCAAAAAACTACATAAGAGGACTTAACCAGTGGAGTCTCCGTGCCAGGAATCCACGATTAGTCGCAAGCCCCTCTGCAAGGCGCGCAGACGTGGCCGCGCAGAGAGGGCTTGTGTTAAGCTAAACATATACGGTACTCAAAGTTGTGTATACTTTGCCGTACATAGTTTTTTTTTTCTTTTTCACAACTACACACGACCAGGAAAAACTATGTTTCTGGCTCAGAAGTACATATTTTTGAGCTTTGAACACAAGATATACTTTTTCCGGGTTGTGTCTAGCTACAAAAAAGCAAAAAAAAACTATACACGGCAAAGTATACACAACTTTGAGTACCGTAATAGTTGGTAATTTGTTTTGCTGAGGGGTTTGGGTTCTGTTTTTTGAAAAGACTCTTTATGGAAGGTGTGCACAAAGGCATGATTTTTGGTGTAACATGATGATGAAGAGCGACTTGACTCTTGGCAGCTTGGAGAACCGTCAGCCTGGAGCCTTGAGGTCTAGAGTTTAAGTGTTAAGACATCTTAAGCGGCTATAGACCTACTTAACGTCAACCACAAGTTGGCCCCCAAAAGTAGAAAGATTAAAATCTGAAATTGGGCAACCTTCATACTGCCCATACCACTATCGAACCGTTTCTATAATCATGCGAACTCATCCATCGTCGTCTTCGACTTACCCTGACTGACCAAACCAAAACCAATAAACATGAGAATGCCATGCAGGTAATTTTCCAAATCCTTCACTTCTCTTCACCTCGACTTTTTTCTTTTCTTTTCCTTTTCTTTGAGGATTCTTTCATAAATGATGATAAACCTAATTGAAAATTATACATGCATGGCTTTCTCAATTAGTTGAAATTCATTTTGACTAGTGTGTTGATTTATTTTCTGTCTGATTCGGATTTCTTAGATGATCAGTTGATTTTTGATGCGGTTTTTTATTATTTTGGATTCACAACTGATCTTTTGTTTCTCTTTCATTTTGGTTTTCAAGATTTATCAAACTCGATTCGAAAATATCATAACCTCAACATTCAAGCCTAACCGACTTCAAGCTTCATCGACCTCAAGCTTCATCACACCGCAAACCGTCAGAGTGGATGTCTTGAAAGGTGAATACTTTTGCATCTTTTTATTTCTGAGAATCATAGCCGAAGATGTGAAACCAAACCGAACAAAGCATGTTAGACTAGAGAATGTTTACATTATGATCATAAACGTTTTGCACGTCAGACTGAGGCTTTATTTCCAAAACTCCAATCTTGATCAATCTTGAAAATTCATACTGACTCATGAATCGTTTTCTCATTCTGCAGCATCTGTTCGGTCTTTGACTTGTAGGGTGGGTCTTGCCTTTTACTCTGACTTGATATGTTTGAGCCGAACTTCCAAACTGCCATACCCCAGTGATGAAGGCTGTGTTCTTTATAATCTTCTAATCCCGTGACTGTAATTAGAATTAATGATGCAATACATCCACTTTGTTCGATCATCCATGATGTCATTCTTCACCCACAACAGCAGATGACCTCAGATGATCAACTTCATCCTTGAAAACCAATCTTTGTTGATTTGATTGAATCGCCACATCCGTAAAACCTATTTGTAGCTGTGATCAGTTGATATCAGATTTAGAATTCACGTAAACCGATTAACACCACTTGACCAGTTTAACCCCTGTTTATGAAACCCGACCGGATGGAAGGCTCAGGAGGATGTGTTGAGTTTATTCAGGATAAAGATTCAAGGATGAACCCGATCCATAGACTATCCACCCTCCGCATCTTCCTTGAACTATGTACATATCATGTTAGAGATCTTGATTTGGACTACGTATTTTGCTGTTCAGTTGGCAATCAGGAGTCGATCCAGGAGGCAAACTTAAAAGAATCGAAACTCTTCATATCACAAATCGCAAAGATCAAGAACAAAAGAACTTCTTCACAATCATCTCATCTCATCTTCTTTCTTGAATTCTTGATTCAAAAAACAGATTAGAAATTTCTGAAAATCTTTCCAAAAACACTTTGATATTTGAAATCGTATCATTTGATTTGATCGATAATTAAACACATCCAGAATCACAAATATGACTCTTGGTGGTAGTTATGATATGGGTAAATCTTTGCAACCCTTTTGACTCTCCATCTTTCCTAAACCCGTTCCTCATCAAATTCACATCCATATACCTTTGAAGACCTCATTTCTGATATGTTTTTGATTCTGTGTAGCTGGTGTTTGGAGACCTGATCTTGGTTCAGGTACAGCTACAGTTTATTTCGATAAACTAAATCCTTATAACCAATCACTTTATTCAAGTTATTATACACTCGAAGATGGTAAGTCAAAAGATTCTGATCTTTTTAACGTTTCTCAATCTGATCTATTCTTTTCTTATCATCATGATCTGGTTTTTTTTTCTTTCATAGATTATTATGGATCATATGGAGATCTTTTAGAATATGAGGTAAGTCATCATTCTTTTTCTTCAAGAGAAACTTAAATTAAAATCAGTTTCTTATTTGATTCTACACAAGAAACTGATCGGTTTGGTTTATGTTTATTTTAGCATGCTTTAAGATTAGCTCGTGATTTATCCGAAGACGAAAGATTAAGTAGGTGGCAACAAAGATTAGCCTTTGAGGAATTAGAACATGAACAAAGGATGCGTAGATACGAAAGAATGAGTGAAGTAAGTTTGAAAGTCGATTCTTTCTGTTAAATTTTACACAAAGAGGATCGGTTGAGAATCGAGTGAGCTAAGTTGTTGAATTGGTTTAGATCGAACGTCAAAGACTCGGTCTGGTTGGACGCTCTTGGTGGGCAGGTCGATATGGAGTAGGTCATCATCGAAATGGAGGATGGAGAGAAAGGTTTGGAGATAGATTAACAACTTGGACATCAGATCGATTACCACTTTCGTCTACTCTCGGTCATCGATATGGATCAATGAGAGGATTGAATGATAGTTTAAGAAGAGCAAACCACAGAGTAGAAGAAAGTTTATATAGAGCTCAAGATGAGATTGATAAAGCTTTCTATGTTGCTCAAGAAGATGAATTATTTGATGCGATGAGACGACAAGATCGAGAACGTGAACGTGGTCGAGAAGTTGAAGAGGAATTATATGATATGGTTGAGGAACAAAGATTAGAAAGGATGAGGGAAGAGGACCGATTAGAACGTCAAGCATATGAAGCGAGATATATTGAAGAACGTTTAGATGATCAGATTTTAGAAAACCGAGTATTAGAAGATCGACTTTATGATGATGAGGATCGATTATATAATGCATCAGATTCTAGGTATCGTGAAGCAGAATTAGATTGTTATGAAAGGGAACGTGGGTTTTGATTCTTGACCTTACAATCATCAGCTTTGGATTTCTTTATCTTTTCAAGTATGTCAAATTCATCCATTGTATAGATTTGGTTAAATCTTCGATTACATCCGGTCTCAATGCACAATCCTGATCCAGCATCCATTTTCCTTTGAGTGCAATCAAGTCACTATTATAAACGTCTTGTGTTCTGCAAAAGCTGATATTGGCTGTGGCCCTGTTCCTTTGTGCTGTCTTACGTCTTGAATTCCACTTCCTGGTTATCAATGTGCTTGATGGATTCAAGGCATAGGAGAGGTTCGAGGAAAGGGAAAGCTTTTTCTGAACTCATAGTCTTCAGCACGCTATGACTTGTAACTTCTTTGCATATATCATTCCTGGTGTTCATTGCGTAGACCAAACATGAGAGATGACATATCATGATGATATGTGCCACATACGCCACGCTCACAATCATTTCCTAGAGGTATGTAATGGTGCGTGATCAAGAGATAGACTGAGGAAAGATATGAATTCAAGCATGAATGAATTAGATTTCAGTGACACATCGATGCACGTTTTCCTTGGTGTCATGATTGATTGGTAGATATGAGAGTAAAAGAACACTGATGGTATAGTTACACTATTGGTGATGAGCATAAGGGGACTCTGGGGGAAGTTCAAGATGGGAATCGGGACCATGGTTGTCTTTGATTTGAACACCCATTGCACAAAAGCAAAACTTGTCTCAGAAAATGTGATTGAGGAGAATGCTACAATCATTCATGGTGGAAATCTTTGTTCATCCACATCATTTTCCTTAACATACGACCAAGCGGTGTTGATCATGCACTCGAATTGCACGAACCAAAACCCACACCAAGGGCTTTGCCTGACCAACGTAGGCGGTTTATCGTTCACACTCATAACCTGGGCTGGGCAGTGCTTGAGAAAGAAATTTTGAAGATCAGATACAGTCAAACCTGAAAAGCTTGCCACAAATTCCCCGCCAAATTGCTCGATTTTTGCGGGCAAAATCGGTCAAGCTTTTCCGATTTGACTGTAGATAGAACGACTCGATGAAAGTGCCCGTGTAAGGCTGATCTCAAAGTATCGACTGGTCGTGCGCTGAAGGCAAGAAAAATAGGGGACCGAAGATAAGAGTGAGTATGTAGCAAGAAATGTCACATTGTTCAATATAAGACTTGATTCACTCTTTCTGAGGTTTCCAAGCTAGTGATAGTAATTCTATGATCTAATCGACTCACATTACCTTCGAGGCAATATATCACAAGGAAATTCTTCACTCATTACATTTATCCTCATTTATCTCTATTCTCATCACTTTTGCGTTGATGCAAGATGAAGGAAAATGTTTCTCAGCATGACAATGATTCGTATCCCCACACTTTGGTTGATGCAGGAGCAAGAAAGTACAATTCTCAAGACTTTCAATAAGTGTTACAGTCAAATCGGAAAAGCTTGACCGATTCTGCCCGCAAAACTCGAGCAATTTGGCGGGGAATTTGTGACAAGCTTTTCCGGTTTGACTGTATCACAATCCTCGACTATCAAAGAAAATGTAAATGAAAGCGAGCCTTCTATGTAGAGTTCCTGTGGATTTCCTGTGATCTTGAGTTACCAAGTCAGCATCCGTTAGTATCCGCCAATTATCATTCAAGCATACCGTTGCGTCCAAAACGTTTCTATTTGATACTGCATCAAATCAAGAGAATGTATGTCTCCACAGTCTCAACTTCAAGTTTAAGCTGTTATTTAAAACCTGAGTTTCCCAGGTAAGGGCGCATCCAACATGGAACAGGCTGAGGCTATCAAAGAAGAAAACCAAGAAAAAGGGGTCAAGAAGACTCAGAGGATTGACGAATTGTTGACCACTTGTGATCCATGATCCATACCCTCATCCCATAGAGACGAATTTAGATTTCGATCTTCATGTTGAAATACCTATTTAAATTCTTTCACATATCGATCTTCCTGAACAATTCTGGCGAATGGCCTTAACGTTCGGCAGCTTTCGGCTCCCGTGATCAAGTCATGAAGGCTTCTTGTAGCTTCTTGTGCGTGCCAGGTCGAGGCCAGGAACGAGAATGAACTTCTAATTTTGCAATTTTAAATTGTATTTGTCTATTTAAATATGTATTGTACAATACACTAATAATTTCAAAATTCTCGAAGTCGTAAACTCAACTCGAAGCGTGGAGAAGCAACGTGGGACTTGGATAAATTTATCGAAGTCGTGAGGCCGAGGAATTTATAGGCTCTGACCGAAGAGCCTCGAAGAGCCCGTCTCAGGTGATCGGCAGCTCTGGACGTAGATTCCCACTGTTTAGTTGAATCAAATTGACAGATATCAAACGCTAATTGAAACGACATGCCCAATTGTAAATTCGATTGTTTTCAAACCTGAAGGGCCAAGGCCCGATCATTGCAGAAAACCGTGACAAAGGGCGGTGTTTAGCTGATTATCAATCTCAAGAGATGTTGCTGATGTTCAAACCTCAAAATCAATTCATGCAAGTTTTGTGCAAGTTCTGTGCAAGATATGAATAGAACTTGCACGGATCTTGCACAAAACTTGCAAGAGTCGGTCTCGCACGGTTTTTGCACGGTTTGGAACACAATAACTCGGGTTGTCAAAAAAATTACTGTGCAAGATTAGTGCAAAAAATCTTGCACGGATCTTGCACGGATCTTGCACGTCGGTCTTGCACATTTCTTGCACAGGTTTGAACACCCTAAATTTGATTATCTAAACACCAAGAACACACTTACATAATCTGACCATTGGCTTGGACATATAGTCATTTTCACAACACAGTCAATTTTACGCAAGCTCACGCTTCAAAGTCCAACTCCCATTAATCTTCAAGTTAAATTTCCATTAAAAACAGTTTCCCAGCCCACTTTTCGTTGTAATACATAGATTCGATACATAGCATTTTTTCGCTTATTTGGACGTACTTCTCAGCGTTCTATACATAAAGAATCTCATCCGTTGAGGTGCAGAAGGGTTCGGACCTTTCTTTTTTTGCTTCCGTACTTTCTCTCGTGACTTTGAAGCTATATAAGTAGGTTGAGGAGAATTGCCTTCTTCTGAACAAACTTCGATAACTTCCTCCTTCAAAAAATAAACCTCATCATTCGACTTAAGCTTGCGCTGAATTCAGATTGTCAGTATCTTCTTTCTTTAAACGGTTCTTTCGTACTCTATCGATTTGGATATGATCAGTCGTGTCACGTGATACATGTTGCTCTGGTTTCCTGTCTCGCAATCCATGTTGCTCTGGCTTCACGCATCTTGTCCGCACTTATGCCCATCAGTGCAGTACACGTGCCGCGCCAAGTCCTTGTTTATAGATTCAGGCTGGCAGGATGAAGCCGGCATCCATGACGATCTCTTCCGTACACCCATGGCTGCGCTTTCTTTACGGCACTGCATCTTTCCACTTGCTTCTATGAATAATGAGATCATTAATGCCTCGCTTGAAGCGACCTGCGGATTTTTGATGAATTGCGACTTTGATGATTGTACTTTAATCTTACATATCTGAAAGTTTGTTTGGTACACTCGCTAATTCTTTACATTTTCCTGCATCCCTGAAGACTTTTATAGGACGCTTTGATTTCTGTCTCACACTTCAAATATCAAATATCATTGGATTGCAATAGTCTGTCGTATTTCTCTATAGCAATTCTGTTTTACTAAACAGTGAGTTGAAGATCAGGTGATCGTTCATTAGTAGATTTATTCAAAGTCGCTGCCCTTTCTTTCCAAGCATGCTGACCATTATTTGATCATTTTCGCTCATAGACACCATGAACAACCAAATCATGGCCAATAACCGAGTAGAGGTGTGCGATGCTTTCATCTTGAACGCGACCTCATCTCTCAATCTCGATCAAAAACCCACGGACAACGAGGACAGTAGTAGCTCATGCCCCTCTAATTCAATGGACTTCGATACGCCACCGAGCTCTCGTACTTCGACCCCATTCAACTCTCCATCAGTAGTAGAAGTTTGGGAGGACGACGAGATGATCGAATTTGAGTTTTCTCCAATCCACCCTGAAACGAGGTTCAGCACTAGTACCCATCAGACCAAAGAGAAAGATCAACACGAGATCGATACATTACAAGGCGAATACCTTCCATACTTTTTCAGTTTAACTCGTGAAGAACGTAAAATGATTAGAGAATCTGTTCAGAGACCTTCTTTGGCGCGATTTGAGTGTGATGAAGATTTCAGTGACTTGTGGTCCTATAAACCATAGTGTATGCGTTTCATCACTATGTACCAATCAAAACCCGTTTCCATTTCATTCATTCTGCTGCCATCATAACAAAATATGACCTAGCTTAGATTTCCAGACATTCCTTCTATTGCTTTTATCATACTATCATTCTTTACTCTCTTACTGTCCTGTCTGAGCACAGTCTTTCTCTCTTTTTTTTGAAAAAATTCAATCTGGTCGTTGGATTGTTGTAAACTTGCTATGCTTTCTTTCTCTATCTCTTTCTTTCTTTTATTTTACTATCTCCTGCAGTCAGCCGACAATCATTTTTCTCTTTGATTCCTACCCAAGGAAATTTGTTTTACTTTTCATTCACTATGTCGTTGGTCTGTAGATCGGCAACGTTCCTGTGGTCGGTTTCTGTTTTACTAATCCTCTACATGTATCAGAGCGGCGCAAGTTATGTAGACGATTGATTTATAAAAGTCTCAAGGTGTTCTATCTTAACAAAAACCTCATCAGCGAGTTCTGTCCCGATCAATGAGCCTTTGATTCTTACATGGTCACATTCTTTCATCTGTACTACAACCTCACTTCTGGAAAACCTTGACCGAGTTGAATAATTCACAAACTTTTACCATTGGAACTCCTCAGAGTCAAGTAATGAAGTAGGATGGTCAAGATATCTTAGTGAATGAATCAAAACCTCTGGGAATCCCTGGTGCTGTGCTATCTTATGGACGATATCATCCAGCGATCCATTTTTTCATTTGGTGAAAAAGAATGTCTGAAGACTTCATGGAACTCTACAAGTTTCAATCCACTGGACCGATAAAAAACTGGTTTCCAGCATGATCCCCTGTCAGATACGTCTCTAACCTAACGCAAGTTCACTCAAATTGTGTTAGAATATATCCCGTCTTATGCACCGTGGCCAATCGCTTTTTGCACAACTTGATGGGAGTTTGTGGTCGGTCGTCAAGTCTTTGCATCTTCACAAATCGTAACTAACTTGAGTTAACCACTGTTTCCTTGTTACGATTGTAAATTCTTTCAAAACCCAGATAGATGATCTAGCTTTCTCACACCGATTCCTAGCTCCTATACCGTTCCCCTGAATTCATAACAACCGGTCACACTGACTGCCGGCTATCATGTAGTTTATGCTTGCCTATAAAGACCACCATAAGAGTTGATTGTCTTCAGTTATTCAAAGAGCAAAACTCGTGGCGATAATTGTGAAAATTTTCAAAAAAGGTAAACCCGCTCGAGAGGATATGAATGATTTCTTACTTAGGACTAACTCTAATTGACATTTTTGTTGGATGCTTGTCATAGATACCAATTATCCAAATAGTCCTTCATTTTTCTCGACTCTCAAGACCGATCCAATCAGGTTATTCTTTGTCTTCAAACATACAACAAGACAAACGGACTGCGATGTCTTGGGCGACCTACTTCTCTGGCGATCGGATGCAGGGAAGCGAGAGCGAGAACGGAAGCGAAGATACACCTGGTGTATGGAGACCTCTTTCGCAGTTTCTTACATGGCCGTTTACCTCAAGTTGCGCGGATGAAAGTCCTGTTTCGACCTGCTACTACAATGAGCGCGCGGATCATAAAGGCATCACTGGCGCTCGATGGTGGTGTTTGTCGTCACAGATGAAAACCACAACGTCGCCAAATTCTAGGGATTCACATGAGTGTTCTCAGCAAATTCGAAATAGGTCCAGCGACAAGACAAGATCATCAATAGAGCCTTCAGAAATGGTCATGAACTTTAGCTACACACCACCAACATTATTCAACACAGTGAATCACAATCGAAATGTTGGTGTTGAGGAGCGCGAAGCTACAAGTGGTATGGTGAGGACATGTCTGGTTGGCGAAGAGCCCGGCTTTGTTCGATCGCCTCATTCTGCTCCCAACCGGGATTGGTCGCATGGCTTGCCTTATCCCTTTCAAAAACGTGGCCTACCTACAGCCAATAAAATGAAGACCACCGTGTTGGATCACTCGCACATCCTACCTTCTAAGAATCGTCCTTTGGCCCTGACGAATCCCAACGGTCAGGATGAACTGATTGAAAGTGACTTGACCGCTTCATCAACCATGCTGAAGATCAACAGTACGAAGATCTCTAGTAAAGAGTTACCTAAACCATGCATCCTATCAAGCAAGATCCGATCAAAGTTTAGGAATCAAATTAAGGGAAAGCAAATTTACATTCATAGGCTCAACTCGGGAAAACTCGTCTTTATTAATTCATCATGTTAGACTCAGGTTTTGTATTGCGGTGCTCTATCAGAGAGCAGAAAAAGCTTGCAAGATAAATTTATTTTGGAATGGTGAAGGAAGACAGAGTCTATATAATTACTGTAACTCTCTCTAGTTCAAGTCTTTGGCATTAAAATGTGTACGAAAAGTAGTGAGAAGCACATGTCAATCTGAGAGTCAGTTGTAGCCTACGTACGGAAAGAATTGGACAGAGGAAATGTAATTTTAATAAATTTGTTCCATGATGAGATCTGATAGAAGGACTTGGCCAAGTAGACTTGGAGCCTGACCAGAACCCTTTCATTAAAAATGTTTTGATTGTAATATTAATACTATTTGTTGGATGAAATAGAAGCACAAAACTTATCCAGACATACAAATAGGAATCTTGTAGAAAGACATGGGCTGAGGAAGTGGTCCCAATTTTACACAGTAGATGATGGGGATGATAAAGTTGGAAACCTTTTGATTGACAAAATATGTTTTTGTAAGAGCTTCTAACAACTGTTCAGTAATACAGAGCACCTCAAACTCACATTGTAATATAAATAACACACTAAGAAATATTATCTTGTGGATGGATGTTAACATGCTCATTACTAGTGTGTTCGGTCTCATGCAATCAAAAAAATTTAGGATGATTTGAGCCAGAACAGTGTGAGAAAGGCAAATTTGATTGGTGTAAGAATTATAGAACTGGAAGAATCTGGTGAGAAGGTGTTAATCATGTACTTTGAAAATGGAATATATATTGAACCAAATCATGTATCAACTCACAATCCACTTTTTGAATTTCCCTCATATATTTGGAAGAAGCCTCTTCAATCTTTTTTAGCCTGTAGTTCAGGTTTTTATAACAAAGTTGAAGAAAAATTGCTTTCAGTGTGTAGCATTATTATTATGAACCCCATGAACACAGCATAGATCATATGTTTCTCCCCACTGAAAAACAATCAAATCTAGTATTTGAAATGAGGCAAGTCAAATTTTGCTACATTTTTCCTGTTGGTAGAATTTGGCCAATTTAACAAAATCCCAGCGTACAATTTGGTGATGTTGAAGGTGTTCTTGAAATAATACAGAGAAACACACAACTGGTCCACTAGATTTTGCCTTAAAAAATGGCAAGAGAAATCTAAAAAAAAAGTGACAAGTGAAGGACAATATCCCCTTTGTTGAACATTTGGGTTGGGCTTTTTCTGGCTCAGCATGTAACTCATTGTTAAGGCCATGGTGCAGATCTTTTGACAGGGATTGAGGAGTAGTATCTCAAGCCTAGTATATAGATTGTCAGATGAGAGGGAAAGAGAAAGGATCTACAAGCGTGAGATGTACAACAAGGATTGGTGTCTGATCTTGTGACATCTCTTACAGGTCTTTCACAGGCCTTTACACACATCCTGAGATCATAACAGTCATCACATGTGTTTTATGAAAACTATATAAAAGCTACTGACATATGTACAAGGCTTCAAAACCACTCAAACAAACTTTTGCAACACAACAAAGGATGTATCATTATATGTACATGGTATGGAGACAATATGTGGAACTTGGATGCATTTGTGACCCAAAATCCATTTGAAATCAATTTTACAGACTTTTTATGTTATACTGCCATCTTTTCAAGACAAAGGGACCAAAAAATCTGAAAGAAATTGGAGAGATCGCAAAGGGCATCTCTGATCTCTCCTGTTTTTTTTTTTGGATTTTTTGAACTTCTTTGAGATGGCTTTCAGGAAAACATCATAAATTTGTTGTTGAGTTGATGGTGAGTATAAGGCTTCAAGGAACTCCAAAAAAAAATCCAGGACAAAGAGCATTGTACAGCTGTTCCAGGAATTGGTGTCATGGTCGCACCAATTCCTGGTGTTTTCCCCCCAGCGCCACCGGGCTGTACAGGCAGTGGGCCGCGCAGCGGGGAGAAGGGCAGTTCAGCCCCGAACCACGAGTTACCCATACTCGAACCCCGTCATTCTAAGGTGAAAAAATTTTCCACATCAAATTTGGTTTGCCCACCCCCAAATCATTCACCACCCTCATCATCGCACCACCTCCTCATCCCTAGGTTCGTTTCTCCTTTGTTTCTCCCCTTTTATAGAGATAAAACCAACTTGCTGACTATCCCATGCCCTCATTCTAGCGATGCGATCTCGACGTGGTCCATACGATACTGGCATCAAGGTCCTGGCGGTGCAGCACCTCCGCACTGGGAAAACCATTGATCAAGTCCGGCGCCTGTTGAAGTCTCCAGTCAGCGCGCGAACGATATCCCGTTGGCACTCCTTGTATCGACGCACCTATTCGGTTATTCAAAACCCTGAAGATTACCGTCGCCTTGGAAGAACTACCCGTCTGGACGACGACGATCGAGACTTTATGTTAGAGTTATTAGACAGCAATCCGGCTCTGTACTTGGATGAGTATTGCTTTGTGGTTTATCGACAAACCGGCGAATGGGTCGCATTGCAAACGATTGCGAGTGATCTCAAGGATTGACTCCACCTGACTCACAAAAAGGCTCGGACTGTGCACCCTAACCAGAGTCCTTCGAAGAGGGCTAAGTATCTATTTGCAGCCAGTGCTCTGAACCCCAACATGATTGTTTTCCTTGGTGAGTCTTTTCTTTGATCATCTTTTGAATCAAATCCATCCCTGACTTCTCATTCGATCCAGACGAGTGCTCGGTCCAGGAAAGAAATCTTGGTAGGACATTTGGCCGCGCTAGACGAGGTCATCGTACCACCCGAATTCCATGGAGTCGTGGCGGGAAACGATACCCACTGCTCCCGGCGATCTTCCAAGGCGGTGTATTAGCTGTGGACTGCCAAGAGGGTAGCTATTACTGAGATGACTTTGAGGGATTCCTCAAACATCGTTTGGTAAGTTTGTTTTCCCATCGATCATTCCTCTTTTAATTTCTTAAACTGACTTGCACTTTCCATAGTTTCCTATGATGAATCCTTACCCTCAGGCCAACTCAGTTTTAGTGATGGATAATGCAAGGATCCACCACGGAGGTCGGATCAATGATCTCGCCGCCAAACGAGGGATCCGCATCTTATACCTCCCACCATACTCGCCCGATCTCAACCCGATTGAGAAGGCTTTCAGCGTGCTTAAATATCACTTTCGACGCACCCAAATCCTCATTCAAACCGCCACTGAAGATAAAATTGATGTTATTATGGATACAACTTGGAAATTGTTTACATCTCAGCTTATGGGCAAGTTGTATGCAGTATGTGGCTATTGGCTTTAGTACTCTTCTTGATCCGACCGCCGTAGTAAAATGGAGTCAAGCCATTTTACTATTTTTGCCTTGATGAAATGAACATGCTGTCAAGCTTATTTGAATCACACCGAATGATTGCCTGAGCCTGACTGTGAGAAAACCCCATCAAAGAACAAATCGTTCATGTGAGAGTTAAGACTCGTTTTTTGAACTGTTCAATTCAAAGGACGAGTCTCAAATTGACATCCGATTGTTTCACACAGCCGGACCGTGAGAAAACCTCATCGAAGATAGAGTCCCTCATGTGAGAGCTGAGACTCGTTTTTTGACATGTTCAATTCAAAAGACGATTCTCAATTTGACAAGTTTCCAATTTTGTAAGTGACCCACTTTGAAGGGCGAAAGCAAAGTCCGGTTTGAGAGATCCCCCAGAAAAAAACTCTGGGGTAAAGGTCTGGGGTAGATTGTAAGGAGGCACATTTTGTCAATCTCAAGGCACCGTAGATATCGCACATCGAATCTTTGCACATAGAGGTTTAACCAACCTCAGCATTCACCAGGTATGACTCCAACAACCAACAGAAACATTGATAAACTCGAACAACCAAGAGAAAGATTGACAAACACATGACACAGTTTTAAGGGGGGGATAGTTCTTTCTTGATCGCGCCAAACACAAACTGAGGCGTTGCACTAGACCAAATACACAAGATTGGGGAAAGATCTCACAAAAGATTAAGAAAGATCTCACAAAGTAATAAGAAACGTATCACAAGAGTTCCTAAGATTGATTTCTTTTGATCACAAAGAAAGAAAAACAAAGAGAAACATGAATTGAATCAAGAAGATTCTCGAGGGGATTTCAGGTATTGATTGTACTCAGCAACAGCCTTGTAAAGGTCATCAGCGTGAGCAAAAGCTATCCCCATACTTCGGAAGCTTTCAAAAGAGTATGTCTTGCAGTCCAAAAGTCGACGAAAATCATTGATCCCTTCGTCATTTAAAATTTCCCGAGTTTTCTTCATTTCCGGTTTGATCCCCGCGAAAATGAGGAAGTCTTCGAAACATGGCATCTCAGGAGGCGGCGACAATCGAGCCGTATCAGAGGGAGCGATGAGAGTGGGTGCAGGAACTGGATGGGGCGAAGCAAAGGGTTGGGAGGGCGGGACAGCAGCCTGGCTGAAGGGTTGGGTGGCCAAAGGAAAAGCCGCTGAGGTGAAAGGCTGGGTGGCTGAAGGGAAAGGTGCACCATAATAGTTGTGGTGCACCACTGTTCCTGAAGTAGTAGAAGTCGGCTCCGCAGGTCCAGGTTTGGTTCGACCATTAAGGCAGTGTTTTTCCTTCTCGTATTCAGCAACGGGAATCCAACGGAAATCCGGCCGCTTAGATGGTGGATTGACCTCATCAACACCTACCACACCTTCAGCCTAAGTCCAGAGCGAGTGGTGATCAACAAAAAGAGTGTCAAAGGGATGGAAGATGACAAAGACTTACCCAATCGCTCGCCCATGTGCGGATGCGCGCGATGCTGAGCACGACACAAAGATTCGGGTCCTTTGGATTCAGCGCATACGTGACATTTTCGCCCGCAGTGAAGTCCTTTGAAAACCGTGCCCACAGCTTGCGAAAGTGTCGCTCGCCATTGCTCAAGATTTCGGACTAATGAAGCAAAGGCAAAGCAAAGTGAGCTCAGGTGACTTATGAGTGTAGGCAAGAATAAGATCACTTACCCCTGCCGAGTGGTCTGATTCCGGGTGAGCTTCGTCATCAGAAGAAGGTACCTTAGGGGCTGAACGTTTTCGCGCAATCTCCAAGTTCCTTTGGACGTTGGAAGTGAGTTTAGGGTTTTCGTGGTAGATTTTGAAACCCATGACCGTGGA